ATGTATATAGAAATCGGTACAGTATTTCTGAGCCATTGTACGGTAGGATATCGTTAAAACGGGTTAAACAGTTGAGAAGGAGTTTCATTAATAGATCGGCAAAGTTGTCGTTGGCAGACTCTTCATAGTCGGCTTCTGCAGATGCATTGAGAGCACAGCCATTATGTTGGCTGGATTTAGGTGTGCTAGTGATATTTCTATGGGCTTCAGTATCATAGCCATTACCCATAGTTGGTTTCGGAGAGCGTGGAATGTGTAATGTTTTTTTGTATGATGATACAGATGGGCGGTTAGGGGACGTTATAGTTTGTGATAGGCGTGGATCAAAATGCTTCTGGGAAGGGGACATTGGGGAGGAGGTCATAGAGTGAGGTGAGGCTGATCTTAATGTATCAGCAAAGGTGCGACGAATAGGACGGAATCGGAGGGACGCTTCGGAATATGGGATATTTTCTTCTGCCATGACTAACTTAATTGATTTTTGCCTACTGTGCTCTGGGCAGCTAAAGCTTGTGGCCATATGGGGGCCCGAACAGAACATACATGAAACTTTATCTTCTGGGATTGAACAAGAGTCACCAGGGTGATTTTGGGCACATTTATAGCACCTTGGTCTTGATCTGCATTGGGCCTTAATGTGGCCAAAACGACAGCAGGAGTTACACTGTATTGTAGGTAAATGGTAAATTTCCACAGGCAGGGAAGCATTAAAACAGTAAACTTTCTCAGGAAGCTTTTGTCCTATAAATGAGATTACTACTGTCTGAGTAGGGATCCATATAGTTTCACCGTTTTGGACAGATTTTCTGTTCAATCTCCTTGCTTTATAAACACGGGAATTAATCTGGGGACATTCAATATTACCAACTAATTCTTCCATGGACCAGTCAATGGGGATGTTCCGGACTATGCCCTGACGAGTCACATGAAAGGAGGGGATTAATGCACACAACTTATAGTCATTCAGGATAGGGTTTGTGATGAAATTGTTTGCAGAGTCAGCATCCATGAATTCTACCAAAATTCGATTGCGTCCTGATGACTTTATACCTTCCTTTACAATGCCAGAGACTCTGTTTTTATGTAGAAATTGAGCAAACTTGAGCAGTCTCATAGTAAGACCAGTTGCTGGATCGGGTTCAGTTCTAGATACATGAACAATGAAAGGGGCCATATCTGTTTGAGAGTATGTGAGTTTAGAGCCTTCCGCAAACTCCGGGATGATATAAGAGTGCTGTTTGGAAGCACTTGGAATGACCGATTTCATTTTGGCCGGGATATCAGTCGTCTCAGGACATGTTCTCTTACGAGAAATATGGTCTATCATTTGGCCAGCGCGACCGCCGCTCCCGTCAGGGGGCACCACGGAGTACCCCCACTAGAGTCCGCATCACGCAAATTTTGTTTGAAATCAAAATCGCCAAAGTCGGCGGAGTGCAGGGAGATCAGCCGCGTTGTGATTGGACACGTCAAGGTCAGATGATATACTCAGTGCAGCGAAGTGATGAGGGTAAGATCGATTTTAGAAAATATCGATATTTTCTATCGATAAATAAAGGACACCCGGCATTATGTGCCAAAGTTGTATACTTTTTTAATTTTTTTATCTGTGTTTCATAATTGGGTAACGTAGTCTAGCAATATTTGTCATCAGCAGCTAGCTGTCAATGTCAAATACGTAGGTTTGTCAATATAACCTCTATATGTAGGCGGGTCGTCAAGAGAAATAACGGATAAAAAAGCAATCACAGCAGAGAACATTCACAATCACAGTACGCGGGAGCGAATGATTTTTTTGTTTGTATTTTAGGATTGTCAAATTGACATTTGGTTTTTTATTTAGAAAAAGCAAAAGAATCATGGTTTTTACAGTCACTTGAGTAATATTTTCGAGTAAAATTCTGTCCCTTGAAGATTTAGGGTTTCCATATCAAAAAATATTAATCATTATATAACTTCTTTCCACGATTCACTAAAAATAAGGCAAAATTAGTTTTATGTAGCAAATAATTTTGGCTTCATTTTGAGACCAAATTCAACTGTATACAAGTTTAGCATTTTTTCTATGAAAAGTGCCGGATCTCCATTGTACAGAGGCCTAGTACTTTGGTGCGCTAGTGTAGCTATGCGCAAACATACTCTCTCCACTTTTTTCCAGCGTTCTAATTACATGACGCGACTAATAACTGCATACTAAATAAAATATAAGCAACACAAAAAACACGTAAAAAAAATATCTAGATAGACAATAATATGCTGTTTATGACAACTTTTAAAACTTAAGGCGTCTTACTCATCGGCTCGGTACAGGTTCGTTTTGTTTGCGGGAGTGACTGTCAGTGGTAAAGTGACGAGAACATACGTAACTGTTTACAGTTGGAGTCCAATCTTTACGTTTAGTTGCACTTATCCAAAGTTCCTTCATCTTGGCACATTTTGGAAACCTATGAAATAAATAAAACACGTAATGTTACTGTATTTTGATTCTCGCATCAGTCTGTAAGATATCACCTTAAATATCTCTTTAAAGATTTTGGTCGTTGCTGTTCTCGTGAAAGGCACATGCGATATACAGACTTAATGAATTTAATATTAATACGGTGACGTCCGTGGCTCTTGACTTAGCACACGCAAAATAACCTTAGTATAACCAAATTATTGATTTTGAAGGAACTTGGTAAATACTTATCAAATTTTATGCTAGCTACCACCCGCGACTTCATCCACGTTAACTTTAGTTTTTTGAAAATCCTAAAGAAACCTGACATTTTTCCGTTACAAAAAGTATTCTATACAACGATATTTTATACCCTAGATACGACAACATGTACAAAATCGTGGCCGAAACGTGACCAAAAGGTACATTTGACGATTCACAGAGGTCCGTAAGATGATCGCGTGGTCAAAAACAATGTAATGCATTATTTAAAAAAAAGTCACCTTTAATGCATACGGCATAAGCTCTTAATTAAAACGCATGCATCAAAGATTTATGGCAGTTCAAAATGCAAGTTCCTAAAATTTTACGACTTATTGTTATATGCGAAAGAAAATAGACCTTATTTTTTTTAACTTTTCGCGCTCAATTCTGAATGTGCTGTTAGCTATTATAGCAGGTACAGACCGCGAAGAAAAAAGACGGCTATAGGGCGACGTATAACCGACCATGCTTTTGAGTATCACAAATATGTTATATTAAATCAGTTTATAGTAAGTATTACAATAAAATTTGCTTCAAATGCATTAAATTTATAATAATAATAAAAACGTTTATTTGGCTCAAATTATATAAATAACTTATTGTATTACATAAAGATGACTATGTACCAAATTATAAAAACATTAATTAGATACCTGTCGAAAAAACAACACTTTACGTACTATTAGTATTTTTTTCGCATTTTTACGGAGCTCTGCGGCATTTTGACTTTTCATCGGTCCGCGCGTGCCTGTAAACCAAGAAGTGCTTGAATAAAGTTTAAGCACTTGTTGATTGGGACACATTTTGAGCGCTCGTGGTCTATCTAGGGTATTTAATATCGTTAATTCCATGTCTTTATCTAGGTCATAAAGTATGCGCACTTAATTTCATACAAATCGGTTTAATCGTGTAATAGTAACAAACATCCATACAAATTTTCGGGTTTAAAATTTTAGTACGATATGATTAAAAACTGTTGGTTGTATACTCATGATATCTGTTATTGTATACGATGAAATAAATAGTTTTTATTTATTTTTTCTATTTCCGTAGCTGACAAACTTATCGATAAACTTACGGGTACAGACATGAGCTGCGTCAAGTCACTAGCAATACACGTGCCGGTGTGAGAGCGGAATAGCATATATGATGTAGCGCATGCGAGAAAGGGATAGTGTTAAAAGACATCAACGCGTTCACCAAAAAATAAATACAATTAAAAGCAATTTCATATCAGAGTATTTTTGTCTTTTTGTAATGCATTTAAACTTACCGGTACATCTTTTTGAAGACTGGAAGTTTTACTCCACTTTCCACATAATTTAATTGCACAGTACGGCATTTTTTCTAGTTTTTTAACGCAAAAACGAGAGAAGCACTTCTGCTAACGCTCGGCTTCGGAATGAAACGATGTATAGCGACGTCTGTGGGCGTGTCTCACGCATACGTAATATACTACTTAAGCTTGGCGTAAGCGCTTGCCCTTGTATGCGGACTCTAGTGGGGGTGCTCCATGGGGGGCACATTATCTACGTCCATCTAAGCTACAAAACACGCCACAAAACACTTACCAGTATTAGTAAAACACACACCACGTATAAAAAACACAAAATATTAGTCAATCAACCGTAATTCCTCTACTTTTATAAGAAAAAATAACCCCGCACGTGTAGTAAACAAGTACCCAACAAGCAGAATCCCCAACCAAAAAAAAAAAAACTTAATTTGTTTTCTTCATTTTACATCACTATACTTACATAATAAATAGGGTATTTGACAGTAAAGTGTTAATTGATAGCATCTGTATTTAGAATGAATATTGGCAGGGGTTTATTATTAATAAATAATCATAATTTTCCTAAAAACCCACGAAAAAGATAATAGTTTTCATATCTATTGTCAAGTGATTAAAACGCCTGGGATTGGCAGAGCTTAAAATGACGTCACACACTAGTAAACTTCCGGTCAAAGTGACATTACATTGTATCGTTTGACATTTTAATGTCTAGTCGTGTGACGCCACACTAGTAAGGCGCCATATTATCCAGAAAAACGTATTCGCAGCAACTTGAAAATGGAGTATTTGATTTGGTTATTTTTACTGAAATACACAACAGAATGATGAATATCATCATTCTGTTATGTCCATAAACTTTTTATGGACTCCATAAACATTAGTCAATAACATGAAATCGTTTTCTAAAACTTGTCAAATACCCTATTGAATGTTTTTTGGTAATGATTATATTAGTGAAAACTTATTTGACAAAAATAGGTATAATAGAAAACTATTTTTCAGGTGGGTTTAATTTATATTTTTAACTTGATTGTTGGTACTGGAGCATTGACGTTACCAGCAGCATTTGCTAAAGCAGGATGGGGCCTAAGCACTATCTCACTTGTGTTTCTTGCTTTCATGAGCTTCATGAACGCTACTTATGTAATTGAAACAATGGCATGTGCCAATGCAGTGTATAAATGGAAGAGGTTGCAGATTATCAAAAGGGAGAGTGTAAGTTAAATAAAACTAATATACATAATTAGAAAGGTGTTGTTATTGTTCCTATCAGCAAAAAAAGTTTCTATGTGATAACAAGCTGACCCAGCGAACTGCGTACCACCATAAAAACAGGGGCTAGTGGAAGAAGGGTGAAAATTTTGGGTTGTATGTATTTTTTAATGACAAAACATGAAAAAATAAAATGTTGTCCTAAAAACATAATAATTAGGGGTGGACATATCTTATTACTTAGGGGTATGAAAGATAGATAGTAGTAGCCAATTCTCAGACCTACTGAATATGCATATAATATTTCATAAAAATGGGTCAAGCCATTTCGGCAGAGTATGGTAACTAACATGGTGACATGAGAATTTTATATATGTAATAATTAAAAATATAATTTCAATCCAAATCACCATAGTTTCATTTTCAAGTTGGATATGCAAGGTCGTAAATTTTTATGACTTGTTGCTATATGAGGAAGAATAAAGACCTTATTTTTTTATTTTACGCACATCTCTAAATACACTGTTACCATTATAGCAGGTAATATCACAAACAGATGATCAAACATCCCTCCCTGCAGCCTCAGTGCGATTGCTCTGTCTAGATGGTTCACATTGGGTCCCTGTAGTATCATAACATTGTGTTGTGGATACTTTTAAAATATAAATGATTTATTAAGTTGAAAGGCATACTGAACACAAGTAATGTTTTTAGATCCGAGACCATGATTCAGATGAGGAACAGTCTCAGCATGCATTGGGAGACCTTGAGGAACCGCTGGTCTGTGGAGACTCCATACCGTCACGATACTACAGCCTCGACCGTCGCATAGAACTCGGCGAGATGGCAAACTTGTTCTTCAATAAGACAGGAAGAATCATGTTTTTTTGTACCCTTTGTGTGTACCTGTATGGTGATTTGTCTATATACGCCGCTGCAGTAGCCAAGTCTATTATGGATGTTGTATGGTGAGTAACTTATTAAGATTTTAATAGGTATCAGTAATTACAAGTAAAAAGCTGCTATTGTGGACGTCTGAATTTGGTGCTTGAAGAAAATTTTACTGCGATCAAAGGTATTTTGTAAGTCAATCAAGAGTAGGTTCTGTTTGTCTGTTACCTCTTCTTGCTTAAACCGCTTAACCAATTTGAATTTAATTTGGTATAGAGAAAGGTTGAAAAGGAAACCAGGGAAAGGCATAGGTAGTCTTAGTCTTAGTAGTACGGAGGGCTGTTTACGCAACTCGACACCCAGTGCCTTTTTTGCGTGGGGATTGGCCTCAGTCCTGTCATCCCAGCTCCTCCAGAAAGCTTAGCAGTCCCCGGATGTTGCTGCAGGCCTCTACTATTGTCTTCGGGCTTCCCATTACAGAAGTCCTTTGTCTTGCATATCCCCTGCACACCAGAATATTCAAAAAACTTGTTTCGCATACTCCAATCATTGCTGCAAGCTGTTCTTCAACCGGGCATCTTCCAGTACAAGTTTTTCTACTTTTTCGACGATTTCCGGTGTAGTGGCCTCAATTGGCCGTCCGGAGCGGGGGTCGTCTTCAATGGACTCTCTTCCTTGTTTGAAAAGACCATGCCTGATGCATGATTTTCCTTGCTTGGTAAGGAACTTAATAACGGCGCGGTGTCCCGATTCAGTTGTTTGCAGGTCGATAACTCAAAAGTTAATGACCCAATCTCTGAGTCGTCGTCTCGCGCGTCGCCGGCGCCGAAGGCGCCGCGGCGTGCGGGGAGTCTGGTCTGGGCCGGTTGGCCCACTTCAGATGTAGCGGGCTCGCATCTCGACGTCGGGACGAGACGGTCTTTGGTCTGTTACCCCCGCCTCCGCTTCTTCACACGTCGCCCTCGGCGCGGTCAAGCCCACCGGGTGAGACCCATGAGGGAGGCCCAGCGAGCAGGCGACGGACTTCAGCGGGCAGGGGTAGTGTTGTATCCGGGGGTAGATGTGAAAAAATTTCTGCCAGACTGCCCGAACTTTATGACAAAGTCCGAGAGCAGTACTGTGAGCTGTTGTATCAGTTGGGCTGTTGCTTCTTCTTGGTGATGGTTGCCATCTGTGGGTGGTGGGTTGCCATCTTTGGGTGGTGGGGCTGCGGGGGGCGTGTTCGTCGGCGAGGCATCGCTCGCTCGACGACGTCTGCGGTGGCGCCGTTTGGGGCTGCTGGTGTTCGAGGGAGGAGCATTCGCGGGGGCCATCAGTGTGGCCGGCGCGTGCTCACTCACCTCGGCTGGGTGTTGCACGGGTGCGGTGGGTGGGCGGCCAGTGCGGGCCACTGTTGTGGCGCGGCGATTGCGCGCCTCGTGCTGGAGCCGGGTGCGTGCCCGCGCAGTTCACGCAGGTTGCGGGCTGCGCTAGCGGGCGGGGGCAATCGGCGGCGGCGTGCGGGTCACCGCAGCGCACGCAAGCAAGCGCGCGATGACAGCCGAGGCTGGAGTGGCGGAACCCCTGGCAGCGGTGGCACTGCGCGGGGGCGTTCTTCCTTCCTCTCCAGGCTTCGACAGTGATCCCGGACATACTCAGGAGGTCACTCACTGAGTAGATGGCCGGGATGAGGTCTGGTGTTCGACGAAGCGAAGCGAAGTATAGCGAGCCGGGGTGGCCTGCTCGCGCCCGGATCTGCTTGCTGTATTCGATCTCAAAGCCTTTTTCTGCAAAGGCCTTGGTGATGTCATCATGGCTGGTGTCCACAGATAGCCCACGGATGGCCACCTTTAGGCTGCGGTCTTCTGGACGAGCGTGGGCGTACCAGCTCAGTCCGGTCTGCTCGGAGAGATAGGCCCGAACGAGCTGGCCCTCGTCGTCGTCCTGCGGGGTGAAGCGTACGCCCGTTCCGAACGGACGCACGCTGGGAGCTCGGCCGAGTTGGTCGTGTATTGCGCGCAGGTGCTTCGGCCAGTCCCGCAGCTGCTCGACCACGATCGGCGGGTGTTTGCGGACCCGTGGGAGCGTGGGAGTGCTGCGGGAGGCCGACTGCGCGGTCGACACGGCGGCGGGTGATGCGGCGGTAGGTGCGATTTTTTTCTCTGCGAGGTGGGTAGGCGCAAAAATTTGCGCGGCCTGGGCATAGCTTACCGACTCGGTGGGTGTCGGTAAAGCAGTTGGCGGCTCGATCTGTGGTTCATCATGGGCAGCGGGGGCGGTCAGTTGCTTGGGCTGGTGTTCCTCCTTCGTAGGGGTCTTCACCGTTGCTGATATGGGGGTGCGGAACGTTACCGGGGGGTCGCCACAGCTGCGGGAGCGGCATAGGCGCTCACCGCGCGGGCGTCCGGCGCGGGGTTGCGCCTCCTCCGGTTTTGGCGACCTCCTGTTGCGGATGGGCTTCAGCTCGAGGGATTGTGGCGGCGGGAAAACGAGCGGCATTTGGATGCCCTCGTTGTTCGTTTCGATTATGGGCCTGTCTCCAGGCTCATATCCGGTGGTGCTCCATTCGTCCTGTTCCATAAGGCGGATGTAACACGCAAGCCAGCCCGCTAAACTCTCGGATAAAAATCCGGATTCGATGAGTCGGGCGGTCATCGCTGCGTCCAATTCATATTGGGCGCGTGGCGATTTCCACCCGTACGTCAACGCACACCAGCGGGCACAGCTGCGTGCTATCTCCTCCTCAGTAGGGACGGTTTGGGGCTGGTCTTCGTCCATAGTGCGGCATGTGGGGCTTACTTCTGCGCAATCTCCTTGACCGAGCAGCGCCGTGCGGCGCGCTCAGGCCTGCGGCAGGGGGGTGCGGAATCCACGCTGGCGCGGTGGCGCCAGGCAGCGCTCGCGGAGCAGGAAAGCTCAGCTTTCCGACGGAGCGCTTGTTGGTGTAGGTGAGATCCGTGCGCAGCGAAGTAAGTACAGTCCTCTAATGACCCGATTAGGTTCAAACTTGGTTTATATACTCTTAATAAGGTGCTCAACTAGTACCTACCTGGACGAGTAAACCTACCCCCACCAATCCCTCCATTCCGCGAACTTATTGACCTACCCTCTTATGCAAGAGATAACAATTTTAAAAACAACTATAAAGAACGATTACATATCTGATATTATTATTCCTCTTCCACCATAAGTTGCCTGGAACAGATTGCTGTTTAGCAATAAGGCCGCCTATTGTACTCTTTCTTCTGCTTTATTTCTTTATGTTTTATGTCCTTTGTTGTGTGCAATAAAGAATATTTATTATTATTGTTATACAATCTTTTTTCAATCATTGGCCGATCGGCTCCCAATTTGTTTTACAGCCATTAAATTTAATGATTCATTAAGTCACATGTCTCATTTTATTTTATCGCAAAGAATAAGCGGCAACATCAACTTGAAAACTTTAATTCACTTCTCCGAGTGCGACCGTAGCAAAGAATATACATGTATGTTTCTCGATATCAATCAATTTATACATAAACTATTAATTATTCTGTGTCTGTCTATACCAAGTGATAATAAATCGAGATGGAGGTGTAGCCACACCTCGGGGTGATATAATATGCCAATGTATTCAGCTGTCTTTTATGTTGACGCATCTTTAATATAACCATGACGTACGTACGAGTATGTGTGTGGTGTTTGCACTTTATTGATTCCTTTCAAGTGTGATAAATAATGACGGCATCACAACTTCCCAAATCCGAAATAATTTGCAATTCATTCACATAAATAATGCCTGTCTGTCACATTCGCTTGTCTTTAAAGCTAACTTGCTTAGACAAGATATTTCATGAAATATCAAAGTATGGAATGCGCAAAATGGCCACTTCATTTTCATGCAAATGTCGTCATTGTCTATAGACAATTTGATTTGCAGGTGCTTCTACGGAACCCTTACGGGTAGGGTTACCATTTAGGAATTTCAAAGGTCCACACAAAAATCCTGACATTACGAAAAAAGACCGGACTTTTTAGTCACAAAATGTTACCATTGCTCACTTAGTTCCAATGGTATGGTATTTAAATCAATATGTACTTCTATTCTTCATATTCAATGTTATGTAAAAAATCCGGGATAAGTGCGGATTATAGTGAAGAAGTCCGGACTGATGGTAACCCTACCTCCTACTTACGGGTTCATGTGTATTAGGGATCCGCAGTATCTCCGCTTGTTAACTAGGATCAGTATCCAAAGCACGAACTTTGACAGATCAGTATTCGTATCGCCATCAAAGTTCCTACGGAAACTAAGCTTAGTGTTGCCCAAATGCAAGAACAGGACCAGACTTCAGAAGGTCTTGCGTCTTGCGCCCATACTCCTAGTCTTAGGCCCGTATTACAGAATGACAACTAAGTGTTGATCTTTACTTGAGTAGTGTTGGAGAGGGATGCCCCTATGAATCTTTCTGAGAATCTTTCTACGGGCCTTAGTCTTGGTCTTGCGGCAAGAGTCTCACAATTAACTATTAGCTTTTTGCTATTTTTATTAAACGTTACTTTAGATCTTAAACAATGTAACAGAGTAAAAACCAACCAAATTAATAAATGTCTAAACACTTAATGAGGAATTCGTAAAATCAACTAACACAACTCAACTCAAAGCGTCGATCATGGGATTAGTTGAGTTTTCCGTATAACATTATCTCACCCAATGAATGGATGGCAGAATTTATTTACAGATATTTGATTTGTCAAATTATTTTGTTTTATCTGTGCGCGTGTCGCGTTAGTATTGCAGTTTAGTTGCATAAGTTTGGAATCATGTTTTAGCGGCCTTTGTTAGAATTAATGCTTCCATAGTATTTCCAATTCGTTGCCTTACACATACACATTCCGTATCAATCTTACTGTAAAAAGTTAAGAAAAATAAATAAATAAATATTTTCAACACTCACACCAATTAGCCTAGCCCCAAAGTAAGGCTTGTGTTATGTAATACTAGGGTAACGGATAGATTGATACATATATAAGTATATTATATAAATGCATATTAAACATCCATGACTGGAGTACAAATGCTCGTATTCATCACACAAACATCTGCCCCCACCGGGATTCGAACCCGGTATCTCTCGAGTAGGCGACACCTTGAAACCCGGCGTACAAACTACTCGGCCACGGAGGTCGTCAAAAGAAACACTGGTCTATCTATAATACAGGAATATACTAGAAGACAGTTGAATTATGATGTCGAAAATATATACTTCGTTTTTTTCCAGTTCTACTGCTCCGTCGAACGTGACAGAACCTATTGACTGGCATGAGCTGCCTTGCTTCAATACGAGTTCGGTTTCTGCGCACCCGTACTCCCGCATGGATGTGTACCGGATCGCGCTGCTCACCTTCGTCGGAGCGATGGGGCCTTTCGTGTTCTTCAATGTGCAGAAGACGAAGTACCTACAGCTGTTTACCTCTGGTATGAGGTGGCTTGGTAAGTTTGTTCGCTTTTGAGTTTGAATAAAAGAACTTTAGACTATTATAGATAAACTAGCTGTCCCAGCGAACTTCGTACCGTCATAAAAAATAGGGGTTGGTGGTAGCAGGGTGAAAATTTTGGGTTGTATGTATTTTTGTATGATGTATCATAAAATAATCAAAAGAATTTGTCCAAAAAAAATTTGTGTTGATCACCCTTATCATTTAGGGGGCTGAAAAATAGATGTCCGATTATCAGACCTACTGAATATGCATATAAAATATTACGAAAATCGATCTAGCCGTTTCAGAGTAGTTCAATTACGCGCACCGTGACAATGGTTGCAACGATATATCGGAATATCGATAATATCGAGACCAAAATATCGATATTTATATCGATATTTAAAATTCACTGATATCGATAATATCGATATCGGAAATACCAAAATATCAATATTTCGTAGACTAAATTTAAAGCTTTTGAGTTTGAATAAAAGAACTTTAGACTATTATAGATAAACTAGCTGTCCCAGCGAACTTCGTACCGTCATAAAAAATAGGGGTTGGTGGTAGCAGGGTGAAAATTTTGGGTTGTATGTATTTTTGTATGATGAATCATAAAATAATCAAAAGAATTTGTCCAAAAAAAATTTGTGTTGATCACCCTTATCATTTAGGGGGCTGAAAAATAGATGTCCGATTATCAGACCTACTGAATATGCATATAAAATATTACGAAAATCGATCTAGCCGTTTCAGAGTAGTTCAATTACGCGCACCGTGACAATGGTTGCAACGATATATCGGAATATCGATAATATCGAGACCAAAATATCGATATTTAATATTCACTGATATCGATAATATCGATATCGGAAATACCAAAATATCAATATTTCGTAGACTAAATTTAAACACAATAATATCAATTAATTTACCTGCTATGACTATCTAAATTGAATAATATCGAAATAACTATTGCTTTGAAATCGCAAGAGCATATAGATGTATTAAAAAAATCTTGAACCCCAAGAAATATACTAAACTGGTGTGAATTCTGGCATGATTCTCTAAACCTAAAATTAAAATTTACAACAGTGTATCCTTGTCCTTCTCTATACAGATTGAAAAGGAGAGACTGATGTTAAATTTAGTTTTAAGTTTAGATAATCATGCCAGAATCGACACCAACGTATATAGGTATAATCGTATACCTAATGGTAACTCATGCACTTAAATAAAATCCTTGCCTCGCTTTCTAGATAATTGTCAACTACTGTTTAATTAAAATTTAATATCATTGTAATATAACACAAAATAAAATTAAGAATCTTATACAAATCGTAATTTTTTTAAGCTCGCCAAGTCAAGAAAGTAAGATAGGTATAGTAATTTTGGAAGCTTTGGGCTTACCCTATTCTGAAGCCATGGGCACGCCCCTGATGTGTGGGAGACTAAGCAATTTGCGTATTTGATGTGCGCTAAAAAACCGACATAGCTTGGAAAAGCACGAATGTAGTGAAAACTTAGCGAAGGCATTCGCAAATGTCGTCCCACATATGCGGGTTGGCGCATTCGTACTAACGAAAGTGAGTGATCTGATCAGGATAATAATTTTAATTTTTTGGTTTCCTGTCGTGGCTGAAACACAAACCGTGCGAGCCAATAAAAAAAATCCTGCTTGGCGCGATTTCATTAAGCGTGTTTAACGAAAAAGCTAGCTCAATGCATTTTATGAGAAACTCGCCAACAAACATATGAATGTGTCACACTCACCCCGTATTCTAATGTCAATAAAAAAAAGAAAAAATATCGATATATCGATAATATCGAGTTAAAATGGTCGATATATCGGATATCGATATTTTCCTGACTTCGATATAAATATCGATATTTCAAAAGACATTGCATCCTTAACCGTGACACGAGAATTTTATATATTAGATAAACACATCACGGGGCAGAGTGCTTGGTCTGGGTGCGTAATGCCACACTCACTGTATATCAGTTTATCAGTACAGACACCTTTAGTCTGTACTCGATCACTTTGTACTGATTCAAATAACGAATATTCTGAAGCAAACTACCAATGAGTACAACCAATCTGTATGTAATAGGTTGGGGAAAAAGTCTATTCGTATTATAGTATGTATGAACTTGAAATAAAATCTCTTTGGCTATAACCATTTGTATCTGGCTGGTTTTAGTATCAAATGGGTTATAAATGGATGCCATTTTTAAAAAGTGGAGCAAAATCGGCATCTCAGTAGTAACAACGTAGCTGAAGAACTGGGAATTGACCACAAAACACTTTCGGCACATTTGAAAAAAGCTGGATATACAAAAAAGCTTGATATTTGGGTGCCTCACGAGCTCACTGAAAGTATACGCATTTGTGATTCTTTATTACGACGTAATGAAACCTAACCATTTTTGAAGAAGCTGATAACTGGTGAAAAGTGGATCAGACACGACAAGAACGTGCGAAAAAGGTCGTGAGCAAAGGCCGGTTAGGCTTCACAGACTGGCGAAATCCGTTTTAATTCGCACCAAGGTGATCTGTGTGTATGGTGGGATTGGAAGGGCATTAGGGTACGGCCAGAGTGCACTCAGATTCAGATTCAGGCTCAGAAAACAAGCGCGAGAAATAAACAGTGTAGTTTAAGCAGGGTGGCCATAGGGGCAGCAGGCAACCTGCTTAAACTACACTGTATATTTCTTGCGCTTGTTTTCTGAGTCTGAATCTGAATCTGAGTGCACTCTGGCCGTACCCTTATACATTATGAACCGTTACCGCCAGGCAGGACCATCGATTCTGAACTCAACTGCGAACAATCGATAAAATTAAAGCAAGAAGTTGAGAGAAAGCGACCGGAATGAATTACCCATTAATTAATTGCGTTTTACATGATGATAACGCTAGAACTCACACATTTTTAGCCACCCAGCAAAAATGAAGAGAGTTTGACTGGGAGGTGTTTATGCATCTGCCGTATAGTCCTGACCTTGCATCTTCAGATTTCCACCTGTTTCAGTCTCTTCAAAATTCTTTAGGCAGTGTCAGGTTAACATCACGAGAGGCCGCAAAATTTCTATAGCAATGGGATCATGTCCCTACCTACAAGATGGCAAACAGTTATCGAATAAAATGGCACCTACATACTTTAGTTAAATGTAAATAAACTATTAAAAAATGTTTACAATGTTCATAAACATTGCGAAGAAACTTTTCCCCCAATACTGTATCCGCATATTTCTAAAGCAAAATACCATACATTTTTATTTGCATCGTGCATCGTAGGTACTTAAGGTTGCCTAATATTTTAATAATTGAATGCAATATGTTGACTCGCAAAGCGTAAGTAACTATATCGCAAGCGACTATAGGAAAAGGCAAACCAAAGTTATGCTTATTTGCTATTCTTATTAAGAAAATTGTTATAGACAAACATGACATGACAAATATAGTAATTAAAACCAATATAACATAATTATTGCTCTGATCCCAAATCTTTATTTGGGATCAGAGCAAGTGTTTGCCTTTGCAAACATCCAGACCAGAAACAATGTAGAACAATTAGATTTCTTACAAATAAAAACTGACGTAAAACTTATTTAAAATCGGTTGAAATACAGCGTTCGTTACTGCTTCTGATACAAAATTAATAACAATCGTGGACCGATTTGACGCCGCAAACTCGTAAAGATGATGTCATCATGATAAAAAATATACGCATGTATATTATGAGGTTATTGAATCAAAACTCGTGCTGAATCGACTCATCGTCACGTTTTGTCGCACTATGTACTTTATTGCTGTAAGCATAAAAGTCAAGTACCATATCCACCTTTTAATCGTTATGACGCGTTAATACGCTAATACATAATGTATTATCTATCAGGTGATAAACAATTGTTTCATTCTCGTGTCTGAGCTAAGTTACAAGAGGCAGTGGATGTATTTTAGGGGATATGAATTATATTTTGAATGCGGCTTCATTGTAATTTTTGATGTTAATGGTATTGTTTTTATTTCTTCGGATTTTGTATTGGATTACCAAAATCAATTTATTTATTATTATAGCAAACCAGAATAAATTCGAGCGTATTTGTCAAAATCATGTCTATTTCATAACAAAAGCTCTAATTTTATATTAATTTGAAATACACGAGTACATGGCATAAAAACCGACCAATCAACAACGTTTGCAACATTCATTCAACAAAATTATGAAAGACTATTTTTATAGGGGCCGTAGAAATAATAATTCTGTAAATTTAAACTATCTACGTGTTATGGTTCATGAAACATAACCAGCTGACATAAGGACGGACGGACGGACAGCCGAGGATTATTAATAGGGTTTAATTTTTACACTTTGGGTAATAAACCATAAAAATTATGATTAATAAAATGATCTTTAAAAATACTGGATGCAGCCGGCACCGGCCCGGGTAGAAAACGTGCCTAGACCCGGCGGAAAACCGATCGTTCAAATGTGCCCTAATAGTCGTTAAGTATATTTAAATAAGCGAATTTTTTCCAGCGTTCGCCATAATGATCTCTTTGGCGCTTCGGTTACTCTGCGTCCGCGGTCCACAAGGACATCCTCCGGTATTCTCAGTAACTGGATTACCGCAGCTCTTCGGCGCCTGCGTTTACTCGTTCATGTGCCACCACTCGCTGCCCGGCCTCGTCAGCCCCATCCGCGGCAAGAACCGACTCGGCCTGCACTTTGCACTGGACTACACACTCATCACTGCCTTTTATCTGCTTCTTGCGTTCTCCGGCGCCTTTGCATTCGCACACCTCAACGACTTGTACACTCTCAACTTCGTCCCTACAGACAACGAGAACATCTTTCTAGAAATAGTCGAATACTTCCTCGCCCTGTTCCCAGTGTTCACTCTTTCCACCAGTTTCCCTATAATAGCTATCACCCTCAGAAACAACTTGCAGAGTCTCTTTTTAGACGTGCCCCGTTTGGAATCCTACAATTTCGCTCTAAGGAAATTGTTTTTCCCATTAATCACTGTGATTCCACCGCTACTGTTAACGTACTTCTTGGAAGATATTGGTGTACTCATAGAATTTACGGGGTCGTACGCAGGCACAGGAATACAGTATTTGATACCGACTTTCCTAGTGATGACCGCTAGGCGACACTGCGTCAACCTTTTAGGTCTAGGTGTAATCAATAAGTATAGGAGCCCTTTCTCGAATGTCGCTTGGGCTGTCTTTGTTTTGTTGTGGGCCTTTGTATGCCTGGTATTAGTATCTGTAAATATCATCGAAAAGAAATTATGACGGTGATTTTTTCTATTCCAAGTCCTCTAGGTTGCTTTTATATTTACGTGTAAGTTCCAAAATAAGCTTTCTCCCGAGTATCATAAGGGCTGTTTAGCAATTACCTAGCGCCTTTTGAAATTATCTTATCCATTAATTTTTTACTGTTGAACAGAAGGAGCTTGTTCTTTAAAATAGAAATATATGTGTATATATATATATATATATATATTGCACAAATACTGTGAGTTAAAATAAAAAAAGTAGATCTATGGTTAGGATAAATTCAAAAGGGTGCTCGCAAATATAGCTCATAACTACTCTTATTTAAATCGTGCTATTATTTTATTTAAAATGTGTATAGTGTAACATGTATACCATGATTATTGATTGCCATTTCGTAATTCCCAGTTACATTGCTCGCTATTTACCCAAAGATTTTAAAAGTATTTTTGTGTACGTTACGCACAATGTCGTTATTATTAAGGCTATAGGTCTTCCCAGAGAGTAGACTAAAGCGAGTTACTTCAGCATGAAATTAGCTTTTTTACAATAAATCAGAAAAAATCTACGTGTAGAGGCTGTATTATTATGTGCTTATATTGGGCGCGTCTCTTAGCTTCTCTCAGACGCTTTATCTCTCTGTTTGTAAACAATTGAATAAATCGAAGCGAATATTTCTTGAGGGCCTGCGCTGCGTTAAGCTAACTTAATGAGAATAAAGATGGGATGTCCGTTATTGCTGAAGAACGTACGTTGATAATACCATCATAAGATGCTTCCACACAATAGCAATAACATTATTGAACATTTTAAAACAATTGTAACTCAATAACAAAATTCAATATGCTTTATTTTGTCACAAATACTACTCTATGGAAGTACCTTGACGGTGTGCTATGAGTTCTCATAATATTTTTATAAGTGATAAAAAAAGTATACATCAAACCAGTTTATTCTATGATGAAATATTTAAAATAATAAAGTTAGTACTGCTTCTAGGCATTAAGAACAAAATATAATGTTATAAAACCTTGAATGAAATGACAATAACAATTTTGTAAAAATAGTAATAATTCATATTGTGTTACTATTTAAGATGATCTCTCAATAAAGATATTATTATCTTATTTATGCAGCTGTTTTGTAAAATATAACTTTTAGTTACCTGCCTATTTATATTGTGTACCTATTATGTGTGATAGATAATGAAAATCTGTAAGGCATCGACAGATAAATATGTGAAATATTCTATTAACCTAAATCTACATCTGGTAGATTAATTTACTGTTTTACCCTAATACAATTTAAATAAATGTGTTTTATTTAGTTTAAATGAGCTCAGTTAAAGTAGCAGTTTAAATAAACGATAAATAATGTTTTTTTTATAATATATATATAATTATTGAGTATTTATAATATATATACAATTATTGAGTTAAATTATTTAACCTACTTACTTTACTTTTTGTATATGAAACAGTTATTATCCTGTGTGATTATAATATATTTGAGAGACTATTATTATATTATATAATTACTTAGAACTTTGAGCAAATAATTTGTTTTATATAAATAATTATATTTTAATGAACAAAAAAATATAGTAAGTTTAGATGTTCTTAGTGAGTTTAAATGTTTTTTTTTATAAATTAACACCTTGAATAAAATTTAACATGGAAAAAAATGAAACCGAAAGGGTACAAATTAAACATTGAATTCCTTTTGGTATTGTTACTATCAAAACTAATTGGCCGTGTGATAGGAGCCGATTACTTATATGATATGTCTCTGTTATATCATAGAATTCACAAAAGATTATAAAAGTATTGTATGCTTTCAAAGACTTTTTGGTAAAAAGTCATTCATTGTTTTTGTTGCTGTGATAGTGTAATCATTTCAATCATAAGTTAAAACGATGCCATGTGATGACTGAACATATTTTTATTAATATATTTTCTATTGTTGAAAGAGTATTTTGTAACGTAACAAATATTTTATTTTGTGTTCATAATTCTTGTGTTTTATTTCAATCCAACGTCCTCCCCAAGGGCAAATTTGGAAGTCTCCCTAGAGTGTAAAAGGTACAACTAGTCTTCAAGAGTCGCAGGAATAATCTGTGACTACCGGTGTTCATTCCATAAAAAAAACTCGAAATAGTTACTTTATTGCACCACACAGAAAATGAAATATATAATACTAGCTGACCCAGCGAACTTCGTACCGCCATAAATATAGGGGCAGGTGGTAGAAGAGAAAATTTAGGTTGTATGTATTTTTTAATACCACATTATGAAAAAATAAATATTGTCCAAAAAAATTTAGGGGTGTGTAACGTAGAGTTCTATCAATTTCCTGGGATAACATTCCTCCTTACCCATATGAGTACACTACGTTACAATACCCAAAAGTTTGAATTTTGGCGCGAAGGCGCATTGTAGGTTTCAGAACACTACGTTACAGGTGGACAACCATTATCACTTAAGGATATGAAAAATAGATAGTAGCCGATTCTCAGACCCATGTAATATGCATTTAAAATTTCATAAAAATCGGTCAGACCGTTTCGGAGGAATATGGTAACTAACATTGTGACACGACGAACGAACGAGAATTTTATATATAAGATTTTAAGAATGCAACTAATAATTATTATTTGTTTTAGCGGAATTAATTACTATTCGTTTAGCTATACCTACCATTTCTTTTACATTTGTGAATGAGGATTTGTAATAGTAGCCATGCACACTACGAGAAATCGTTACGATCAGACTGTACAGTTCGAACGGAACAGTTTATCGTACGCGGCGTACGTATAGGAAACTGTGTAGTTTTATAACATACACGCTACGATTTATCGGTACCGTTCGTACGGTACAGTCTAATCGTAACGATTTCTCGTAGTGTGTATGGCTACCATAACGATTTTACTTGAGAATGCAGATTTATAGAACTAAGGATTCCATAAAACACAGTGTTTACAATTTGTTCTACGACAAATGTTGGCGAAGTTATGACCAAATTACTAAATGCATTTTTCGACTGGCCCGCGCGGTGGCTGTGACGTCACAGAGCTCTAGCGCTAGGTTTTGTTTGTGTGTTGGTTTGGTTGTACGCGCTTATCTCGCAAACTACTGGTCCGATATGCAAAATTATTTTTGCGTTGATTTGTCCATTTATCGAGAAAGACCAATAGGAGCGGAAAAACAAAAAAAATGTTGCCAAAACGGGAAAAATTATTCCCTTTGTGAACTTCGTTTGAGTCCGTTGCATAAAAAGTTAAGTTACGCAAAAATCGTGTATGACGGAATTGTTTCCCTTTAAAAGTTTATAAAAGTCCACGACTGCATGTCTTTTTAGGGTTCCGTACCTAAAGGGTAATAACGGGACCCTATAAGTAAGACTTCGCTGTCTGTCTGTCATCGGGCAGTTGTAATTTTCACAGATGATATATTTCTGTTGCCGCTATAACAACAAATACTAAAAATAGAATAAAATAAATACATAAGAGGGGATCCCATACAACAAAACGTATTTTTTGCTCTTTATCAATAAAGACAACAGGTAGACGCTTGAAATATTCACAATTTTTTAAGTTTTATTATTTATTTGTAACAAATTTAAATAATAAAATTAAAATAAAATAAATATTTAAGAGGGGCTCCCATACAACGGCAAAAACGGTGTTTGCTTGTTATTATCTTAAAGTGACTGATATTGTAATATTGTAGTAGTAATGACTGATACCCTTCGTGCGCGAGTCCGACTCGCAATTGGCCGGTTTTCAAGGATTTACTCACTATTAACTTACTAAGTAATAGTGATTATAATAATAGTTACCGACTATAACTTTTTTAAATTAATGCAGGTAAGATAACCAGCTAGCTAGCTGGTTGTCTACTGTAAATGAGACTACTAATCAGAGATGTAAAAGATACCTACATTAAAAAAAGTATCTAAAATACAAGATACCAGGTAGTTAAGTATTTAGGTAACAGATACAAGATACCTCTGGAAAAAGTATTTGAAATACCAGATACAAGATACGTATTTTCAAAATACCTTTTTTTAAGATGATAGATACTTTTTGAAACATAACATGTTAGTTATACAGCCAGTCCGCTGTGCCTGTTTTTTGTTAACAAAACTGTTAGGCCACGTCCCTAAAGACGTGGCTGCTATTCTTCTAATCATCATCATATTACGATTGATCTTACTTTGATTCGCGTTTTTTCAATATTTGTCAAGAACTATGAATGAATGATAGTTTCTGTGTATTTTTTTTTCGATATTCTGAAAGTGCAGGGTGTTTGTGATTGGTCAGGTTTAGGATGGGTGATCATGATTATGAATATGCAGGTTGTTTACGATTGGTTGAGTTTGGCATGGGTGACCGCGATTATTAATAATATGCAGCTTGTTTACGATTGGTTGGGTTTGGGATGGGTGACTGCGATTTTTTAATAATGCAGTGTTTACGAATGGTCATGTTCAAGAGATAAATCATTAATAAGCTCTGGTCTCTCTTTCTGATTTCTACACTGCATTACAAAACATACCAAAGAAAATTAACACTTTCAAACAACTCTTCTTCCTCTAGTGAACGCTAACAAAATATACGTTACTTAGGAGATGTTATGTTTTTTTGTTTACTATCACCTAACCCCATAACATTAAGTTGAACGGACAACAACATATGAACTTACGATTTTCTTTTCACAGTGATCAAAGTTCATAGGAAAGTAAAGCACTTAGGCTTAGAATAATAAAGCGCTAATTACAACAATGCATGCGTTTTGAAATAAATGTTGAAATTTATATAGGGTAAGAAAAAGTATCTTAGTAATAAAAGTATCTTCAAAATACTAAGATACTGAAAAAAATGGGTGCGTGTACTTATGTAGGCGCGTGAGAAGTTATCCTTCTTTGGCATCGTTTAAAATTTCATTTCATTTCATTTCAAATCTGCCCGTTCAAATCTGTCCTGTTTGCTTTGTTCAAATCTGCCCCACGGTCACTTGGAAAATAAAATATTACAAATAACGCGCCCGCGGCTAACTTCATTATGTTAAAATTTTGTGTTACAGTGATGAAAATTTCACTCTCATAATTTTTTCATAACGCGGCTAAAGAAGTATAACTTCAAAAGTATTTAAATATATGATACGAAATAATTTTCCAAAAGTACTAGATACAAATACGTATTTTTTATCTGCATCTTAGATACTTTTATGTAAGATAAGTCACATCTCTGCTAGTAAGTTATTACAAGTGCTAAAGTAATTTACTTGCACTTTCATCGCCTTTGTATTCGTTCCGCAATTGCTGTTGAAATTAAAATGTCCACTGCGCGGCGACGAACGCGCTTTTATATGCCATTCGACGCATTCCAGAAAAGTCCAGTGTAATTGAGAGGTGACTAAGACCGGCGAGTACGTGATTCCTAGTTATACGTAGGTAACACGCATGCACTCGCGCCTTTATCGAGGTCATTCACGTCGCGACTTCTGGGTAAATTAGTACCCTTATCACGAACCAATATCGAATTTGAATAGTTTGCCAGTGAGAATAGCAACGCCATAAAGGACGTAACGAGATGAACGAGAACTATCAGTACACATTTGAAAATGACATTTGGCACACGCAACAGATTCGTGCTAAGGGTACTGTTTCCAGTATTTTCGCGGTTTTGGTTCCGAGTGCGTTCGTGACAATATAAACATACATTGTCAAGCAATAGGAATTCAAACAAAGTTGCAATGTTCAAGAATTATTTATTTTATCCATCATCATTATACATAGTTGTCACTTATTTCGCGTACAAAAGCGACAAAAGCCTTTCATAGCTCAATTGACTTTGGCATGAAGTTACATTGTTTTTGTGCAGCCGCCAGGCGGCGTAGGCGCAGCTTTTACAATCCCCAACAGACGCTACAAGCGAAAACGACCGGCGCACATATTACTTTTAGATCGGAGAAAGAAGTATTAATATGAACTTATGATTGGATCAGTAGTGTTCGTTTTATATAGGAGAAGTAACATAGAAAACAAATGTCCAGTGCAGTTTTTAAAGTAACAACAAATGAAATAATACACGTACAGTGCGTCCAAGATCTTATGGCATTTGGATTACGTTGACAGGGCGCTGCTGGTGAATAAGTATAAGATTACTAAGTACGTATCACCTCACTAAAGGGAACGTTTTAATTAACAATTTCGAAAAGGGTAATCTAAACATATAAATAAAATTGGAGTGTCTGCTTGTAATATTGAAATAACCGCTTTTTACTACATGCATATGAATATATATTTTCTACAATTTTTGTCTGTCTGTTTGTTCTGGCTAATCTGTGAAATGGCAGGACCGATTTTGACAGGACTTTTATTGGCAGGTAGCTGATGTAATGAGGAGTAACTTAGGCTACTTTTATTTTAGAATAAAAAAAAACTAAAAGTTAAAGCGGACGAAGTCGCGGGCGGCCGCTAGTAGGAAAAATAAAAGGTTAATTTACACCTTCTTCTATTAGTAAAAGGCTTCTTTATATTTTCCTAAAATTAGTTCCGATTTCGAACACGCGCCACAAGATCTCTCACTCGGTCGCACTGTAGCTTGATGTGATGCAGACTTTGTGTAGTGAAAACTCAAGGATTTAGGGTTCAATAGTTCGTAGTCCGTTTGATCTCTTTTATTTATAAATAATTCAGAGAAACGAATGAAATGAAAATTTTGTAATGTGCGCCGTACCCAAACAATTTGGACATATTGAGAGTAATCGAAAAGCGGGTATAGATAAGGGAATTTCGTAACACTAGTAGCACAAAACTTACTGGGCAATTTTGTTTCTATATTATATTTAGGAATTAATTTGTAACAGTGATTCTTTAGCACAGCCGTGTTTCACTCAAAGTATAACAGTTTTACTTGAAAGCAAATTAAGCTAAGTGCGATGATAAACTGCTTCTAAATTTGTCGATTGCTCCATATGCTTCTTAAAATTAAAAATAATACAAAACACGGCAGTACTAAAGTGCTATCTAAGTAATTGCTGTAACGATGTTTCACTGGAAATTCAACAGAAATGCTAACATGAGGAGAGCAACTAATACTAATCTAAATTAAATGTACTGAGTTTCAAATTTCGGAAATTCATACAAGAATTAAGTAAAGCTCTATTTAATACAAAATAATCCCGATATATTAAACAAAAATAAAAACGAAATAACTACATAAAAACGAACGTATTGTTTTTACACGTAACATTATTACACAATAATAAAAAGGAAACTTGTTGAGACACCAATATTCATACATACTTACATACAAACAATGGATGTATTCAGCTACGTTCTAACGAGATAAACTAGAGTGTACAGTCGAACAAGTTGATAGTCTGCCACTTTTTATTATAACACGCTTATCCGATCGATGGGCCAAGCGAATAACAGTAAAATTTAAAAGACCCCCAATTTCTTCGACTGTACTATTCACGTATACACGTAGCTGTAAACATTAACCGTCTTTATTGTAATAACAATAGTGTAGCAAAATATCAATGAGAGCAATAGCTTCGGCTTCAGAATACAATTTCAATAAGTACTCGTAAAACTAACCGCATAAACGCCGCACTATCAAATTAAAGTAGACGTTACTTTCATTTTTAAACAAATAAATAATTATTAATCTATTAATAACAAACCTATCAATCATTCGCATAAGATCGAATATTTCATTTAGAATTTTATTAATAATAATTATAATAGGGATGGTTATTTTCGTATTGGCTAGCGATACGAAACAACATATCCGGTTTCCATGCATTCTTTACACACGTTACAATATTCATTCAATTACAATTAACATTCGGAATAGTATGTGAATTTCGACAATTTTTCAGGAAACGCGTAGTTGTGGAACAGAATCGATCTATATCACTTACGGTTCGAAAGTCTAAAACATACCTAAAGTCAAAAAGTACATCACAATAAATACTAAACTCTACGAACGTATATATAATATTTTAGATCTGAGACGTTTTAGAATTGGAAACGGAACTAGCTCCACTGTGAGTTGTTTTTTTTTACGATGGTCCGATTTCCATACAAAATGTTTTTCCAGAAACCCGAGCGGCCTGCTTACTATGCAGTATAACGAAATAAGATGACAGCTTTTCATTTGCACAAAAACAAAGTAAAAATTAAGAAATAAGATGTTTCCAGTTTTTTCATTATTTACTGTGTCATTATCAGTGCCGTCTTTGACCTACTGGACCTGGGCATATTAGGATAATGGGGCCCCTATGACTTCCGTTTGGTGATTTAACAGGAACTAGGGATTTTGTATTTGATCTTAGGGGGCCCCCCTATCGATCGCGGGGCCCTGGGCACTTGCCCAAAGTGCCCACTGGGAAAGACAGGTCTGGTCATTATCCACTTACATGATATCAACAATATTGTTGAAGTGTAAAAAATGGTCTATAGCTGTTCAAACACATCTTATTTCGAGCAAACAAAAGGCTGTGTGCATCACGACTTATCACAGCACCTCAACCACGCCTAGTTTCATATATTTGACATCGGCGGTACGATCCTCATACTTTTAAAGAAACCCTTATAAATACTGTTCAAAATCCTGCAAGTATCAGGCCGCGGAATGTGGAAAACGTGTTTTGTACGGCAACCGAACCATGAATATTTCGATTTAAATACGTACGGGGTGAATATTAAATAACTAATCTAGGGTTAGAGGTTAGGCTATAAGGTGGTAGGGGGGACGGGTATTTCGTTGCGACGCAGCGAGTTGCGGAAGGACTCTAGGGATGAGCGGAGGGTGAGGCAGAAGCCGCGGGAGGCTGGAATTAAAGGGTAATCTGGGGGAATGATGTCGGGAGGTGCTTGCCCATTAGACAGATGAACTATGTCCTCGAGACGACGGCAAAGGGCGCCTGCGTTGGCTCTCATGTGTTGGACTATCTCCTCGCGGAATGGTTCCGGAGGGTTCATCACCATTTTAGTCATGGATTGGACAAGTTTGAGGAGCACCATCTCGTTGTACATGCGAGAGTTCTCCTTGCCTTGTTGCGTGCCTGGTGAATGAGAATAGATTATTATAATAGTGCTAATAATATTGTAATAAACGGATAAGAAATAATATGGAATACGAACTGCGTTATAAAGTGGTTCCACGCAAACTGCGATCAAGTGGGCCGGATGAAAAAAATACGATCAACACGCCGATCATGGGATTGGTTGGGATTTCCGTTTAACATTGTCTTACCGAATGTATGGATGGCCGAATTCATTTGCTTGTTTTGTCATTTTTTTTTGTCTGAGTGCGTGTCGCGTTAGTATTGAACTTTAGTTGTATAAGTTTGGAACCATGTTTTAGCGGCCTTTGATACAGAGTAAAGGGTCTCACAAGCAGGTGGCCTACGGTCATCCCCCTCCTTGTCTTTTGTAAGCGATTGTGTGATAAAGAAAGCACTGCACTAACTAGTTTCCATTAACGGAGTATAAATAAATCCGATACTTGGTTCAGACATAAGACATTCTCATGCGAATGTGGCTTAGTAATCCCGATATATTAAACTTAGACTAAGTGACATTGAAATGAAATATATACTAAAAAAGAGAAACAAAAACCAATACGTAGGCGAATTATGGATCATCCAATCGCTTTTTATAGGGTTGATGACTAACTTTTTTTTTCTGCGTCTTAAAAGTACCTGGATTATAAAAAAGTACACGTACGTACACGGTCACGTATTTTTTCTTTTTTCACATAATCAAAAACATGACATAGATACATTGATTTGAAATGTCGCATGACGTCACGTCTTAGTACAATATTCACGGACGGACTAAATATAATTTCGTTTAATCTATTCCGTCATCACCCCTATCATCTGTTGGGTGGGGGAATGCGCGTTAATTCTCTATCTATACAGGGTGTAAAAAATCCTATGACAAAGACTCAAACTACGCATTCTGTACACCCAAAAAAGTAATATTACAAAATATTATATGTGGAAAAAATTGGTATCTAAAGAAAATATAACTAGAAAAAATTCCACGCGGACCAGGCAGCAGACGGGACTCGAACCCGCACCCTTCGCAATCCGGGCGAATGCACTGACCAATTATGCTACCGCGGCCCTCACGGACCGCGTCGAAATTCTTTCTAGCTATTCTTAAGCTGCAAGGCAGCGCCATCTCTTCGCATTATAGGTAAACCCACAATGTCAAATGAATACTTTTACAAGTATTAAACATTTGAAAGAAGAAATAGCAATTATAGTTATAATTTTTATTATTTTTAAAGCATGTAACTGCTTGATGTTTAAATCTAAAGAAAATATAACTAGAAAAAATTCCACGCGGACCAGGCAGCAGACGGGACTCGAACCCGCACCCTTCGCAATCCGGGCGAATGCACTGACCAATTATGCTACCGCGGCCCTCACGGACCGCGTCGAAATTCTTTCTAGCTATTCTTAAGCTGCAAGGCAGCGCCATCTCTTCGCGTTATAGGTAAACCCACAATGTCAAATGAATACTTTTACAAGTATTAAACATTTGAAAGAAGAAATAGCAATTATAGTTATAATTTTTATTATTTTTAAAGCATGTAACTGCTTGATGTTTAAATCTAAAGAAAATATAACTAGAAAAAATTCCACGCGGACCAGGCAGCAGACGGGACTCGAACCCGCACCCTTCGCAATCCGGGCGAATGCACTGACCAATTATGCTACCGCGGCCCTCACGGACCGCGTCGAAATTCTTTCTAGCTATTCTTAAGCTGCAAGGCAGCGCCATCTCTTCGCATTATAGGTAAACCCACAATGTCAAATGAATACTTTTACAAGTATTAAACATTTGAAAGAAGAAATAGCAATTATAGTTATAATTTTTATTATTTTTAAAGCATGTAACTGCTTGATGTTTAAATCTAAAGAAAATATAACTAGAAAAAATTCCACGCGGACCAGGCAGCAGACGGGACTAGAACCCGCACCCTTCGCAATCCGGGCGAATGCACTGACCAATTATGCTACCGCGGCCCTCACGGACCGCGTCGAAATTCTTTCTAGCTATTCTTAAGCTGCAAGGCAGCGCCATCTCTTCGCATTATAGGTAAACCTACAATGTCAAATGAATACTTTTACAAGTATTAAACATTTGAAAGAAGAAATAGCAATTATAGTTATAATTTTTATTATTTTTAAAGCATGTAACTGCTTGATGTTTAAATCTAAAGAAAATATAACTAGAAAAAATTCCACGCGGACCAGGCAGCAGACGGGACTCGAACCCGCACCCTTCGCAATCCGGGCGAATGCACTGACCAATTATGCTACCGCGGCCCTCACGGACCGCGTCGAAATTCTTTCTAGCTATTCTTAAGCTGCAAGGCAGCGCCATCTCTTCGCATTATAGGTAAACCCACAATGTCAAATGAATACTTTTACAAGTATTAAACATTTGAAAGAAGAAATAGCAATTATAGTTATAATTTTTATTATTTTTAAAGCATGTAACTGCTTGATGTTTAAATCTAAAGAAAATATAACTAGAAAAAATTCCACGCGGACCAGGCAGCAGACGAGACTCGAACCCGCACCCTTCGCAATCCGGGCGAATGCACTGACCAATTATGCTACCGCGGCCCTCACGGACCGCGTCGAAATTCTTTCTAGCTATTCTTAAGCTGCAAGGCAGCGCCATCTCTTCGCGTTATAGGTAAACCCACAATGTCAAATGAATACTTTTACAAGTATTAAACATTTGAAAGAAGAAATAGCAATTATAGTTATAATTTTTATTATTTTTAAAGCATGTAACTGCTTGATGTTTAAATCTAAAGAAAATATAACTAGAAAAAATTCCACGCGGACCAGGCAGCAGACGGGACTCGAACCCGCACCCTTCGCAATCCGGTAAACCCACAATGTCAAATGAATACTTTTACAAGTATTAAACATTTGAAAGAAGAAATAGCAATTATAGTTATAATTTTTATTATTTTTAAAGCATGTAACTGCTTGATGTTTAAATCTAAAGAAAATATAACTAGAAAAAATTCCACGCGGACCAGGCAGCAGACGGGACTCGAACCCGCACCCTTCGCAATCCGTAAACCCACAATGTCAAATGAATACTTTTACAAGTATTAAACATTTGAAAGAAGAAATAGCAATTATAGTTATAATTTTTATTATTTTTAAAGCATGTAACTGCTTGATGTTTAAATCTAAAGAAAATATAACTAGAAAAAATTCCACGCGGACCAGGCAGCAGACGGGACTCGAACCCGCACCCTTCGCAATCCGTTGTTTACCTATAATGCGAAGAGATGGCGCTGCCTTGCAGCTTAAGAATAGCTAGAAAGAATTTCGACGCGGTCCGTGAGGGCCGCGGTAGCATAATTGGTCAGTGCATTCGCCCGGATTGCGAAGGGTGCGGGTTCGAGTCCCGTCTGCTGCCTGGTCCGCGTGGAATTTTTTCTAGTTATATTTTCTTTAGATTTAAACATCAAGCAGTTACATGCTTTAAAAATAATAAAAATTATAACTATAATTGCTATTTCTTCTTTCAAATGTTTAATACTTGTAAAAGTATTCATTTGACATTGTGGGTTTACCTATAATGCGAAGAGATGGCGCTGCCTTGCAGCTTAAGAATAGCTAGAAAGAATTTCGACGCGGTCCGTGAGGGCCGCGGTAGCATAATTGGTCAGTGCATTCGCCCGGATTGCGAAGGGTGCGGGTTCGAGTCCCGTCTGCTGCCTGGTCCGCGTGGAATTTTTTCTAGTTATAATTTCTTTAGATTTAAACATCAAGCAGTTACATGCTTTAAAAATAATAAAAATTATAACTATAATTGCTATTTCTTCTTTCAAATGTTTAATACTTGTAAAAGTATTCATTTGACATTGTGGGTTTACCTATAATGCGAAGAGATGGCGCTGCCTTGCAGCTTAAGAATAGCTAGAAAGAATTTCGACGCGGTCCGTGAGGGCCGCGGTAGCATAATTGGTCAGTGCATTCGCCCGGATTGCGAAGGGTGCGGGTTCGAGTCCCGTCTGCTGCCTGGTCCGCGTGGAATTTTTTCTAGTTATATTTTCTTTAGATTTAAACATCAAGCAGTTACATGCTTTAAAAATAATAAAAATTATAACTATAATTGCTATTTCTTCTTTCAAATGTTTAATACTTGTAAAAGTATTCATTTGACATTGTGGGTTTACCTATAATGCGAAGAGATGGCGCTGCCTTGCAGCTTAAGAATAGCTAGAAAGAATTTCGACGCGGTCCGTGAGGGCCGCGGTAGCATAATTGGTCAGTGCATTCGCCCGGATTGCGAAGGGTGCGGGTTCGAGTCCCGTCTGCTGCCTGGTCCGCGTGGAATTTTTTCTAGTTATATTTTCTTTAGATTTAAACATCAAGCAGTTACATGCTTTAAAAATAATAAAAATTATAAAAATTGGTATACTTAAAAAATATAAAAAAAATAAATAAAAAACAGTACGCAATGTATAGCGCGGCGTACTACTGTGGCGCTACGCAAAGGATGTGCCTATGTGTAAGTGCGTCGATCAAAAAGTTTCTGAATAACGTTTTGAAAATATTAATGTAAAAAAAATTGTGACTTTGACCTTCAATATCTCCATAACCAAAAATTTCCCAGGTAAGGTCAAGAAAAAAAAAAATATCGTCGTGATGTGGAAAATACGTGGAATTCGACTTCGGTAAAGGTTTTTTACACCCTGTATAACTACGGGTTTAGTTTGAATTCGACCGACCTTTCTGCTTCTCGTAGCCGGCCTCGTTGAAGTAGGGCTCCGCGTTCAGTATGAGCCCCTGCAGAGACACGATCACTTGCAGCAGCGAGCTGTCCTTGCCCCACACCTCTACGCCTCGGCCAGACCACGTGCCAAGGAGGGATACACACACCTAAAGATGGATAAAAAGTTTATTTCCATTTAGAGGCGGATTATCCTTAAGTCTAACTAGGCATGTGCCTAGGGCTAAAGAGGCGCGCGGGCGGAATTGTAAAATAAAAGAAATATATATACAGCATGAAATTAATTGGGCCAGTAAGTAAGCCACCTACTTACACACTAAAAACTATTATTTTTGCTTGCAGCCTCAATTTGATACAATTTATAACAAAAGATAAATTTTACGGATGGGACTGACTACTACTTACGCCTACAATCAACCTTGTCGATGGTACATGATTTCTGATTAAAGTTGGAAAGATACGACTGCAATGTTCGTCGCATCGCAACTGATTCGACTGCAACTATAGTAAGAGTTTTTTTTTAATATAGGGTGCCGATGAGGAGAAGCTTGCCTACGGCGCTCTCAACGTTTAATCCGCCACTGTTTCCATTATATATAGCCATTAACGTATAAAAACTAGTAGAATCACAATCGTGCTCAAAAGTGGCAGAAGCGAAATTACGCACGCATCAAGCAAAATTATGCACACGCATCAAGCAAAATTATGCACACGCATCAAGCAAATTTACACGCACGGTGAGATTATGCGTAATTTTCCAGTTGTGTTACGAACACGATTTGATTACAACACCACGCAATGACAAAGTGTTCGGTTAAAACTGTGCTAATGACACCCGATCCACATTTAAAATACACTGCCGGCCTTAATACAATACGTAAACGAAGCTTTAATCCTGCACTAAAATTGATGCTGTCACTTTTGTTTGCTAAAGAGTATAGTAGCGGCATATCAGAAATCAGAAATAACCCCAGAGGTCGAAGCACGAATTTTGACAGCTCCGTAATCATATCGTCATCGTGAAATTTTGCATGGAAGGAGCCAGTTTGTTCTTACGTCCGGTAGGGGCGCTGCTTAGTTTTCATTGAAACTTTGACGTTGCTATACCATTACGGAGCTGTCGAAATTCGTGCTTGGGCGTCAGTGTGCTCACCTTTCCATCTTCATACAGGTTGGGGTTGAGCCGGTCCGTACAGTGAGAGTGGTAGTGGCATAGCGGTGGGGCACGAGGGTATTCCCCGCCTAGTTGAACGTCGAACACGAACAAACCGCCTTCGTAAGGAGTTTTAGTGGGGCCTGCTATCATTACTGAGAGTAGATCGATGCGGTCTTCGAACGCGCGCACCCAGACCTGATACGAATATGAAACTAGAATTAATGTAAAGGTAGACCATTAATGACAATTTATTGGAAATAAATTCCTTTCCGGACGGTATGACAGGTGGAGGTAGGCGAAATTTTACTGTCACAACCATGGAGGTTAGTGTGCCGGATAGCGCACCTTTTATATCATTATGTTTTGTCTATGAGTTTTTGATACTTTTTTTTATTGAGATTATTATTCTTTGACATTAAATTGATTGCTTTTCCTTGTCACTGCCACCACTGTTTTATTTTCTCTTATAATAATTAAAAATACAGTCCTTATCATCCACAGTTAGAGAGAAGGAAAACGATCGCTACGTGCGTAAGCATTAGCCAGCCAGTCCCTGAAAATTTATAGTTGATTTTGCAGCCACCAGCCGCGCTGCCGTCGGTAAGTACTATCTGTGAAGTTAGCTGTTTATGAGTACAAATAAGTGAAGTTAGTTGAATAACGGTCAAAAATTTTCTTCGCGGCATTGGTCATTTCAAATTAGCACACAACAGCCCGCTTTTATTGAAACAACTTAGCGATCGCAGCGCCCCACTTTTTTGTGCATATTTCTAGGAAACTATTTTCTACAGCAATCTTTCTCCTTCTCTCTAACCTCCATGGTCACAACCTAGCGAGGCAGCTGAGCATGTAGCTAAATGAGACCACTGATGGCGGTGGTTGTGGACTTGGTTTAAAGTTTTGTTAGGTAAGTGATGGACCGGGAGCGTGTGCGATAAACCGGGGGCGTGTGCGATGGACCAGGGGCGATGGCAATGGACCGTCCGCACTGAGCAAACTCCGCAACGGGCCCAGTGCGGATTGGTGGGTAGGATACTTTTTAAATGGAATAGGGAGATTGGGCAATGATTAGCCACACGGGTCCAATGCGTAGTGGTAAATAAATATTTATAACCGACTGTTCCACGGCACCTACGCAATGTTTTCTGATCGAGCACGCAGCGCGAATTGTTGTTCTTTTTTTACATTTTTCTTAGATGTTTTGGAACTTTTACTTCAGAGTCTTTTGACAATGGAACGCCAAGAATTTTATAATGTAAATTGTATTCGTGCTAATGTTACAAGCAATCCCATCATTATTAACAGCTTATTAATGTTGAGACTGCTTGGGGTTAGGGCTTTCCTATGGATGGTGTAAAGAGAAAAGGCGTTGATCTACCGCGCGAGTCCAATACGAATTGGTTGGTGCTAAATACTACAAATGCAATCAGGACCAACGGCTAAGTGTACCTTGCAAAGTAGGGAAGAATTTGAGATATCACATTTTGAAGTTTGCTTAACTTCCATATAAGCTGTACGAACGTGCTAAACACTACCCCAATTTTAATACAAATTACCGAATACAAAATAGGTTTAAAAGTGAAAATATAAAATAATCCATAGTGATCATTGTAAGCATAAAATTTCTTGTAACATAAAAGCTTTGTGAGTAACATAGTTTAAAAATGCCATTACACGCTCACCAAAGCTGCGAGAACATGAGAAAGAAATACATTACTATATGCATTATTTGACGATATCCGTGGCCGAGTGGTTTTTACGCCGGGTTTCATGGTGTCGCTGACTCGAGAGGTCCCGGTTCGAATCCCGGTGGGGGCAGATGTTTGTACGACGAGCATTTGTTTTTCAGTCATGGATGGTTACTATGTATATATAATAATAGGTAACCAAAAACTTATTATGTCGAGCTCCTCCGTGCTTCGGAAGGCACTTTAAGCAGTTGGACCCTGTTGCATCTGCAGTTGTTGGCACCCACCATTTCACACTTTGCCGCGTGGTTGGTCATGGCTAAATCTCCCAATGCCATCCATAGGGAAGGCCTGTGCCCCAGCAGTGGGAACATTAAAAGGCTGATGAAGATGATGATTACTTCAATAGCTTTAACGCCAGATTGCGTAGCAGCAAGCATCCCAGCAAGATATACCCTTTCGGACTCATCTATCGGCCCACTTACATTTAAGTTTTGACAGTCCCTAGCTAAAAATAAATGTTACATTGAGCAAAAAGTTATTATTTATTACCTTCGCAGTTTTAAAGGTAATTTAATTTATTAACCATCTTTTTATGTGTTTTTAAATTCTTGCTCAACCATAATGTTTATGCTACAGATCTTTCAAACTTATAACATTAATTAGGCCCACAGATGTGTCCGAAAATATAACAGTGGTCCCTGGACAAATAATAATAACTCTAATATCATAGACGGTGAGTATAAGCGTTTGAAATTTTAAAAAATATTAAAATCACGTAGTCACTGTATTTTTTTTACTTTTGCTTTTATGAACTTTATTTTCAGAACAGCTTAATACCCGATTTATTTATTTATGACTATGTTCTGTTTAGTAATCTAATTAGTTCGCAAACTGCGATCAATTGGGCGGGGCAAGGAAACTACGAGCAACTCGCGGATCATGGGATTGTTTGGGATTTCCGTTTAACATTACCCAATGAATGGATAGCCGAATTCATTTGCAGATATTTGATTTGTCAAAGTATAAAATACTCACATAGGAGCTCGATGGTGGTGGTGGTGGTTAGCGCGTTCGGCTGCGATCGATGAAGTTAAGCAACTTTAGCAGTGGTCGGTCATTGGATGGGTGACCAAAAATCTTCTATCTGGAGTTCCTCCATGCTTCGGAAGGCACGTTATGCTGCCGTCGTTAGCACCGGCTGGGCTCGCGTGGTAGGCGATGGCCCAATCTCCCTGTTCCATCTATAGGGAAGACCAGTGCCCCAGCAGTGGGGATATTAATAGGCCGATGATGATGATGATAATACTCACACCCGGAGGAAGATCGCTTTTGAGTAGTTTGATTTCCCGTTTAACCGCCGAATAGAATGTCCTCGGCTCGGACGGCTGCAGCATGGAGAGGTGGAAGCGGTGCGCCACAGGGGCGGACTCCAGCACGCAGAACCCCTCGCCGCCGCCCACGCTCTCGCTGGTGCCCACCGAGTCCGGCTCTGGTTCCACCTCCGAGGGCTCAGCGGAGGCTAGGGGAGCAGTCTCTGTGGCAGGAACTGTGGGAAGGGTAAATAGAGAATTTTAACTTATTGAAAGTGCGATAATAGGATGAATAAAGGGACAATAGTGGCGATGCTGGCATGATTTTCTAAACCTAAAATTAAATTTGACAATAAGGATCATTATCTATACAGAATAAAGTTTTTAGCTTATATAATAATTACAGAAAACTGGTTCGCGAGATATTGTACTAGTAGATTGTAAAGATTTTGAAACATTTTGTAAACAGTAACTAAGAAGTTTCTCATAGACTCAAAGAATCATGCCAGAATCGACACCAATATTCATAAATGTTTTATATTTAAAGATATTCCAGACTGCTTGGGCAGAATGAAATAATATGCAATACACACTGCGCAAAAAAATGGTTCCAAGCAAACTGCGATCAAGTAGGCGGGACAAAAAACTGAGATCAACACGCGGATCATGGGATTGGTTGGGATTTCAGTTTAACATTATATTGGTGTCGATTCTGGCGTGATTCTCTAAACTTAAAACTAAATTTAACATCAATCTCTCCTTTTCATTCCGTATAGAGAATGACAAGGATACACTGTTGCCAAATTTAAGTTTAGAGGATCGTGTCAGAATTGACAGCATTACCCAATGAATGGATAGCCGAATTCATTTGCAGATATTTGATTTGTCAAAGTATTTTGTTTTGTCTCGTGTGCTTGTCGCGTTAATATTTTAGCGTTACATTTAGCTGTATGAGTGTGGAACTATGTTTTAGCGGCCTTTGTTATAGAGTAATGCTCCCATATCATTTCTAATTTCATATAAGGCTAATAGTAATAGGTACCGTACCGTTAACTTCGGAACTGGTTGCCGTAGTAGTGTTCGTGGCAATGGTGACGTCTTTCGCCTCATCCAGATCTTTTTCCTTGTCTTTCTCGTCCTGGTCCGCCATACTCACTACAAGCGCGCCGTACTGACTGTAAATCAAATTGCTTATATAAATCGTTAATTTTATTTATAGGCAGTACTTTTTGAACTATCTGTTGTATTAGGCTATTTGACAGTATAAAAAATAAAGTACTAATTGTTGGCATCTATATGTATTTAACATTAGTAGCGATTTTACTATGCTGAGAACAAATAATTAATAAAATTTCTAGAAAAACAGTAAATAGATCTTTTTTTGTTATACGGTCACGTAACAGAAAACGTTTGGGATTGGCCAAGACCAATAGTGACGTCACACGGGACGTAATTAAACTATTATATTCTATCGTTTTTTTAATAACAGTCGTGTGACGTCACATGCCAGTAAGACGCCATACTGTCTAGAGAAAAGTTTTTGCGGCAACTCGAAAATGGAATTTTCGATGTAGTTTTGTTACTGAAATACACATCAGAATGATGAATATCTAACATTAGTAAATATCGTGAGATAATTTTTTCAAAACTTGTCAAATATCCTATTATACAACTGACACTCACACTGACACGGTTTCACATGCGTGATATGCGTAGTTCTTATTGGCATGTAATAAAGGTAATAAAACTTAAACACTTATTGGGGCATGAGGTGAGCTTAATCGATTTTTTACAGATTCCTGGCATTTCTGATCTCTTTCAGGATCTGTGGTCACAAGATTTAGATGTAAGTAACCTTTAATCAATTGTATAGACTAACATTCTCCTTATAATATTTATCAGGCACATTCTCATAACAAATAAATTGAAAACACATAAAACATATAATTTTATTAAGTGAAATTGTTTAATTCAATTTTGTGTTGATTAATGTTTCAGAGTTCTGTTCATGTAGTAACAGTTTTTGTTACTATATCACTTCAGGAAAGATTTAATTTAATTGACGTCTGTGAGCGCGGCTGCTAAGAGTTTATAATTGTCTACATTTGGAGAACAAAGTGAGAATAATTTTCTTATATATTTAATCATTTCAATGCTGTCAAATTATCGAATATATTAGTTTTAATAATATTTAAATTTTGAGAAATTATTAACCAGATTTTTTATCCAAAGAAACTATTTCAGACTTTACTATACTTTCAGATTCTGTATTTAACTTTAAGAATAATACTAGGTTATTACCAAATGTCTATGAAAACAAAACTTATATATAGTAAAATTCCACTACACATCGAGACTGGATGAATTAGTCCATGAGGGTTCCAAAATACTGAAACAACTGGCATATCTCGTGTCATTAAAGAACGGAATCGCAAATGACGACGTAAGATATTCTGTCCCTCTCGCACGCTATCCGAAGTAACGTGCGAGAGAGACAGAATGTTTTGCGTCGGTATTTTCGATATCTTCCTTTAGTGATACGAGTTTTGTTTATAGTAGGTAAATATGAGTAATAATCATGCATCGATAATGTACTAAGAAGAATGCAAGAAATTGCAATTTAAAATAGCTGTAAATAAAAAGAATCTTTCCATACATTATTTGGCAATATTAGGCTTATTCACATGCGGAGACGCGGCATTCACATGACAGCTTATGTACGCGTTTCAGTGCGTTGCCACGGGGGTATGTAGACAATGATAGATGTTTGCTTTGATTTTGTATAAGTGGCGGCATGAAACCATAGCGCTGACCGTTATTGCGCAGAAGTAAAAAAATATGATGTCTTGGGGGGAAACGAGGTGCGCGGGTGTGCGTGCGTTGCGCCGATTGGCTCTCCAGTCGTACCCATGCGCAGCTATCCCCTCCGCGTTTTGTTCAGCGCTAGAGTTACGTGCCGCGCGGTAGGTAGCTCTTATGTAGGACATATGAACTAAGCCTTTGTTTTGAATTTGTGGAGTTACGACTTTGTAAAATAGGTACATTATGTTTACTGGGAATAGCTTAGTTACAATCTTATTGCGATTTCTTGCAATGTGACCTACATTAACTATAAGTTCATTGAGACAAGGATCTAGGATCACAAGAGAGGGATCACGCAAACTTACATTAAACAAATTCTGAGGGCTACGTGAGATACTTTGAACAGTCGACTAAACGGACATAGGTTCGATGTTACATAATATCACAATACAAATCGGATTCTAGAGAAATTAGGTTACCACTTTTAACAGAGTCATCTACATGAAAACATAATATAAAACACAAAACAGGGAAAGAATACAATGAAATTAAAATGAAAAACATAAAATGTAAACACTGTGGGCTGTTTTTTTTGCAGTTGATTGTTAGCTGTAGTTAGTATTTTGTGAACTTTAGAATTTTGCTGTTGATGGATTCAATTTATTAGGATACATGACTTTTTATTTCTAAAGTCATGAAAGTTTTAATTACTGATGGTATTATTATAACTTGACACTAATGAATAGGAGAAGCAAGAATTTGCTATTTCTTACATGAATTTATGTTTAAACCTTTTTTTAACCACAGTGTAAAGATGACTCCAAAATGATAATGAACACTTGACAACAAAACAAAAGAATCTAGTTTTTCATTGATTTTAAATGATTTGTTTAATATAAGTATTGCTATTTAATTCGCTAGTGGTGTGTTAAAAATGGAAATTAGTTACAGGGTACAGTTATTACCTGACTTAGTTACCCTTTGACTATATAAATATATAATGATTATTTACAATAATACAGAGACAAGAAGCTACATACAGCGCTAGTCTAACAAACCTAACGCACAGTTAAGGCTTGCGGAGTAAGTATAAATGCAGTTATTTCGTAATAAACAATTGTGGTCTCATTCACATTCACATGTTACCAAAGAGGATGTGATGCAAAATTAACATAAAACATAAAATAATATACATAGAACTTCATACATTTGCGGAGGCTGATGTTTTTATACTAAACTAAAAAAATGTTTTCTTTCATGCTAAAAGAAAATAATCTTGAATTTATACTATTAAGGCAAATGCGTTTGCCAATCAGTACCCAACAACAAAATTATGTTGTTTCATTCTCAGTTTATTAGTAAAATTGACAGAGGGGAATATAAAGAATAGGACCAAATTAGTAGACCACATACAGGCCATTACCAAAAGCATACGTGCAAAATGCAGATTGGATGACTAAAATCATTTATCGATATATTTCTGCTCGAACCACCGTTGTCTGACGTTACATTGAATAAAATGGAATGTAATTAGTAATGATTGCGCACAAATGTATGGAATTCCGTGAAAACGAAAAAAAATGAAAGGAACAAGGATAAAGAAGGGAAGGATGAAAGCAAATTAAAACACAGGCTCACACTGAAAAGTGGTAGGGTAACTTCTCTTCCGTCGCGTTTTGCTTTCTCATAAAGCTGTTTAGGAAATCGGCCAACTCTTGCGGCCTTCTCCTGCGGGCATACAAACGTACAACGTTTATTATGTATGTATGTATGAAGGCAGTACGCATGTTACCTGGTGTAGTATTTTTTATTGCTAATGCGAACACTTTGGCGTGGCTGCTGTCTTTGGCGGTATATAAGACATACCGCCATCTTACAAAACATAGTTCAATCAATCATCTATTTCAGATAACATCAAGCAAGACCCGCCGGATTAATGTATACCGAATCTCGAAGGAACTGTACTGGATAAGAACTATACAACAGAATGTATTTTATTATAAATATTTGAGTGATGAAAAAAATATATACGTTATTATACGTTAAACACAAAGACGCCGGGTGCCTGAAGTCAACTGAAGGAGTTGTGGTGTTCTTCTATAATATTATTGTGAATGGTACTGTGAATGTAAAAATTATATATTAATAGAAAATTATGTACTTATTCCATTCAAATTTATAGCATAACATTTTCATTTGCTTTATCTTCTTCTCTCGATATTGCTAGAGACGTTAGAAAAAAAACTACATAGTGTAAATTTAGTGAAGTCAACGAGTAAGATAAAATGTGACGAAAGTAGATGAAAATATATTTTAATAACAGCCTTGTTGAAATATAACCTGGCAAAAGTTTTTAGTTATTTGTATCTCTGATCATCTTAGTATTTATCTTAACAATTCTTTGACGCCATAGAAACATTTCAATGTAGCTTATATGAATTTCTTACCGACTGACTTCTGCATGCGCCTTGACCAGTTGCGAGTGAATCAAGGAGCAGAGCTTGTAGCAAACGTTGCGTGTGGTGCCGTCGACGTCAGACGCCTCTGTGGACGCTGTGATCGTAATTCATAATTCATTAATTTATTTGTACAAATGCGGTATAAACATAAAGGTGTTAAAATCAGTTAAGTTCTGCACATTTACCATTTCTGGCATACATTTTTTTTGCTTACAATTTAAAAAAAAATCATGCACGCCTATCAATTGGAACAGTTTAATACTAAATAATAACAAAAGCTAATAAATTCAATAAACAATGTCAATATTATCAATTAAATCAAAATTATTCCATCATGTCAAATAATATTAAAATAAAACAAATAATACATCACTTCATAATAACATAAAATTAAATTCGGTAATATAAAAAACAATAAAATTAATATAACTATGATATGCCAAAAAAATCGTTCCAAACTTTGTGTTAAAATTACATTGAAATAAACGCAGGAGTAAACAAACTTTTGGAGAGATGTCAAGAGGAACAAAACAAGGACGTAATGATATCAATATAAGTCTCATAACTGCTACTTAATCACAGCTATTTGTAGTAATTTATCAGATCGAAGTTACTCGGACATAGAATCTTATAACTTGTGTCATTAAAAAAAGGAATCCTAAATGACGACGTAAGAAGTTCTATCCCTCTCGCACATGCTATCCTCAGTAACGTGCGACAGAGATAGAATGTTTCTCATCGGCATTTTCGATTGCTTTCTTCGGATGCACATAGTGGTGGATAAATCTTTTTCGCCATCGTTATCACACAATAGATCGTGAGACGCCCTTAGCATTTATACACTTACGATTTTCGCCGATTTGTGCGTTGTCTTGGCTGACGTTTGATTCCGAACCTGATGCTTGGACTGGCTCGATGTTTAGATGCAGCTGTTTCTTGGGAGTACTTCCTTCAACCTAAAAGGTAACGTTATATATTATATATAACGTTATTATAAGTCAGTCACACGACACCTAATATCCTAAACATATCAAGCATGGTCAGTGCTATTTAAGCTTAGATTACAACAAAAAGGGAAGATACAGGTGCATGAACACAATAAAATTCGATATAGTCGTAATTTGACATCCAATCACGCATTTGCATCAATATAACAATATTACGTTTTATGTGTTAAAAAGATTAAACAATGCCTGCCAACAATTATTTTAAAAGAACGCAAATAGTTCAAGATAAAATAACGAATTCCACGGCATCACTTTTCATTCGTAAGTTTTAAAAAACATTTTTTTCACAAAAATCATGGTTTGTCATGAATGTTATTTACTTATATTCGCCATTTGTTATCAAGAAAAAGACAACAATATAGCTCAGCCATGTGAAGAGAGAAAAGAAAACGCAGTCGACTGCCATGCGACACGAACTCGCGTTAAAGTGTGGTTGAAGCATACAGTTCTGTCGCGCTTGCTCGATTGAATGTTTGTTTATAGAAGTGTGCTTGTGTGAGAGTCGCTTATGTAGTTGAGGCGGAGCATATTTTATTTGATGCTAGTATGAGCGTACCATATGCTCCCTTTTCGTTTTAATCTTAGTGTCTAAGTAATTTAGTATTACGCGAACCTAACAAGCTTGATGAGAAAGCCGACTCGATAGCTTTGGTGACAAATACACTAAGGAACATATAACAAAGAGAGAAAATTCAATAATACTAATAGTGTGGACTCTTAAGTAAACTTTGCTTGTGCCCAGTGCAAAACTATTCCAATTCGATATTGGTTCGTGCTAAGGGTACAGATTAGTGGTTGCTAACGACGGTAGAATGCAGATAGAACCAACACGGCTTGTGCCTTCAGAAGCAAGGAGGAACCTGAGAGAATTAGCTAGCCATTGCGAAACTTTCTTTACCTAAACTATATAAGATGTATACACTCTGGTAAACTTCTTAAGCATAAACATATAGACAACGGAGCCTGCGCAGTAACAATAGGGATGACGACGGAGTAAAGAAAACGAAATTATATTTAGTCCGTCAGTTAGATTACCATAAAATATTGGACAAAGATTTAGTCAATCAACTAAATAATGACCAAGATAAAGCGCGTCAAAGTTTAGGAATGGCGACGTTGCGTCATGCGACATTTCAAAACAATATTATCCTTGTAATGTTTTGATTTGTGAATAAATAAAAAATACGTATCTAATACATTTGGACCTGATAGACGAAGAAAAAAAAAGTTAGTCATCATCCCTATTTAACATACAAAAACGTTTACTGCGCGAGTAGACAAATGAATGTCTAGTTATTTGAAAAGGCTAAAAAGACACGACATAGTTTAAACTCTCACCTCACCGAGTGGTACCTTTTCAAATAAGTAGAAGGCTCAATTGTAGTCACGCTCTTCCCGTCAACTCGAACCCGTAACTAATCGGTTTAAAGTCGTAAAAAAGGGAACTGATTGAAGATATAAAAACTATTTTATATGTGGTTTTGCTCGAAGAGTTTGCCGTTACAGTGCTACAGTTACATAGCTACAGTTATACCTACAGTGCGATTCAACTAAGAATAGGACTGACTGGGCGCCATATTGTGATGTCATAGCTGTTAATTCAACCCGGTTAGGTACAGTGAGCAAAAAAGATTTTCTTTAATAAAACTTATTTACCAAGATTTCAAATGAGAAAATATCATTTTTAACTAATATTGAGAGAACTAAAAACCTCATTTTTAATAATATTTAATTATTAAGGCAGAGTGAGAAAAAACATAAATCGTAATTGAGCTCTTTAATATCGGTCATCTCTGCACTACCGTCGGAGTAGTCATCATCATCACTACTGCTTTCGGCTATAAAATAAAATATCGATTATTGTAGGTTTTTTAAACGATAACTTTAGTTAAAATAACAACGGTCTTTTTATTACCTGTATTTATAATAAAACCAAAGTTCTGATGATATTTCCCTTGTCCAGTACTTATTTTCTATACGTTCACATGATTTATTAACTACTTTTGTTAACAAATGTTTGGTTTTTATTTTAAGATTAGCTTAGTGCTAACAGTGTTCTAAGATTTTTTGCAAACCGTACTTACCAAGCGACATTTGATAGATGGAGGTTACATTAACATTTACAATTGGCTTTCCTATTCTTATTTGAATCGCATAGTATGTCTTCTCACCTCCATGGGTTCCACAGTGACATTGGCGGTAAGTATCGGCTGCAGGGGCGCGTCTTCGTCTACATCCACGAGCATCGAGTCTAGAGGTGGCTCGGGCGGCGTTTCGTTCGGCGCGAATAAACGAGCTAGTTGCTCGTGCACGCGCCGCTCTCCCGCTCGCGGCGTGCTCGCGCCGCGTTCGCGAACGCGTTCTAGCAAACCCTGTGTAATGAACCAGTATAAAATATAAGTAATAATAATAAATAAATAAATATTTCCAACACACACCAATTAGCCTAGCCCCAAAGTAAGCACTATAAGGCTTGTGTTATATGGGATACATATACTGTACATATATAAGTATATTTTTAAAGAAATTCATATTAAACATACATGACTGGAGTACAAATGCTCGTATTCATCACACAAACATCTGGCCCCACCGAGAATTGGGACCTTTCGAGTCGGCGACACCATGAAACCCGGTGTACAAACCACTCGGCCACGGAGGTCGTCTAAAGTATGTAAGTGAAACAATATTGACGTAATGCCAGTATCTTAAAATACTTTCTGAAATCAATTTGCAATTTCTCAAATTCAACTCACCAAAAAGTGATCTTCGTGGAAGAAGGAAGTACCCATCAATCGATCCAAAAATCGGCAGTCCTTATATAATTGGAGTAATTTACGCATGATCTAAAAACAAAAAAATCAAGTTTTAAGTACTGGTATATTTACTAAGTAAAAAAAAGTATATAGTATCCTGTAGGATGAATACAATGGGGTTGATTCTGACATGATTGGCTAAACTTAAAACTGAATTGGAGAAGTCTCCTTTTCATTTTGTAAAGTATGACACGAATACACAGTTATCATATTATTTTTTTTAGGTTTACAGAATCACTAGTTTAATGTTACCACGCAGACCAAAGTCGCGGGCACCCACCGCGTATAAAGTCTGCGTGGTAAAATTGGTTTCCCATACAAATTTCCACCTCACAGATACACTTTTGCATTTATAATATGATACGTCCGCGTTAACTTTAGTTTATGAAAATCCCTCAAGAACCTAACAATTTTCCGGGATGAAAAGTATCATCCAGGTCCTAAACTATATGCGTACCAAATTTCATCCAAATCAGTTCGATAGTTTTTGCGTGATTGAATTAAAAACATACACACTTGCACATTTATAATATTAGTAAGATAGAATGTATGGCAGAATCAGGTCAAATATAAGAAGCTCATTAGTTTGACGATACAGCGAAGCAACACTGCCAGTCTTCTGGGGACCGTGCTCCGCACAGGCGAACTCAATGAAATATTTAATTTGTAATGATTGTTGTACCTTTTGTTGACATTAATAAACCCACTTATACTTTTAATGTAATAAGCTCATAACTAACCTCTTGGCTCTGTAACGTAGGATGTTTAGCGAACATCTCTTCCAGGCGTCGCATGGCTACCCTGCCTCGTTCTATATGGGCCGCGACACGTGGCTCCAGTAAACGCGGCACTCCTTCCACTGCCGCTGTCGTTGTGGCCACCGGCTCGTGCGCCGGCTGATTCACGAACACTAGGAACGAACCGTCTGACCCTTATTATAGACTGCTCTTTACCACACGAGTAAGGAAGGACCTCAATGGCACGGGTGGTAAGCGCTTTCGGCTGCAATCGTTGAAGTCAAGCAACTTACGCAGTGGTCGGTCATTGGATGGCTGACCAAAAATCTTCTATCTCGAGTTCCTCCGTGCTTCGGAAGGCACGTTAAGCCGTTGGTCCCGGCTGCATCTGCAGTCGTTAGCACCCGTCAATTCGCACTGTGCCCGCGTGGTGGGTCATGGCCCAATCTCCCTATTCCATCCATACGGAAGGCCTGTGCCCCAGCAGTGGGGATATTAATAGGCTGATGATGATGAAAGAAGGCAAACAACTAAGCTTAGAGTCGTCGCGTGACGACACTTCATTAGTGCGCCCGGAACAAAGTGCTTGACTAATCCAGTCACTTTTGACGCGTCACTGCGATTCTATATTTGCATAACACATATTTGTACCTTATTAGGTTATTTGACAGTTTGAAAAAAAAAAGGACTATTCTAAATAATATCTTTTCTAAAAAATCATTAAATAGAAATAATCTTTTTGTTCTATGGTCACGTGAACGAAAACGCCTGGGATTGGCGAAGACTAAAATGACGTCATACGCTAAAAACTTCCGGTCAAAATGACATTACATTGTATAATTTGACGTTCTAATGACAGTTGTGTGACGTCACATGCTAGTGAGACTCTGGACAGTCTTGAAATAGGATTTTTTATTTGCCGTGCGAAATCGATCAGTACCTTAACATTATAATAAATGTATTCTCACCGTTAGTGGGTGCGGGCGGGGTAGTGGGGACGGGCGCTGGGGCATCAGGCGTTCGCGGTGTAGCATCGTGCGCAGAACTTTGAGTTTCCCAAGAATCTTCAGACCCTGACCCTTCTGAACCCCACAGCTCGCCGTCCTCGGAGTCGTACTCGCCCACCTGTTACAAAACGATGTTGGTTCATTATAAAATAGAAAAATGGTATATAGGTAATAAACTTTCATGGTCACTAACATTATAGCTATTAACGGGATTGTTACCATGTACCTTGTTTTTTATGAGTCTCCGATATTTCGGCACTGTTGCAAGCGCCATGATCACGGAGACTCATAAAAAACAAGGTACATGATAACAATCTCGTTAAAAGCTTTATTAGAAAAATGGTCTTTTGAGCCATAAAACAGCGAAAACTTTTGCTTTACGGCAGAACATACCTAATTACAGATAATACAGATTGGTAAATTATTATCAAAATACAACTTTCGCCATCATAAAACAGTTTGAAATGGGTTATTTGAATGGTATATTCAAACAAACGAAACTTGATGCTGACTCTCTCAGTGAATAATTGGACCAATTTGGAATCTGATTCCTAGCCAAATAATTTCTACTCTCTTGTCAAGGGTCTAAAAGTTATTATTTATTAGATCAAAAGATTGATAAACAGCTTAATATTTAATAAAAAAGCCACATTGAAAAAATCACCAAGGGCAGACTGAACACAAAAACTTTAAATAAAAATGTTACATCCTTACTTTATAAAGATCCTGTGGCCAACACATGCTTGTATGTCCATCCACCCACCATACCTTGACTCGACCAGTGGGGAAATTGTCGATAACCTAAAATAATAATGAATGAAAATAGATGACTCTGAGCAGCCCTGGCCGCAGATGAAAGAAATTATCAATATGTTTAAAATAGGCTTTAGAATTTCGTGCAACACCTCGACTCGGTTAGTTTCTATTGTCTTTTTAAACTTTAAGAATATCTCGATAATTACTATGAAAAAGGTATAGATAATTAAGTGTTATATAACATCTCTTTACCACTTCGTAACTTATCATTAAAACTGACCTGTCCAGCAGTACAATTAGCGTCTTCACCGGTGAAGTTCGCGACACGGATGACGACTGTACCGGGCCGATATTGGAAGTCTGGATGGTCCTTTAAGTCGTACACGCTCATCTCGCTTTCGTGAAGCATTTGAGGCCTGATGACAAGGAACAATATAGTTGTTTTTATTTTTTAAGCATTTAACTGCTAGGAAAAGCTTTCTTGAAAGTCTTGAATCTAAAGAAAACCTAAAGGGTTCGAGTCCCGTCTGCTGCCTGGTCCGCGTGGGTTTTTTTCTAATAAACGTTTCTTTAAGGAAGGCTATATTATTTTTAAGTGGAATAATGAATTCAGGAATTGTTTACCATAATGTCATGCTAGCACTTCACTTGGCTATTCGTGTTTGCTGTTTGTAAACTTGACATCAGTCTGTCCTTTTCATTCGTTATAAAACATGATGAGGTAAGACTGTTGTCAAGTTTAGAAATAGCAATAAAAATAGCTAAATAAAGTGCCGACCTCATACAAAGATCGAAGAAAATTCAACAGTCTTTCTGCTAGCACTATAAATGGCTATTCGTATTTTCTATTTGTAATCTTGACAGCAAATAGCGAATATGAATAGCTATGTGAAGAGCAATTTTACGATATATAGTGGTACTGACTTGGTCGGTGAAAATGTATTTCATTAAAAAGTCGAAATTGTTTTAATGGTCTTGTAAAATAAGATATGAGACTCCTACAGACCATAGTTGATTTTGGTTCTAAAATAAAAGTAGAATAAAACACATTTCCTTTAATATTTTTCCTTTAGCAAAATAATATCAGTTTCAGCGCTAAGATTATAAAGAAACGATAGAATTAAATAGTAGGCGAGCCCAAGCGGGGATTTTGGGATTTACTCGAGCGCGGCAGAATAACATCAGGGGAGCAACCTTGCACCCTGTGAAGTACACCCACCATACCCCGTAGCTCCTATTCAAAAGACTGACTGTCATAGCAGTGTGTAGATTTTATTTTGGTGCCCTATATGTTCGACTCCTTATTAAGGTTTCAGGAATGGTGGGAGAAATTCCCAAGGTGCAAGGTTACCCCGATTATGTTATTCTGCCGCGGTCGAGTAAATCATATTCATATTTTTATTTACACGAAACATGGTACAATAAATAGATGTTACAATAAATATGATGCTCAAACATGATTCGCTAAATTAGCATGCAATTATCAAACTATTTTACAATAAATCCAATGAATATTTATTTAATGTCAATCTTATTAAAATTATAATTCCATTTTAATATGTCAATTAATCGTCATATGTCATTAAATTATACATGTCAACAAATCCATATTATTATTGAATAAGTTATAATTTTGTTAAAAATAAGTTATCCCAAATTATCATAAATAATTATTAATCCCAAAAATCCCCGCGTGGGCTCCACTACTATAAGCATTAAAATATAAATAGTATGTCGACACTTACACAGGCTCATCGGCGCTGGTATAAGTGCGGTACCAGTGTACTATGGCGGTGCGCCCGTGGTGGTCCACCCGCTGTACCACGCCGTACTCCCTGTGCTTCAACTGGACAATAGAAATAGGTTTAATTGCATCAATATAAAAAAAATATAGGGTAAATATCGTTACCAAAATAAACACAGCCAACACAGATCGAGAAGAATGCAAGAAATACATAATTACTGTCAACCTTCAATAAACTGAGAACAGGGAAGGTGATTGACAATTTGGCATAATGATAACGTATTAAGTTAAAGGCTATTCTGAATCTGTTATCCAAACCCAGTAGCATAGAAATTCAATAATTTCTTAGTCAATTGTCGACAAATAAACTGTATTATATTGTGTTGCGGTGTTCATGCACCGCACAGTACACACATCATAGATGCGAAGGAAGGCGTCACCTTATTATACACACATCAAAAGTGTCTAGGGATCAAGCATTTTTATGCGGATTTCTTGAGATTGAGATGTGGCTTTGTAATAAATTTATGATTTTATAAATTTATATGGATCCTTTTTGGTGCATTTCATAATTTGAATCAGGAACTGTGAATCAAATTCGAGTAAAAGATGAAAATCAGCTGTCAATATTTTCCCTATAAAAACATACAACGCATTGAAGACATTATTAGTGCTACTGTTTCCCTACTACTGATTAAAACCAACGTTATTATGGAGCGGCGACGTCATTTAAGCAGGGAAGAAATGCTCAGAGCCGTGGGAATGATAGAAGCTGGTTCCCGGCAACGTACTGTGGCTTTAGCTCTGAATACAAGTCAGAGTGTTATCAGTCGACTTTGGACACGATACCGAAGCACTGGTACCGTGGCTGAGCGCCATGGAGGACGGTATCGCTGCACCACACGGAGACAAGACCGATACATTCAAATCTTAACTCGAAGAGCTCCAACAATAACCGCCATGATGTTAGCCGTGAGGCTTCATCACTCTTCAGGGAACTTAATTAGCGACCAAACAGTCAGAAACCGCTTGCATGAAGTGAACCTTCATTCCCGAAGACCGCTACGGGTACCACCTATAGCAATGCACAATCGTAGGATTCGATATCAATGGGCTCTTGAACACAGAAATTGGGCAGAAGAACAATGGCGTTTCGTGTGCTTTTCTGATGAGTCTCGTTTTGGTATGAGACCGGATACAAGACGTATACGACACTGGAGAACTCCTGGACGCCAACAGCGATTAAAATCCTGCCAGGAAGTCCATCCTTATAGTGGTGGAACCATCATGGTATGGGCGGGTATTTGGATCGGCGGAAGAACTGAGTTGATTTGGATCAGAGGCAACCTCAACGCTCAAATTTATGCTGAGACGATTGTATCAGACGTCATCGTTCCTCTACAAGTGCAAATCGGTCCCTTATTTCAGTTAATGCATGATAATGCACGACCGCACACCGCAAGAGTTGTAAGACAGACTCTCGCCGCAGCTAACATCAATGTCCTGCCCTGGCCTGCTCAGTCGCCAGACTTGAACCCGATTGAGCATGCATGGGATATGCTACAGAGAAGAGCTCTGCCGAATATGGAGGGTATCCAGTCGCAAGAAGACCTTTTTTTGTTGTTGCAACGAACATGGGCGGCCATTCCACAGCGTGATTTGGATGAACTCATTTTGAGTATGCCAAACCGATGTTCTTGTGTTGTTAGTGTTCGCGGTAGAAATACGGATTATTAATTGTTTAAGTTACCCAATAAAATTTTAGAGAAAACTGTTATTTCAGTCTTTTTTTCGAACTTTTGTGTTAGTGGTTCAAATGTCAAAAATCCCTTTATTAGGAAAATGGCAAATTTCTTTATTAATGCAAAGGTGACTTGGTTTATCGTTACTGTGACAAACGAAAACACTTTATTTGATGAATCCTTAAAGAAAATTTTAATTAATATCAATCAGGAGAAAAGTTATTGCAAAAATATATGTTGATCCCTAGACACTTTTGATGTGTGTAGTTTACTTTCCAAAATGCTGCAGCTTTTTTCTTATTACTGACTATCTTCAGTTTTATTGAATAAATGGAATAGGCTAGTTGACCCTTTTTGGAAAAAGGTTTTAAATGGTTAATAAATGTTCTATTAGAACGAAAAAAAATGTATTGTATTTTTTTGAGACCTAGAAAGCTACAAATCTTTAATTTTAAAATAGAATTTTCATGGACATACAAAAACGCTGTCGGCCATTTTAGTCTATAGATTGTCTATGCTATGATGTCAACTGTAGTAAACAAAAACTCGTAAGCACGTAGAAAATAACTGAGTTTATAATAAAAAGAACATGATTTCTAATAAATACCACGAAAAATAAAGTAATTATCATTATTGTATTGTACGAGAATATAAAAACACATCCTTGAAGACGCCAGGAATGTTGTGGATTAAAATGCCGAAAGAAATTAACCTACGCAACTTTATTACACTTATTCATATGTTGTATCAGTTTTATGTTTATTACTACATTGTAATACTAAATGCACTGTACTTACATAGATGCCTTGTCGTTTCTCTGCTCCGCAGAGCAGTAATCGGGGTTTAGTGCAAAAAATTCACCAACCATCAATGCGTCAATTCTTGGCAGATTTGTGCTTTCACAAAGCCGGCATCCATAATTAGTTTTGTCAAAAAAAACAGTAAACGGAAACTTATCTAAAGTTAAAAGGGTTTTAAGATAAATTTATTCAGACTAAAGAATCCACCCACAATAACACGCGAATGACATTTAGTTGTTTACTGAAAGAGACGTCAAAATCATGGCGGATGTGGCGAACAGCGTTTTTAGTGTTTAAAAAATATAGACTAAAAAATATTTTTTAAAATTAAATTGCTACAGCAATCTTCTGCTTTTATGAAGTGAAATCGATATATTTAGGTTCCTTAGACCAAATACTGTAAGAAATAAACATTTATTTAATACAATTCGACATGAGTCAACTAGCCTATTGTTTAAAGCTCTGGTAAACTCATCTCTTAGCATAAATAGTGTAGAATAGTGATGTACAATGTTTAGTCGTATTTCGATAAGTGATGACTCTACAACTTACCTGCTGGTTTTCCTCAACATTTGCTGCACCGCTGACTACAAAATCCCCCGGAAAACATTCTTGACCGTCCAAATGATGTATTGGGTATAATTGAGTAGATGGAATGCCCATTTCTATGGTGCCATCCTGCAAAAGGAATATTTACTATTCAGATAACAACTATTGTGATCTACACATAATTATCTGAACCTTTACTCTTTTCATGGAAACGAGTAAGTGGACTTTATTACACAATCGCTTACAAAAGACAAGGACGGTAAAATGCGTCACACGAGAAAGTGAGACTGCCATTGGCCGGAGTATTGATAAAATACTTGAAAAACTGTAACGAAGGGGTTGTCCCTTTATCGTATTCAACACAAAAACATCTGCTCCCACCGGGATTCGAACCCGGGACCTCTCGAGTCGGCGTCACCATGAAATAAACTACTACTGCGTATAAACTACTCGGCTACTACGGCGTATAAACTACTCGGCCACGGAGGTCGTCAAACACAATATCGTCGAGTGCAGCGTATATACCTGCCACACGACGTTGGCGCGCGAGGCGGTGTGCAGCGTCTCCACGACGACACGGTCGCCGGGGCGCGGCGGCGGTGCGGGTGGGGCGCGGCGCACAGTCCGCTTGAGCCGCTTGCCGCGCAGCAGGCGCACCGCCAGCTGCGGGGACCGCTTGCCGCGCTGCGAGGCCGCGGACGAGCAGCGGGACGACCACGTCGCGCCGCTACGAAGATTAACGATCAATCATTCAAATATATTAAAAAATATATCTAATATATAAAATTCTCGTGTCGCGGTGTTTGTGGTTAAACTCCTCCGAAACGGCTTTCCCGATTGTCATGAAATTTTGTGTGCATATTGGGTAGGTCTGAGAATCGGACAACATCTATTTTTCATCCCCCTAAATGTTAAGGGTAATCCACCCCTAATTTTTTTTTTCAATTTTAGATATTTTTTTTAGTTTTTATTTTTTATGATACATCATACAAAAATACATACAACCCTAAATTTTCACCCTTCTACCATCAAACACTATTTTTATGGCGGTACGAAGTTCACTGGGTCAGCTAGTATATATATATATATAATTGCATTAGAGACACGATTTAGTTGTAGCATTTTTGCAGGCCGGCAAGGTGTGGATGGTTGCTGTAGCAGTTTATAACTGATGTACCAACTATCTTCGCCTTTGGACTTTATCACCACTTAACATCAGGTAGGGAAGAGGCATTTGCATTCCTGGCTATGTATAAAAAAAAACAATGCCGCCAAGCAAGTGGCCTATTGTTCCTATGGAAGAGCGGAGTCTCCCCCAAGAGATATGTCCACTGCCTAAAAACCATTAAATCAACTCGCCATTTCTAATCAAGCCCGGTGACACAGTGGACTGAGCGTTCCTAGCTCAACTATAAAGTAAAACCGGCCTAATGGCGCGATAACACTTGGTTGTTAGCCCATTAGATCGTAAACGGACGAAGTCGAGTACACACGTATTAGATAGTTTTCGTTTTGGTTACCCGACACCGTCTTCCAGTGTAAATATTATTTCGGGTGCCCGAATTCGAGTAAAGTCTTTCGTGCACTCGAATACGGGCTAACGACTAAATGTAATTGAACCATTATAATTGCGAAAGAGACGAAGGGATCGTGCGGATTAAAAGAAGTTTTAAAAGTTTCTAGAAACTTGTCAATTACATGCGAGTGTCGCTTAGTCAATATTCAATTCTGCGTTGCATATCCCATGACATATATACTATAAAAAAGATATCGAATGATGATTGAGAGTACGCCCTTTAATAACTGGTGTTCTCCCAGTCGTCAGAGTCATTGTCGTTGAGTCCGGCCTCGGATTTGTTTTCACCGTTCAACCGTCAATCCATTTACTATGTCATTAAGGCTACGATCTCCTATTAAAAGCTACGACTTCTGCGTGAATGTTCCGATCGACGTCTGAACGCCAGGCACAGCGACGGCGATCAATACATGTCAATGGCGAACGACGACGTCTCGTTCACAACAGTGAACGTCGCCGTCGTCGTTCGTTAAATGTCGACGTTTTGTATTGACGCTAAATACGACGCTGCAATGGTTCGTAATAACTAGAGACGTGGAGCAAAGCATTCGTATGCCACCTACGGCGTCCACACAACGACGTCAGGGTATGACAGAGAACACAACAGTACTTTTCTATAGTAGGCATCGTGACGCACCGTAAGGCGTTGCGCTGTACGCGGTCTACGGCGTTTATAGGAGACCAAAGCTTAAGAGTAAGTATTAGTTCCCTCCCAGTTGTCGGAGTCATCGTCCTTGAGTCCAGCCTCAGATTTGCTGGCGCCGTTCAACAGCCAGTCCTTTTCTATGTCAATGATTTTAAGAGTAAATATTACTTTCTGATAGCTACCTGTCAGTGTCGCTTCCATCGCTGCTGGTGTTCTCCCAGTTGTCGGAGTCATCGTCGTTGAGTCCGACCTCGGATTTGCTGTCACCGTTCAACAGCCAGTGCATTTACTATGTCTTTAAGAGTAAGTATTAGTTCCCTCCGATAGTAACCTGTCAGCAGCGCTGTCAACAGTCTATGTTTTATGTCAATGACTTATAGAGTAAATATTACTTTCTGATAGCTACCTGTCAGTGTCGCTTCCATCGCTGCTGGTGTTCTCCCAGTTGTCGGAGTCATCGTCGTTGAGTCCGACCTCGGATTTGCTGTCACCGTTCAACAGCCAGTGCATTTACTATGTCTTTAAGAGTAAGTATTAGTTCCCTCCGATAGTAACCTGTCAGCAGCGCTGTCAACAGTCTATGTTTTATGTCGATGACTTATACAGTAAATATTACTTTCTGATAGCTACCTGCCAGTGTCGTTCCCATCGCTGCTGGTGTTCTCCCAGCTGTCGGAGTCATCGTCGTTGAGTCAAGCCTCGGATTTGCTGTCGCCGTTCAACAGTCAGTTCATTTACTATGTCTTTAAGAGTATTAGTTCCATCAGATAGTTACCTGTCATTGTCAACAGTCTATGTTCTATGTCAATGACTTTAAGAGTAAATATTACTTTCTGATAGCTACCTGCCAGTGTCGTTCCCATCGCTGCTGGTGTTCTCCCAGTTGTCGGAGTCATCGTCGTTGAGTCAAGACTCGGATTTGCTGTCGCCGTTCAACAGTCAGTTCATTTACTATGTCTTTAACAGTATTAGTTCCATCAGATAGTTACCTGTCATTGTCAACAGTCTATGTTCTATGTCAATGACTTTAAGAGTAAATATTACTTTCTGATAGCTACCTGTCAGTGTCGCTTCCATCGCTGCTGGTGTTCTCCCAGTTGTCGGAGTCATCGTCGTTGAGTCCGATCTCGGATTTGCTGTCGCCGTTCAACAACGAACTGTCCTCGCGCGTCGGCTCCGGGCTGTGGGCCAAGCGACGTCTATCACACTTGAGAATCATTTTGTTTATACACTCACTTAATATGAAAAACAAAGTATCTCCCACTATCTGTACGCTTAAATTTGTTAAACTACGTAAAGGATTCTAATGCAGTTTCCAGCAGTAAATAATCAATGGCTCAATTACACTTGGTCGTTAGCCCGTATTCGGGTACACGAAGCAATATTTACACTGCAATACGGTCTGTAAGACGGTGTCGGGTAACCAAAACGAAAACTACCCGAATACGGGCGTACTCGACTCCGTTCATTTACACTTAGTTTAGTTTACCCGAATTCCATTGGCAGTCGTATTCGGGCTAACGACCAAGTGTAATTGAGCCATAAGAGTGATATAAAAAGGTTCACATGTACAATACATGCCCGAGAACAAAAACTATAGTCTTCGCAGAAGCGAAGTGAGGGCGGGTCACTAGTACACACATATAGTGCGATACAAACATAGTGGTCGTATTTATAATATAAACATTTGCCTCACCGGGATTCAAACACGAGACCTCTGAGTAGACGACCCTTTGAAAACCGGTGTACATACCACTCACACAAAGGCCCCCATTCTCATCGGATTTTGTAGTAAACTATTAAATATTAATAATTGGAATAATATACCACAGCTAAAATTAAGAGGCTCAAAATTGTGTATAATAAACGGTGCGTTATAAATAATAGCAGGGCCATTAATAGGCTAATGATGATGACGTTTTTTTGTATTTCATCGTCAACAAGGTATTTGTACTAAAACCGATCAAAAGTCCACATACCTGATCCCGGAGTCGTTCTTCTCCTCAGTGGCGGTGTCCTCTTGACTGCTGGCCATAGGCAGCGAGATGTCTCCGCTTGGCTCGATCTTTATGCTTGGGCAGTTGGTGTCCGCCTTTAATGCCTCGTCTAAGGACTCCAGTTTGTCATCTGCGTGGTCCACTTCCATGTCGTTCTGTAGGAAGTTATTATATTAATGTCACATTATTGTTTTATTCTTTGCTTAACAATAATTTAGGTGGATAAGCAACGATATTAAAATACAGTAGATACACCACGTGCGCTCAAAATGTGTCCCAATCAAGAAGTGCTTGAACACGACTCAAGCACTTCTTGGTTCAGTCACGCGCGGACCGTTGAAAAGTCAAGTTGCCGCAGAGCTCCGTGAAAAAATGCGAAAGAAATGCTTATAGTTAGTAAGGTATCGTTTTTTCGACATGTATATCATCAATGTTTGTTAATTTAACACATTTGAAGCAAAATATGTTCTAATACTAACTATAAACTGATTTATTAGAAAATATTTGTGATATTCAAATGCATGGTCGGTAATATAGCCGCCTCTTTTCCTCGCGGATTTTGCGCGTAGAGTCAAAGAAATAAGGTCTTTTCTTCCGCATATAGCAATAAGTCGAAGTCGTAAAATTTTATGAGCTTGCATTACGAACTGTCATAACTCTTTGACGCATGCGTTTTAATTGAGACCTTATTCAGTATGCATTAAAGGTGACTTTCAATATTTAAATAATGACTTGTATTGTTTCTAAAAGTGCAGGCTGGAAATTACTATATTAATACTAGCGGAACGCGACTTCGTCTGCCTGGTAACAATTGATTTCCCCACCCCCTTTTGCAGTTGCAAGGAATGATTTACCCCCTTTTGCAGTTGCAAGGAATGATTTCGGTGTCTCAAGCTATATCTTCATCAAATTTCATTCAAATCGGTTCAGTGGTTTAAGTTTGAAGAGGTTGGAGTGTTTAGTTTTACTGTAGATAGAACAACTGAACGAATAACTGTAGCAGCTAATTAAACTTATTCCAATATTGAACTACAATGCTAGGATAGCTTCTCCACAAAAAATACTTAGGCTTGCTCAGCCTTTTCAGCAATAGCAACAACAATTCCTATGGTTGTACCTCTAAACATTGACATTATGGTTAGGGAGAATTAACAAGTGCGAGTCAGACTCGCAACTAAAACGGCCGCAGCATTTTTTACGTTATCTTAGGAAGTGTGATTTTTTCACAGCTTCAAGGGCCTGCGAGACTTGAGGTATTTGGTTTCAATTACAACTGGATACCTCCACGAGTTCTCGAGAAAAAAGCTCTTGACAGACAGACAGAATTACAACAATGTGATCCTTTAAGGGTCTCGTTTTTCCTTTTGGGGTACAGAACCCTAAAAATATATAATCTAGCTAATTACTTCATCACACCCAATTAGTGGCATAGATTGGATTTTAACTGCCAGGGGACAGATGTGATCTTTATCACATCATTATCGTTACCGCTTCTTTCTTAAATAAACCGTGTAGTTCAGAAAAACCTCATGCATGTTTGTGAAACTCTTCTGTGAAACTACAAATGCTAGGATAGCTTCTTCACAAAGAATACTTTGCTCAGCCTTTTTAGCAATAGCAACAACAATTCCCATATACTACCTCTAAAGATTGACATTATGGTAAGGGAATTTCACAAAAGATAAAAAAAAACAGAACAAGTGCGAGTCGGACTCGCAACAAAAACGGCCTTAGCATTTTTTACGTTATCTTAGGAATTGTGATTTTTTCACAGATTCAAGGGACTATGAGACTTGAGTATATGGTTTAAATTACAACTCGATACCTCTACACAGCCAATTAGTAGCATAGGTTGGATTTGAACCGCCAGGGGACAGATGTGATCTTTGTCACACCATTATCGTTACCTCTTCTTTCTTAAAGAAATCATGTAGTTAGAAGGACCTCATGCATGTTTGTGAAACTCTTCTATGAAAATTACAACTCACATCAGTGCTCTTCAGCTTGCGATGCGCCGAGGCGCGTTTCTTAGGCCTGGAGGGCATGTGGTCCGAAGAGTTGGTCTCGGACTTCGACGGCTTTTTGGTGGGCCTTGTTTGCTTACGCAGATTCCTGTAGTATTTGCCTACAGAGAACATGTTTTGACTTTAATAGTTTTAATGCATGTTGTGAAATGAAAACAAAACAAATTAAGATTGAATATCTCGTCTGCGATTAACCAATAGAAGAAAGCAATTATACTTTAGCCCCCTTATTAATAAACGAAGTATAAGCTTGAATTAGTTACTCCATGTTATTTCTCTGTTCATTGAATGACAAATGGCATTTTGACACAGTGGTGCATCCCCGGTTTTGCGATAGCCAATTGGGATTGAATACGTTTTTTTATATGCTCTTTTTATTTTTTTAATTTGTAAGCGATTTTGTGATAAGAAAGATGCTCCACCGGCTAGATTTCGTGAATAGTTAATGGTTTATGTTTTTATCCAATTTAATGAGATTGAACCCAAGTGAAATTACATACTTCTCTGACTGCAGGTATCAATCTACCGTAAAAGTATACGCGTTTTTATAACGGGGTAAGAATCATTTAAAAATGTAATGAGAACTTTTAAATGCTTAAAATATAACCAACGCCACAAACATTTCGAGGTAAAAAGACTAATGAGCGAAAAGATTGAACAGTTATATATGACACCTGATTGGATTTAACACTTTGTATTTCCAGAAATTCCATTTTCTGTGATTAAAGGTAAATAATAATGAACCTAGAAAACAATACCAACATGGAATTTACTTGATCGGACTTTTTCATTAGATTTTCGCAAAAAATAGACTTTCAGGTCATGATCATATGGGTAAGGTTTATATTTTTGTAAAAACTCAATTTTAAGAGTTCAGTAATAAAGGTTATTATCATCAATCTGGATGCTAGTATCGTAACTTCAACATATAGGTCTCTTAATGAGACATGTTAAATAGATTAATTTCATATCACAAATTATTTGACAAATGATTGAAATCGCAATATGTTTTGGTTGTATGAAAAACATGATTTGATTTACTGAATAGAATTTCCTTTCCAAATATAATTTTCACTCTAAATCTCCCGTTGACACTAAGAATTGCGCTAACCTGAATATCAAGTATCCTCCTACCACAATATTTATTTTAGTTTCTGCCTTTATTGAGTTAACTGTATTGTGTCTTTACTTCATGCATTTCTTTGTTTGTATTTACTACGTTAATGCTTATCCAAGGTAAATGTAAGTCAAGGTTGTGCTGTCTGAATAGTTAAAATGGGCAGTCTAAAAATAGTCGTTATTCAATACTAAAAAAATTGTAAGGACATTGAAATGAGACAAGCACTTGGCAACATGTTAATTAAGATATAGTAAAACTTGATTAATTTATAATCTGAAATATTTATTATATTAAATATCTAGTAGAATTTACGACATTAAAAATTTTGGTTAGATTGAAATGATATGTTGTGAGAGTTTTAACATAAAAGAAATTTTATCTTTTAGATGAAAAAATAAATGCCCGTCATATTAAAAAGACAATTAAATAAGCTGAAAAAATCTGCTTTTGGATTATGATATTGACATTTTGGATTATTTGAAAGAAGAGTAAAGAGGTGGAATTTCTAGATTACTTTCTCTGGTTACAAATGATTACTTACTCTGTTGTTTGCGCCATTGCTTCTTGCTGATGAATGTGTCGTCTGAACTAATGGTCAGGAAGTTTCTATCACCAACTTGTAGAGTGCACGGCTCGAACACATTAAGCAACTTTAAGTTCTTTAAGTCATCACCTGTAAGGAAAGAATGGGGGTAAGATATTATTCACTACCTTAAATAAAGCATTCTTGACCATCCATGACGACTTCCGTAGCCAAGTGGTTTGAACGCCAGGCTTCAAGGTGTCGCCTACTCGAGAGATCCCGGGTACGAACCCCGGTGGGCGTAGATGTTTGTAATGAATAAGAGCATTTGTACTCCAGTGATGGATGTTTAATATATATATATATATATTTCTTTAAATTATATGATATATTATATGTGTATCAATATATATATTATATCCGTTACCGTAGTATCCCATATCACAAGCCTACAGTGCTTACTTTGGGGCTAGGCTAATTGGTGTGAGTGTTGGAAATATGTACAGTAAATCCCGTTTAAGACGATTTCACAGGGACTCAACCAAAAATGCGTCTTAATCGGGATTGTAGGATAGGGAAATTTAGAATGTGGGTGATGATGTATTTCGAATTGTGGTATTAAATGTACAATTGTAAATTATGTTCGTAATACAAGATGGAGTGTATTATTATTACGTTTGTATTTAAATTAATCACTTATTTTAGTTTGACAAAAAGATTTCGAGGCATAATCAATTACAATATTTTCAACATAATTGAACTTTTGCAGTGCGTCTTCGCTTTGATTCAAAGAAGTTACATGGTGTCTTAAATTGCTGATAATGCCTGGGCTTGCAACAAAATCGGAGTTGAACTTCTTGTGTGTTATTCACATTCTCAACAAGATCTTCAATTAATTAAATGGAAGAATACCCAGGAAAACCCTGGTGGTCGCTTAGGGTACATCGCTCGACAGTCAATCGCTGGCCGCTGCTGCAAGAGGTAATATGTGTGGTGCCGATTTAGGCGCGCAAAACGGGATGACGAATCGTATTAAGCGTTAAGAATCGTATTAAACATTTCTTAACGAAAACTGACGCAAAATGGCGTATTATGCGAGAAATCGTATTAAGCGTGATCGCATTAAACGGCTTCTACTGTATTTATTTATTATTATCCAGTTGATAGTTCCATATAAAAGACTTTGAACATCACCAGTAGTAGATTTTCCTGTAAAACATGAGAGAAGTTGCCAGAACCTAATAACTATCTTAAAACAAAAACAAATTTATATAAAATTGTACCACATACTGTCTTCAAAATTTGTATCCATAAGTTATCCATACCAATATTATAAACTAGCCGGCCGCTACTTCGTCTTGTGACCTTAGTTTTTTTAAATCCTTTCTTCCCAAGGGATTAAGTTCCCCTAACACTTTTTCGGGATAAAAAATATGTAATGTATCTTCCCAAGTTATAAGTTGTCTGTGTGGAAAATTTTATCCCGCTACGTTTAACTGTTTTTGCGTGTTTGATTAAATATATACAAATTAACAAATTTATAATATTCATAGGCTGCAAAAATATGCCTTTCTGGTACCTCTTTACACTTTAACCACTGAACCAAATTGATTGAAATTTGGTACAGAGATAGTTTGGGTCCTGAGAAAGGTATATATAGTGCAGCTTTTATCCTAGAAATCATCATTGTTTATTAAGATTTCACTCACACCACTTCTTAAATGAAATATAAATCTGACAATGCAGCCTGAAAAAGATGCAAAACGTCAAAAAAGTAAAACAAACACGCATTTTGAACACGTTTTACTATGTTTCATCTAGAAATCATCCATTAAAAAATGGAGTTATGGGTTTGTATGGAAAAACAATATTTCCATTCTACACAGTAGTAGTCATGGGCATACAATAGTTAACAATATTTGAGATATATTATTACGTCACTTACCTTCGACCAAAAGTTTCGGTTGTTGTGGTGCGACCGCCTCCGAGGGGTGCGTGCAAAGTGCGCGACATTGCCAATGTACGCTCACACTCTCAGTCACCACTGCTTCCACGGTGAACTATTATTACAAAATATTTATTAGAGTTCAGAAAGGACCACACACACTCAATAGAATAAATAAAAAAAAAAGAGCATATTTTTTTTATTATAATATATTTATTGAAGTTTTGTAATATATAGGTAAAAAAAACATTAACTTGAAAATTTATGTAATGACCACTATTACAATTTGCATCAGGAAAAATGCTCAAATATCCTATAATTCTATCATCAATATATGTGCTTCAGTAAAAATTTTTGATTAATACTGAAATAACTCTATTCATATAATATTGAAACAGTGACCTAACCTGTGTTTAGTATCAGTATCATGTGGTTTAAATTCTGGTTACTGACCTTATGATCATGCATTTTGTGTTTCCTGGCTGCTTTCATTTCTTTAGTGACATGGAGCCAGTTAGCGTTATCTAGCGAGCCAAGAGGTCCATACACTACTTGGCCTGGATAGAACTCGGAAGAGGAGTATGGTGTAGACCGGCGCCGGCGCATAGAGTAGTCCTCTAGTGGACAGTTGTCAAGGTCTGGGTATTCAAGCCTTGATCCATCAGCTGACACCAGCCGGAGTTTACTATGTACAGCCTGTAGGTAAAGAATCATCAAATAAATTTAACTTTCGACAATATCTTTTACTTTTATTCATTTCATGATTTATGTAAAACAGAATTTCTTAATAAGATCAAAAAAAAATTGTTTTTCCAAATGGTAGAGTAAATTGAGATTTGTATTTACCTTGGATGTTCCAACCCAGGAATCGAGGCAGACAGCCAGATCAGGAGTGAACTCTTCTAATGGCTGCAGCCTCTCGCTAGCCACATTGGGTATGACATGCTTAGTGCCTACAATCTGAAGAGCTGCAGTCATTACAATATCCCGACAGTAGCCACGTTGTGTGTCCTTGCCAGCAATAAGACGACGTACCACATCACCAGGCATTAGAGAACGGTCAGCAAGCCCAACCTACAAATCATGTACATAATAGTTATTTTATTTTTTCAATAAAAAGTGCAAGTCCTGTATTTAGCATCATATTTAATGTAAAATTATGACTGATAAAGAATAGATAAAAACAATTTGGGAAAAGTAGATATTTTGTTGAAATAAGACCACCTGTCCGGCAAAGTAACTTCCACCTTAAAGAAATGACAGTGACAAAATACCATTGATCTTTTGGTTGCGTTGAGATCTGTTGTTGAATAAGGTTCACTTTGGGTTAGGAAAACAGATCAGGGTTCTTTATTAAATAGTTGATCTATCATAATAAAGATGTACATTTTCAGAGTTGATATGCTATTTTATATAATTAATTAAAATAAAATAATACTTAATACAAAATTTTAATCCAAAATGATGCATTTCGTGTTATTCTAACTAACCTAAACAAGAATTATGTGTAGCAGTTCCTAATATTTTTTTTAATTGTATTTAGGTAAATTTTCTTCTTTTTTTTATACCTAAGTAGGCAAATGACTCTACCCCACCTGATGTTAAGTGGTGATAAAGTCTAAATGCAAAGATAGCTGAATTCAAATAGATAGAAGATATTTTAAAAATAGACAATTGGAAAATAATTTAATTTAATTGAGATTGATGAATCTGAGCTGGTAGTTATTAGGGTTTAAAATATATTAGCCAATTTATTTCTGCTATAGTATATATCTCATAATAAAGATATAACAATCTTTGCAACTATGAAATTAACATTTTCATAGTGGAACACGAAAACTGATATGAGGGTAATGTGAAATTTGTTAAACAATGATTTTCCTAGTCACACATGTGAGGAATTTTTGTATCATTCTTTCAGCAATACTATTTTTCCAAAAACAGATGAATTAGCGGTACGTTTTGAGGGTTGTTACGCTTGAAGGACCTTATGTGAAAATTTTCAAGATAAATTCCAAGGATGCGTGACATGACCGGTGATGGCCAAGACCCGTTATTATCAACTCACGTTTCTTACCGATTTCTCGGATATGACTCGTTCAGTGCCGGATGGATGCCACACAACTCGAATTTCGCCTTTTTGGACTGCTGCTTCAATGTCGCTCTCTTGATCACTGGAGATGCCTTCATAGTTTTCGAGCACGAGACCGAAGACCACTTGCCCGCGATTGTTGATTTTATACACTTCATCCTCGTAAAAATACTGAAAATCAGTTGGCGAACCTGGATTTTGCCCCGCCATATTGACGGGAATTATCTAAAGACACAAATAATTTTGTTTTTACGTGATTATGTTCTTTCTGACAGCTGATTGCAATGTGTGGCGCATGCGTCAATTTAATTATGCAACTGAGGCGTCATCTTGCGGCGAAGATGCAAAATGTAATGTTGTCGTTCCGTTTTACACAATTTAACTGATTATAATATCAAAATATTGATTTTAATGTTATCTAGGTTTTTTTATCAACACCTATGATTTAGACAAACAAAATTCTAACAATAATAAAGGTGGGTAGGTATGTCATTAAAATCCAAATATCGATTTGTTAAAAACTAATTTCAGATGAGGCTCCCAATTTTTGAGGTAAGTGGTAGGTGCCATCTGATGTGCAGTTATTGTTCTAAAATCTGATGATTCTGATGCCTCATCTGAAGCATATCAGTCGACACATATTTTACTCCTTATTTATTCCTAATCCAAACATTTTGTAAAGCCATCACATGCATAAAAGGCATCAAGGCACAGCAAGGGTCTAGTTAGTTTCAGCCCCCCCCCCCCCCCCCCCCATACGAGCGAGCAGTACCAGTTTGCTAGTGTAAAATGTAATTGTCACATTTTGTTTGTGTATGAAAACTTGAACAGCAGCGCAACAACGGACGCAGCGGGTATTAAAAATCAGTATACATTTGACTTATAAAATAGATCCAATTCAACTATTCGAATTCGATAATGGTACGAGTTAAGGGTACTACCCCTAGCACGAACCAAAAACGAATTCGTATCGTTTGCGAGTCTGAAATGTCATTGTCAAATGTGTACTGATTTTTAGTTCTCGTTACGTACACTACTTTGTGCCGCTACTGTTCAAGTTTTCATACAAAATTTGACATTGACATTTCGGACTCGCAAACGTTACGAATTCGATAATTGTTCGTGCTAAGGGTACATATGAACAGACTAATCGGTTATGTTATAAACTTTTGGGTACGGAACAAACAATATTAAACCTTAAAATGGGATGGGATAGGGAGATTGGGCCATGACCCACTACGCGGGCCCAATGCGGATTGGTAGGTAGACTATGTAGTTGCTAACGACTGCTGCTGCAGTCGGGACCAACAGCTAAACGTAAAGTATGCTAAGCCGTTGATCCGGCTTAAGCACGAAGGAACTCGCGATGGTCAATTTCTCGTCACCCATCCAGTGACCGACCACTGTGATAGTTGCATAACTTCAACGGTCGCAGCCAAACGCGCTAGCCACTTGCAGCATCAAGCTCCTCCTTTATTATAGTGATACTTAGTAATTATACTCGCCTCATTATTTTTTAACAAAATACCTGGACAACACCAAATGATACAGATTTGTAAATACTTATTTTCTAACTTTGTGTCTATATATTGACTTGTATATGTACCTAAACCATATGTAAACATATAAACTAAGATCTAGTTTCTATGTTTATGTAACAAGTTGGCACTCTGACCTATCGTATTTAGTAAAGGTACCTACATAATAGTACCTACTTAGTTAGGTAAAAAACTTGTTATGTCATCGTAGGTATTTGTGGCGCAATACTATCCTCAGCATGTACCGGGCAGATAAGAAATTAATGTGCAATAAAATAATACAAATTTTATCAATTGGGTGTCCTACTGAGTCGGCACTATGACAATATTGTGACGTAGTCGAGCGCTGGGGCTATTCTGGCTCACCCGATCAATACTATTATCACGGTATAGCTGTGTAGGTGTTTACATGCGCCTAGTATACGCATAGCGCCGCTTGAATGAGGTTGTCGCGAGTGATAACGCGTAAATTCCACTGTGAACCAATATAAAAAGAGGAGGAAATGTAAAGAAAAAAATGCCGCTGCCTGAACTCATCAGAAGGGCGTCGAGCTATTTCCTCGGCTTGGAGTTCGAGGACAACGAGGAACTGCCAGATTATGTGGATAATGAAATTTTGTTTTGCAAGAATAATGTGTGTGTACATCCTCCGACAATCGCGAGGCATGAGTTGGACATAGTTCACCATCCTGGCTACCTCACAGTCACTACGAAAGTGTTCACCGACCAGCACAATAACGCTAAACGGCCTACACTTTTCCTCAACTGGATACCGAATTCCACACTACGTAAATGTCCTTCAGCTGTCGAGACGAGCCCTAGCGACGAACTAGGTCCTGGCCCAATAAAACAGGCCAGCATTAAAACGAAACTGAAACCAACCACCGAATCCAAAAGGACCGCAAAAGATTTTAACAACGAAACTGCATTTTCCGACTCATCTGAAACGAATAGCCTCAATTCTAACTCCGATAAACAAAGCATAAAATCAGCCGATCGGTACATTATACCAAACGACATTACACAAGACGAATTGTCATCCAGTTCAAAACCTTCTGTGAAGTCGGTGGATTCCTGTAAAGACAATGTTTTTAATTGTTTCGAAAAAGATGATACGAAAGATAACGTGTTTATGTACGATAAACATGTGCGTTCACAATCGATGACGTCTGTAAATATAACTATAGCGAACCCTAACATAGAGAACGTGGATTTGACCCCGGACTCTTTGTCGGGTGACAAATTTATAAGGTCGGTGTCTATGAGTTCTTGCGATGAGGGTAACCCAAATTGGATGAGCACTCCTGAATTTTTAGCTCTCAAACACAACTTAGTATTCCCTGACAGCGTTCAAAGCTCGCCGGTACCTCAAAGAAGAGCTCCGATGAAATGTCGTAGGTAAGTAGGTGTAGTGGTTGTTCTTTTAAGCGACATTTATTACTTACTAGTAATCCGTCCTAGCAGCTTCGGTCGACAGTATCTACTCACTTCAGTCGCTTCCGTGTTATATTCTGTGAGTACAGATGTGGTTTAGAACCAGGGTTGGATTTAGGTATGTTGAAAAAGATAGCACAAAAAAATGAAAAGGATAGTATTTGTAAAAAAAATATAGTACACTTTCATTATTTTTTATTTAACATATAAAAGTAAATAAAATCGACACCCGTTAAGGCAAAATTTGCTCCTCTTATAAGTTTATGAGTTCTTGAATATTACTATTAGTTCTATCTTCATCCTTGGCATTTCATCTCATCAACATATTATCGTCAGTAGGAATAAAATCAGTACAATTTCCACTTTTGCTACCTCTTTTGCCACTTTCCATAATTAAAACACTGAAAACGTACTATTTTACATAAAAACTCGCAAGCGATTGTTAAAACATTGAGCATTGAGTTTCGAATGGAATGGAAGGGACGCGATTAGTAGAAAGAGAGAAGTATTCTGCGGAGGATAATTGGAGAACCCCCGGCCATCAACACAACAAACATCGCAAGATCAAAATTCGGTTGGATACACACACGGTCGAAATATTCAAAATATGACGTAAAAGACTAAGCATTCGGGAGCAAACTTTAAATTATAGTATTTATAAGCGTACTATCCTGAGATGTGGATAGTATATAGTACAAAAGGCGAAATTATAGTATATATACTAAAATTATAGTACAAAATCCAACCCTGTTTAGAACTTGGCGCGGTTTTCACCATCAAGTAGGTCTAAAAATATTTTTAATGGAAAGCAGGTATGTTTGTCTAATTGTCTATACAAATAAACAACTTAATAGCTCTATTATAAATCCGAAAGCATAAAAATTATTATCAGAATTTCCGAAATATCAGTTACATTTAAAAAAAAATCTTTCATACAAACTTTTCCTCAAAATAACAAATAAGTACAGCATAAGATAAAGAAAAATATCAGCCCAATCGGTGGAGCTGTAATGCTATTCTGTTAGAACAAACTCACTTTTCACTTAATTTTAAATCAAAATGCGGATTCCGAGGTGAAAGGTAGCTTGTTTAATATTTTTACCTATTTGATATTTATAATTTAAAAATAGTAACAGCCGTAAAATTTATCTTAGCACGATAAAATACAGCCTAACTAGTAATGACAAACAGAAATAATGTTACTGTTATTACTTCTCTTTTACTATTATATTAACTCCTATCATGGCGTGAAGCAGATACTAACGTCAGGATATTAATTTATTACAAATAAAATTTCACCTTTATCTTTTTCACGAAAATGATAATTATTGTTATTGAATAAAACAAAATACACTAATTATCTTAGCGATTAACATGTTTTCAAATCTTCTGATAAATAAAAAATCGACCAAGTGCGAGGACTCCCGCACGAAGGGTTCTCTACCATTATACTATAAAGTTCTTTACTGTAATTTACAAGCAAAGAGCTACATTCTATATTTATTAAAAAAATACACAGTAGTTTCAGAGATCAGGAAAGGACAATTTTCATCGATTTTCGTAAAATAATTTTTAAACTATTCATTTAACATTTGTGAAAAAAATATGTTTGAAACCTTCACAGCGAGCAGTTCATTGATATATAACACGGTGCAGTTAGCTAAATATTAATTTTCTCATTCACCCCCCACTAGAAACCCTTTCGGAAAAAAATCGGAATTTGTTCATTTACCTTTTTTCGTCCGTGTTTGGGTCACAAACTTACATAAACGTTATGTAAGTTTGCCAAATTTCAACTTGAACGGTCCAGTAAATTCTGAGAAAATCAACTGTGACAGGCAGACAGACAACCGTGGGCCCGAAATTCTTCAAGGGTTCCGATTTTGCCGATTGAGGTCTGGTCCGAAACCCTAAACGTAGGTTGGTGTAATTAAAAATATTGTGCGCGATCTTAATTGTTTACGTTTAATAGGCTAGTTTAATTCCAGTGGGATCAGTGAAACCTGTGCAACTTATGGAATGGATGGGAAACACCGCTGTAATCTTTCAAATCCTGCACAGAAGACATTATTGAAAAATACTTAAACTCCAACTTACAGAAAAAGTAAATTACCACTAGGTACTGCTTACAGGAAATATTGACAATGTTTTTCCCTGCACTAAGTAGATCAATTTGCCCGACCCCCACGGTGATAGGTTCAGGTCAGGGTACATAAAGTTACGTGCGATTGAAGTGATAACTACTCCTTGGTAGTATCATGTACCAATAATATTATAATTAATCTAATTATCAGGGGCGGCCTATCAAGCCCAGCGGGGGCTCCGCGCAATCACAAAGGAACCCAAATCAGATTTTGGTTGTTGAGTGAGGGCGAGGGGCCCGTGCAATTACTATCTTAATAAACTGTAATAGTTGCATTTCCATAAACAGAAAGAAAATTAAACGGGAACTGTTTTTAAAAACTTCTTTAGAATGGGCAATAAGAAGAAGTCGTCTATTGGAAGACGCGTGTTATTTTACCGACTGCAACTCTAAAAATGAAGAAGAATCTAACTGCACCTCTCAAGCCTTAATCAATCAACGGTTCAGGTCACAGACCGTGCCAAATAAATATAAATACACTTGAAAAACATAACTATCCTTTCGACGAAGTTAGCTAAAGAGGGCCCCTCAAAGATCTGTCGCCCAGGGCCCCGCAATTCCTAAGACCACCCCTGCCTATTAAATTATATTCGATAATATAGTTAACTAAAGAAATTAGTAAAACTTTAGAAATGTTGATACTGGTACCATGGACCGATGTCTCGGAGATACAAGAGTGTCACATTCAGAATGTGCAAACCCTTCTTAAAGCATTTACGACTTATGTCGATTTATGTCGTAAATGCTCTAAGAAACCCTTACATGAACTACCTACGTGTATGTATAACATGTATTTTGGCTTTTTGTTATTATTTAAGTTTTTACTCTTTTTATTTATAGCTGTTGGTGTTCCAAAAATAAAAAAATAAGTGAAGTGTTCATGCATTAATATAATTATAGTAGGTATTATACCTAAAGAGGACAAAACTGTACAAAAAACCGTGTGGTTCTCCAACTATTAGCTATTTACATATCTTTTCACCTTTTCACACATAATATTGGTAAAGAAAAAGTGTTTTCTATTCAACAGACCTACTTGCTGGTAATGATGCTAATTTTTGCTCACGAAAATTCATTTCCTGAAACAGTTTTCACCTTTAGGATTCAGGATGATAATTTCGTCAAACATAATAATATATTATATTATGACAATTGTTTTAATTAAATATCTATCTAATTATCTAAACAGATGATGTTAGATGGCCCGTTCAACCGACTTTATTGGGTTTTAGGGTGAAACTTTAATTATGAGTAAAAAAATACTAAAAGCCTCAGCTGTTTGTCTGTCATCGTACCAAAACCCGTGTTGAAAAAGACTGTGTAGGTGTAAACATTGGTAGTATTCTTGATCAAATCATAAAAATAAAATAAAGTAAAGAAATAAAGGTGCTATCCATAGCTCGAAAACGTTTTTATGTCTATGTGGATAAGCAAAAATGGGCGGGTTCACAAACTGCAAATGTTATCCATATACGTTGGCACAGACCCCTTCGTGTGCGAGTTCGTTCCGTTTAATTAATCATTTTAAAGTTTAATGTACAAAGGGTTAAGTTTTATATTAGCATCGTCGAAAATTCCAGTTAACTCGCATTCTCGGCTCATAAAGCCCCGTCCCGATCTGCGTTTATTTGCTAAGAATTCTTATGAATCCCACGTCGCTTCGGAATGCTTTATTGTTCTCACCCTAAGCTAGGTCGTGGCCGTGGGTGTAAGATTTCATTAAAATGATTGATTTTATGTCTATTTCTATCCACATGCGAATAACTTTGTTTTATTTTTCTTTTGTTTGTCATAAATAGCACACGGCTCACGTAGTTTTATTTCTGTTACTATTTTTTCTAAATCGCTTTAATGTACATACCTTTATTCATGTGGTTTTCATTTTACTAAAGTTAAATATGTAAACAATAAATTTTTGTACAGGAATATATTCTATTGAATATTTTCATAACTGAAATCATTTTCCGTTACGAAGTTTAAAATCTCCAGATTTTGAAAGACCTCGCATTAAAATATAATACTTTGACATACCTAGATCAATATCACATCATCACATAATGATATAGATCCAACAACATAACTGGTCTATTAAGTTGGTTGTTAAATTGCGATGATATAACTATATAAAATAATAATATGATAATAATAATTTACGTCGCGTCTTTTTTCTACATGAGCAGAAAAAAATAATGCTTCTCTTTCCTTCTCAGCCCAGCAATGGGAGGTTGGAATAGCATCAAATGCACAAAAAATGAGATTAAAAATAAAAAGAAAAATGGTAGAATCACACAATCACATGACAACTAAGTGACGCTATCCTTGGGCAATCGTTAAGATTTTTTCCGGAAACGGCCACGTCACCATAGCCTATGATTGACTATAACCAAGTCTTGCTTCCAATACCAAAGGTATTTCATAGTCCCTGGAACCTTACTCACCGACAAAAACACAACACTACCAAATAGTCCAGTCAATGCACGGAAAAAACGGAATAACCTGGCGGTTCTGCCAAACAGGACCAATTTACACCAAAATTTGGATTTGGGTTCTACTTACTGAGCGTTTTCCATTTAGAAAAAAAAGTCGACACTGTGTTGCACTGTGTCGACGATACTATAGCAAAAACCTAATGCCAACTAAAGCTTGGTAACACTGCAACCAATGAAAAGTATTGAAGTTACCAAGCTTTAGTTGGCTTTAGGTTTTTGCTATAGTATCGTCGACACAGTGCAACACAGTGTCGACTTTTTTTTCTAAATGGAAAACGCTCAATGTCTGTTATGTTTTTATTACGCAGATAAAACCTCTATTCACGTGTTGTTGTTGGCTCCCTTAAGGGGCACACGAACTTCACACTTACGGCTTACTATCCGCTAAAAAACCCTGCGAATACCCTCTACGCTGTTAAGTGCGGAGCCGCGAGATCCCCGTTGAGACTTCACCGCGTCACCAAAGGTTGCTATTTTAGGGGTGGAAGGCTCCCCATCCCGGGGATATTTTTTTATTAAAAATAAATAATAGGTTAAATAAATTTTAAGCAACTTTTGTTCTTTAAAGTTTTTACTGAAAGTCAATACTGGTATCGATTCTGGCGTGATTCTCTAAACTTAAAACTAAATTTAACATCAGTCTCTCCTTTTCATTCTGTATAGAGAATGATAGGGATGCACTGTTGTCAAATTTAAGTTTAGCTTTAGAGAGTCATGCCAGAATCGACATCACTTTCGACTTATTCGAGATTGGAAAAGTCAAATTTTCAACAACAAAAAACGTTTTCCGACTGTTTTTCATAAATAGCTCTGAAAATAAATATTTTATGAAAAAAATAATAAGAGCAAAATTAAAGCTTATAGAAAACAAACAAAATACTGGGTCTAAAATATCAGTAGACTCAATATTCACACAGTGATAGCATGTTAAAGTTTGGTTCTTGCTTCGTCGTCAAACGCCAAAATCGAAATATTCAACGTGAAATCTCCAAAAAACAATGCATTTTTTTTTCGGGAAAAACTCATAAAACTTTTCACACATATGTATCTCATTATGTGTGAAATAATTAAATAATATTCTTTATCAATATTGTAACATACGTGTTTTGCAAACTTGAAACGGCCATATCTTACAATTTTTTTATCAAATAGAAAAAGAAACCAAAATGTTTAAAAATAAAAAACTTTTTAACTCTTGTAAAGTACCTATCTTACATATTTTTTGAGTTATTTTTGAAGAAAGATAATTGTTTGCGTATTTGCAAAATAGCTGTCTTTACTTCAACCTCATTTTTTTTTCAAAACTAGCTCTTGAAACCGGTCAAACTTATAGGGCATATACAAGTACATGAAAAAAAATCAATAAAATTTTGTCTTTATCATAACTCGCTTAGCTTTTATACTATGAACTTCCATAATAAAAAAAATAAAGCTTTTTTCAAGCAAATCAAATAAGTTTTATGAGTGTTTCCCGAAAAAGGCATTGTTTTTTGATATTCCACGTTAAAACTTTAGATTTTGGCGTTTTACGAAGAAGAACCACCATTTGACAAGCTATTACTCCATTAAGATTCAATATAGTAATATTTTGTTTGTTTTTATATAAGCTACTATTATTATGTTCTTTTTTCATAAAATACTCATTTACAGAGTTAGTTATTCATGAAAAACCATCTGAAAACGTGGTAGGTATTTCTTGTTGAAAAATTTACGTTTCTACTCTCGAATAACTTGGATAGTATTGCCTATAAAAACGTAAAGTAAAGCCAGTAAAAACTTTGTAGAACAAAAGTTGCTTAGAATTAGTCAGTCTTTTTCTATTTTCAATAAAACATTTTTCATGTCTTATGTAAGGTGGAAGTTACTTCTCCAGATGGGCGCTCCAATGCAAGCGGAAACCTCTATTAATGAAAAAAGTTTTTACTTTTGCACGGGAAAGTTAACACCCGATGGCTAATAAGTCCTCAATTGTTTGTAGGTTTTCAGTGGACCTCAGTCAGATGCGATCGCTGCGGTTGTTCTTCAACGACGACGACTGCACGTGCGGCCAACTCGTGGTGGCTTCCAGGGAGTCGCAGTACAAGATCTTGCACTTCCACCACGGCGGACTAGACCACTTGGCGCAGGTGCTACACAGGTGGCATTCCTTGCTGCACAATATCAAGCTTACGCCAGGTGAGAGAGAGAGAGTAATCTAAGACATTAGCTATAGAGAGACATCCAGGAAGTCGCAATAAAAGATATTGCACTTCCACCACGGGGGACTAGACCACTTATCCCAGGTCTTGCACAGGTAAAACTTCTTGCTGCACAATATCATGCTTATGCCAGGTGAGAGAAAGTAATTTAAAACATTTATAGGTATAGAGACATCTAGGGAGTCGCAAAGTCGTACAGTCGTAGGATATCCGGCAGTTCCTCGTCCATTTGGCGAAGTAGTGCACAGATGGCATTCCTTGATGCACAATATCAAGCTCGCGCCAGGTGAGATAGAGTACCTATTTTAAAACGTTTATGCTATTTGCATTGAAATGAGAATAATGATACTCACACACTGCTTATCTTTTCGATTACCTCAAAGGGTTCTGAAAGTTTTGATTACTAAGTAAATATATAATTAGTAGGTAGGTGTGCGAGAATATTCAATTAAGCGTAACTATATTTATCTTCGAATTTTCTGCTCGACATGTACCTTACCTTGTCGAATTTGGGCTTTGTAATAAATCAATAAAAAGCTTTCATTTAGACGGGGAGTGGGTGTGAAATCTTCATAGATACCCTACAGCCGGCTGCAGAGCTATGCCAGACTATTACTGACTAAAATAAAATATACCCATGGGGACGCCTTTGGGCATAAGGGCCTTACATTACATGCTTCATCTGTTACTTATTCTTTTCTATTTACCGTAGAAGCGAAGGATATTGGTTCGATTTCAGCCTGATACCAGGATCAGAATAAATAGTTTTTAGTTAAATATCTTATAAATATATTTATTAAATATTTTCCAGGGTCCGAAGAACCGAACCTTCCATACCGTCATTTCATGGTATGCCGTCCCGAAGTGCAGAAATCAGAACAGCACCCCGAAGAAGGTAAAGTGCCGAAAATATCCCCCGAGCTGTTTTATGGAAAACTGATGAACAGTAAGGGCGTTATCGAAGACGACTTGTTCCTAAGGAAATGCATATTCTTCGGGGGTCTCGACAAAGAGCTCAGACGAGAAGTTTGGCCTTTTCTCCTCCATTGCTACCCATACAATTCTACTTACGACGAAAGAGAGATAATTCTACAAATAAGGACTAGAGAATACGAGGAAATTACAAAGAGAAGGTTGGAAAAGATGACGCCTGAACAACACGCTATATTTTGGAGGACCGTGCAATGCGTCATTGAGAAAGATGTGGTGAGAACGGATAGAGGGAATCCATTCTTTGCTGGTGACAACAATTACAATATTGAAATAATGAAGAATATTTTGTTGAATTATGCTGTTTATAATCCAGTGTTAGGGTGAGTTGAGTTTTTACATTTTTTATGGTATGTTTTCAATTAGTTAGGAGCTCGAGAGCGCGTGTGGATAGCGCATTCGGCCTGCGATAGAAATGACCGACCATTGGCAAAGTAACTTCCAAACTTTCACAATGGTCGGTCATATCGGATGAGTGAAAAAAAAACGCTTCGGAAGGCACATCTTTTACAAATTACACATCTTTTCAAAATTGCCTAATCGTAACCAACCGAATTTTATAGTTGGTCTAAGAAGGCTTAGAAGCGCAAACCTACATCTAGATGACCTCTGAAGTTTTCTTACTATTCCAGGTACACACAAGGAATGAGTGATTTGCTGGCACCTGTTCTTTGCGAAATAAAATGTGAGGCTGAGACCTTCTGGTGCTTCGTCGGTCTGATGCAGAGAGCAATATTTGTTTGTACACCAACTGACAACGATATGGACAATAATCTTGTAAGATTTTTTCATTTTCTTCTACTTTAAAAGAAAGAACGAATAGACTTTATGAGTATTAAACTATTCTCACTTAGCTACTAAATGTTACATATGATGCTTTTTTTTCAGAGTTACCTCCGAGAGCTCATCAGAATAATGTTACCACATTTCTATAAGCACTTAGAGAAGCATGTGGATGCTATGGAACTCCTCTTTTGTCATCGGTGGATATTACTGTAAGTATGCTGCTCTATGCACATTTTTGAAATGTGATCTTTTGTGTGTTCTGTTTTTAATAAAGATGCAGTTTTTAATTCGGCGCAGTGCTACTGTTGAAGTTAAACAAATTTCGCAATGCCCGCTCGGTCATCGAATAGACGTCCAAAAATTTACTACCTCAAGGTCCTCAGTGCTTTGGAAGGCACCGCGAGCTGTTGGCCCCGGCTGCATCTGCAGTGGTTAGCACTCACCTGCATGGCTAGTGGTAACAGGATGCCACGACCGGGGACCTTGGTCCTCAAAATGCGTGTCGGGTGACCGGTGCAGTTTTGTTTGTCTTTTTAGTGGGTTTATATCCATTTTAGAGCCCTCTAGCGGGCGGAAATGGGCGAGGAGGAGTCCTCACATATCCTCGTTGCGACTCCCGGTGGCGAGTAAGACGTCACGCCTTCCACAGACTATAAAAAAAAGAAAGCACCCACTACTTCTCTCTAAGCTCCCGTTTTATAGAACATTTCATTGCCATTGTCCCCATCTTATCCATAATTATAGATGTCCTGACCAAGATAGTTAAATAAGATGATGATGATTTAACATAAAGACAATGTTCAGGTGTTTCAAGCGCGAGTTCACCGAGGCAGTCGCGCTGCGCATGTGGGAGGCGTGCTGGGCCAACTACCAGACGGACTACTTCCATCTGTTCCTATGCCTCGCCATCATCGCGGTTTACGCTGATGACGTCATCGCGCAAGGCCTCAACACCGATGAGATGTTGCTGCACTTCAGTTCCTTAGGTAAGTAATTTAACTAATAATTAACATAACCAATATTCACAGTAAAAAAAGTAATTCTGATATAATTTCCAAACACGAAATTAGTTTCATGGCAAAATTTAGATTCTATAGCAGTAAATTTTTTTAGAATATGCATCTTAAGGGATATAGATAGGTAGGTTGGAATTATTGTCAAATTTTGTTAAGATTAGAGAATCATACGCGTACATTAATTTAGCACAGCGGATATCAGCTGAAATTATTTTGAATTTACACGTGGATAAACAAAAGAACAGCTCAGTACAAACACTTTTTGTAAGTAAACATTTGTATTGTACACCGGTATACATACCTCAATCCATTTTATTGAGTCTTTTTTTTTATAAACTCACCTTTTCTCAGCTAGGTAAGCTGTTCCATTTGTCCGTTTACGTAAATGCATAAGATCTCAATCTATCAAAATTAGCTAATAAATAACTTACCATCGGTGTCGATTCTGGCATGATTCTCTAAACCTAAACGTAAATTTGACAACAATGGTGTCGATTCTAGCATAATTCTCTAAACCTAAACTTAAATTTGACAGCAGTATATCCTTGTCATTCTCTATACAGAATGAAAAGGAGAGACTGATGTCAAATTTAGTTTTAAGTTTAGAGAATCACGCCAGAATTGGCACCAGTGTATCCTTGTCATTTTCCATACAGAATGAAAAGGAGAGACTGATGTTAAATTTAGTTTTAAGTAGAGAATCACGCCGAAGTTGGCACCATTAATTCAGATTATTTTATAATCTAGCTAAGGTGTGTGTGTGACTATTTCAGAAAAACCTAATGCCTATTGTTATAAATTAGTTAAGTAAGTTAGTAAGTTAAGTAAGTAATTTGAACAAGTAAGGTCCCGTCTTAGGTATTACCTGTACTACACATTGAAAATAGAGTATAAACAACAAGGGGTTCGCCTTGTGTACTTTCGGATCAAGTTCTAAAAATATAGTGTCTTTTACCCTTAATTTGTTCGTTGGTGGTTCGCATCAGTAATTTTCTCATTTTCCTTTCAGCAATGTACATGGACGGCAGGCTGATACTCCGTAAAGCACGCGGTCTTCTGTACCAGTTCAGACAACTAGTGCGTATTCCTTGTACGCTAGCAGGAATGTGTCAGCGCTGCGGACCCGGTATCTGGGACTCTACCCACAGACCTAGTATCGAATGCACCGGGGCGCACGACGTTTGCGAATATGCTGCGCGTTAACACTACGCTACTTCACATGTTGATTTGACTTAACAAGTAATAAAGAAGAATATTGGACTACCAGATGGAGGGAGGGCTTTCACTCCTAAGTTGCTGATATTCTGCAGACCTGTAGGGCTATTCGCTAACGGTTTTTGACAGATGGAAGTGATACTCACAGAGCTATTTATTGATCTACTACTGCTTTCTTATAACGCAATTATGATACTTGTAACGAAAAGTATCGATGGATATGCAATTTTCTCTTTAGTTATACACTGTAAATTTCACAAAAGTTTGCGTTTAGGCAACTGTACAAAGCTCTCTGCTTCCATAAACCTCCTCGCCCAGTGTGAAGTGTTAACTTACGAAATCCCAATAATATTTATAATAATCCAACGTACACACACGACTACATTGGAAGACCTCCCTGTGTCGGTTTTTTCTTACTGTTATATGTAACTTGGGTGTCTTTAAGAAGAGAGTAAAGAGGCATTTACTGTCTGTGCGTGGACCACTTTATAGTATCCAGTCTCGATTTCAATAAAACAAACATCGATAAGGCGAATGCGCATACAGTTTTAAGTCGCGGCATGAAACTCTAGCACTGACCGTTATTGTGCAGAAATAAAAATTAAGATGTCTTGGGTGGAGACAAGGTGCGCGGGTGGGCGTACGTTGCGCCGATTGGCTCTCCAGTCGTACCCATGCGCAGCTATCCCCTCCACGTTTTGTTCAGCGCTAGAGTTACGTGCCGCGACCTGTACCGATAAGAAAATCAGATGGTGATGTGCTAACTCTCCCGTGCAGATGGTAGAAATTTATCAACGAATGGCACGGTTTCCGAGACTACTGTAGACAATAGGCTGGTAAATGAACCAAAGCAATATAAAATGTAGCTTACCTATATCTATATGAGAGAAGGAAGGAGGCACATATTTTTTGGTTAATTGATATCGCACCGTTGAGGTTTTACAATATAGTGTGGAGCTAGGTTTAAGTTTGTAAATGCCGGAAAACACAAAAAATATTAAGTTAACTAACAAAAAAGGTTAAGGGCTAGCTGGCCGGCAGACAAAGAAGTTGATCTATATTTACTAAATAGGTTTTCTCCTTATACCCTCAGATCTAATAACGAATTGAAGACTTAGGGAGGTACTTATCTACATATCGAAATTATTCGGTAAAATTGATGGTGAAATTTATCAATTGGATGTTTTGAGATCAACATATATTATGGTACCTTATGTTGATTTATAAGAATTTTAATTTTGTTCGATATTTGCACAGACACGACTGTTAACATTCAATGACTTGTAAGTAAAGAGGCGATAAAAAAATCACAAATTCAAAGTAAAATCGTCCTGAATGTATACTGAATTAAATTATCTTTAGTATTAATTTACATTGGTTAATGAGTAGGTATTAATTTACATTTATTCTTACTGTTACGGAACTAAATATAGCTTTGTGCTATATGAGTAGGTTAAGAAGTCCACAGAGGACCGCTTTGTTATTAAAGATGCTTGTTCCAATTGATTTTTACTATTGTTCTATCTTGGACAAAAGAGCCATATCATTTCGTTGGTTCATTCGTATCGTCATTGTATCCATGGTCCATGGTATCGTTCCTATCAGCTGTGCTATTACGTAGACTCACAAAATTTTCACGCGCGGATCTATATCGGATTTTGTGTCTTTACAGAATAGCACTGCCGTAGGTTGAAGCTACACCGCATTCACAAATAATACCGTTTAATATTTTAGTAGTAAGGCAAATATAAGATAATTATTTAATGTTGAAACATTTTAAAATAAATCTAATGGAATATCATAATATTTACAACGTTGAACTTGCAAAAATTACTTCCACTGTTAAATCAAACAAGATTACAAGATATCCACGCGAACCAGGCATCAGACAGGATTTTCTTTAGATTTATAAAACCAGCAGTTAAATGCTTAAATAAAAAAAAGTAACATAGGTAATCGAATTGTGGTTTGTGCAATACGGCAAAATATCAAAGCAGATCAATTATATTTTAGAGTCATTAAGCGTTAAAATTGTTTTGATGAAATTGAATTGTAATAAACGTGGGCTCTAGAATCCTAGAATAGATGATTGGTGACCCATCGTATGACCGGCCATTGCAAAAGTTACTTTACCTCCACGAACACTGACCGAACGCGCTAACCTCTGCGTGTTTGAGGTCTTACATGGCATCGAACAATATTACAATAATGTACATATTATTATAATTGAATTTATTTTTTGTCTTTGTGTTTGAATAACACTGGTCTTTTGGATATATTGAGTAAGACTGATACTACATTCCAAGAACTTGAAAACAGGACACAGAATTTTTGTGAAGTTGACGGTTTATATCCATCAGGTAATTGGCGATAAATCGTTTAAACTAGAGCCCAATATTGGGTGAAAATCTGTATACATTTTTGTGATTCAGAGCGAGCGATTTACGTCTGTTGCATGGTTGTTTTTATTTCCAACGTGTGTTTTTATTGAATTTTGGCTGAACTTGGCTGACCGAAATTGATTAGTCATTGGATTGGCATCTATTCATGAAAGTATTGTTTAGAATAAATATACATTGTTATTAAATTAAAATGGTTACATACATTCGATACGCAGAGTACTTTTATCCCAAGATGATGTAAACAGGGACATATCAATGTTGAAATGTGTTCTTATAAAATCTTAAATATTGTGTCACGGTTGTTTACAAATTTCGTATCGTTGTTGAAACAAAGTAAATCGGACCTAATTGTGTGTTAGTTATATGGCGTATTGGAGTTTAATAACATTACATTAATTTGTGCAATGTTAAATAATTACTATCAATTTAACTCGTAAGTTGTACCTGTTTATTTAGTTACGAACCGTATTGTAGATAATTTTAGTCACATCCATGTTTATTTTTACACAAAAATTACCGGGTCTAACATTAAAAAACATGAAATATTTTTAAGGACAGCTGTGACAATAGGTAAATATCCATAAATATATTTTAATCATAAACCTACTTATTTAGGTAGGTACTTAAATATTTTAACAGAAAAGCAAACATATCCGTTTAACAGCCTAGACTCATTTTATTACCAGTTTGAGAGCAGGCAGGTTATTTATCATCACAAAATAGACAGTGAGTGAGTATTATATTTCATCGCTTCATTCTTCAGATATAACTAAACAGGTAGTCCCTTAAAGGTACTAGGCAACTTCGCACAATATTTAAAAAGTATTTTTACTAACCAAACGTCAAATTCATTCATTCAACCCTACCACTCGCGCCATTTTAGTTAGCTTGCTCATTCCTTATTTGTGCGAGGCAACGATCACACGTACTAAAATTAAAAATAAAAATGCCCAAGCGCAGTGCGGAAGAGAAAATTGAGCGTTATAATCGGAAAATCCGCAAATTACAACTAGAATCAGAAGAAAAGAAGAAAAAGAAAAGGCATCGAATTATAATATCCGATGACGAGTTTGATTTAAACCGTAAGTAACTTTTATTTCTTTTAAGTGATTAGTGTTCATTAAATAAACGTATGTTAATACCGGCCTGTATGGATTGACTGCGAGTCAATAAATACAACTAATATACTTCGGGATTGACTGCGAGTCTTTAACGATGGTATTATAAGAATAATCAGATAGATTTTTCTTTGTCAATTTGTAGGAATTAACTGCGAGTTAATGACTATAAAAGTACCGATTCACAGGATTCATGTCTTTATTCATCGGGGCTAACTGCGAGTTTTCAACGATGCCGAAAATTTCTTTAAATAAAAATTTTTTCTCATTCTACCTACAAAAAAAAAAAAAAAAAAACCTTATTACAACTTATTTTTTATAGATGAACAAAATTACACTAATTACAATCAAGAACAGAACCAACCTGAGGAGATACCGTTAGCACAATGCGAAAGTTCGCCGTCAATTGACGAAAAAGTGGCTGAGGACACCCAAGCCGACTGAGCCAAATTTAGATCCAGAACTATTACTAGCACTTGGAGAGGCTGTTTCTGATACTCCGGATTTTGGAGAAAAAATCTTAGATAGTCAAGCCAAAATATGGATACCAATATTAAAAAAAGGTGTCCCAAAGGAACCTAAAGATAATCTTTTAAAAGAATATATAGTGCCAGACAATTGCAGACTTTTGCAGGCACCAAAGCTAAATGCTGAAATAGCAGCTGCTCTTCCAGATATGGTTCGAAATAGGGACAAGAATATTCTCACTGTCCAACAACAACAACTAGGTGCTGGGATTACTGCTGTCAATAGGGCAATGGATTTGTTACTGTTGAATGGCGACAAGTTACAGGCCATTAAACACCTCAGTAATGGCTGTCGATTACTATCAGACCTGCATTTTACCTTTACTCAAAACAGAATAAAGCTCATTACACCAAGCTTAGATAAAACCTGTCTCAATGTCATACATGACACAGAAAGAGACATCACCTTATTTGGTGAAAATTTGTCAGAAAATATCAAAGCAGCGAAAGCCATCGAAAAACAAGGGCTTCAAATAAAAAAGACAGCACCTCAGAAAGCCACTTCTTCTCATACACACCCGACAAACGTTCGTTCGAGCTACCAGGGAAACTGGCAGCCTCCTCGCTTCTCGTCGAACAGAGGGGGGCGGGGAGGGAATCGTCGTCCGGCACAAGCACCAGCAACCCAGCGCCGTGCCTACCCTGTAATGAACGCGAAAAATCTTCAGCAGAACAAGCCCCGTGCTGCAGCACATCAGTAATACAGGTACACGCTGGTCGTATTAAATACTTTTATAATTGCTGGCTAAATATTACGAAAAACAGGACCGTCCTTAATTGGATAAAAGACGGTTATTCTATTCCCTTTCACAAAAAAGTGAAACAATCATATACTCCTAACAATACATTTTCACACACCGAAAAGCAAGAAATGGCTATTGCCATTAAAAAATTATTAAATTTAGCAGCAATTTCTCCTTGCTTACCAACAAAAGATCAATTTTTATCAAAGATTTTTCTTACACCTAAACCTAATGGAGGGAAACGCTTTATTTTGAACTTAAAACCGTTAAACAATTTCATTCCAAAATTACACTTCAAGATGGAAGACTACCGTACGGCCGCAAAATTAATACCGAGAAATGGCTATTTGGCAACGATTGATTTGAAAGAAGCATATCTTCTCTTACCTATTAATCCCAAGCACAGAAAGTACCTTCGTTTCGAATTCGAAACAGAAACAGGCCAAATAACCACATATGAATTCACAGCGATCCCGTACGGTTTGTCGGTAGCACCACGAGTCTTCACAAAAGTCATGAAGGAAGTCATATCCTGTTTAAGATATCGTGGTTTCAAGTCAGTTTTCTACTTAGACGATATCTTATGTATTGGAGATTCTTATATTGATTGTCTTAATAATGTTAATGAAACATTAAAATTATTAGAATGTCTAGGTTTCGTTATAAACAGAGAAAAGAGTGTATTACAACCAAAATTATGTTGCAAATTTTTAGGTTTTGTTTTTAACACTGTAAATTTATCAATATCTTTACCATCTGACAAGCGTAACAGTATAGCTCAACTAGTTAATAAGTATTCTAATTTACCCCGATGCACCATTCGAGACTTAGCTCAAATGATTGGCGTATTAGTGTCCGCATGCCCTGCCACCAAATATGGTTTTGTATATACAAAAATATTAGAGCGACTTAAATTCCTTTCATTATTAAAATATAATAATTATGATACTAAGATACATCTTTCCAAAGACATTTTACAAGATCTTAATTGGTGGAGCAATAACATTTCTTCTACTTACAATCTCATGAGACATTCGAATTTCGAATTCGAAATATATACTGACGCCTCCAAAACTGGTTGGGGGGCGGTTTGTAAAAACTTTAGGACTCATGGAATGTGGAGCATGACAGAGCGCGATAGACACATAAACTATTTAGAGTTATTATCAATCTTTTTAGGATTAAAGAGCTTTGTTTATAATAAAAGAAACTGTGCTGTACTGCTACGCGTCGACAACACTACAGCTATAAGCTACATTAACAGAATGGGTGGAATTCAATTTCCACATTTGAACGAATTATCCCGATGTATATGGCAATGGTGCGAAAAGAGAAATATTTGGATTTTTGCGTCTTATGTAAACACAAAAGAAAATTATGCTGACTTTGACTCAAGAATTATCAACCCCGATACTGAATGGGAATTATCAGCAAAAGCTTTCCAGGTTATTAAGGATAAATTTGGAGAACCTCAAATCGATTTATTCGCTTCTCGCGCCAATGCCAAATGTAGAAAATTCATATCTTGGAAACAAGATCCCGACTCTTTCGCTGTAGATGCATTAACTATAAATTGGCAAAGTTATTATTTCTACGCATTCCCACCATTCTCCCTAATTTTAAAGTGCCTTAGAAAAATAATAGACGAAGAAGCTTACGGCATCCTCGTCTTCCCATATTGGCCTGCTCAGCCATGGTATCCTCTGTTAACGAGACTTCTATGTTCAGAGATACTGTACTTTGATGGTCACTCATATCCACTTCGCTCTTATTTCAGAAACCATCATCCCCTCGGGTCGAAGCTTACCCTGGCTGCCGCGAAGCTCTGCGGCAAGCCTTCATTCACCGAGAGACACCTTCCGTAGCCTTAAACCTAATGCTGGCTTCGCTGTCTGATAATACTATGAGACAATACAACGTCACATTTAAGCTTTGGTGGCAATATTGCCTAGAAAAAAGTGTTGACTGGCTCGAACCCGCAAAAGCTTCCATACTATCTTTTCTAAGTGAACAATTTGTAGCTGGATGTTCCTATAGTAGCTTGAACAGTCACCGTTCAGCTTTGTCACTATTAATAAGTAATATCGGTACAGACGAGAACATAAAGCGATTACTAAAAGGTGCCTATAGATTAAGGCCCTCAACACCCAAGTACTCTAGTACATGGGATCCCCAATTAGTACTTAACCTCTTATCGGAATGGTACCCTAATACCGAACTTACCTTAGAAAAAATTACGAAAAAGCTAGTTGCTCTTCTGGCACTCTGTACTGCCCATAGAGTTCAGACTCTCTCCCTCATAAAACTAGAAAACATAGTTATCAATGAAATAGGTATCAGAATCATCATAACTGATTTAATCAAAACATCAGCACCAAACCGTGATCAGCCGGTTCTTAAATTACCCTTTTTTATGGAAAATATTCGTATATGCCCTGCTACAGTTCTCAGAGATTATATTTTTGTTACAAAAAATAAGAGAATCAATAGTACGGGTCAGCTGCTTTTGACTCATAAAGCGCCATACAAAGCAGCAACAACACAATCCATAAGTCGCTGGATAAAACAAGTATTGTCAGACAGCGGCGTCAATACTTCCATGTTCAGTGCACATAGCACTAGACATGCTGCCACGTCGGCAGCGCACGCGCGTGGAGTTTCTATAGAAACTATTCGTCAGACAGCTGGCTGGACAAATTCGTCCAATACTTTTGCAAAGTTTTACAACAGGCACACTATCGAAGAGGAAAACTTTGCCAATTCAATTTTGTCATTTACTAGTATACACAATACACATTGATTAGGTTTAGTGATTAGTACCTAGTTAATTACAATTAAATAATTAGAAGGCTTATTTTTTTTTTGTGTATAAATGATACCTTTCATCAAACCAAGTGTTTTATTTTAGAAAACTTTCTGTTCGCTCTCTAAACATCTACCTGTTTAGTTATATCTGAAGAATGAAGCGATGAAATATAATAAGTGATTAAACGAGCTTCTCAAGCGAAGTTCGATCATTATTATATGAGTCGCTTCATTCGAAGATATAATGTCCCTCCCTGCCCATAAGTATCAAAATACATTGTTACACAATGTAATTTTATACTTAACCCGAAACAGAAAGGTTTTTGCCTTATATCTCTAAAGAATGAGCAAGCTAACTAAAATGGCGCGAGTGGTAGGGTTGAATGAATGAATTTGACGTTTGGTTAGTAAAAATACTTTTTAAATATTGTGCGAAGTTGCCTAGTACCTTTAAGGGACTACCTGTTTAGTTATATCTTCGAATGAAGCGACTCATATAATAATGATCGAACTTCGCTTGAGAAGCTCGTTTAATCACTTATTATTATTGTCACATCTGTACTTAAATAAATTTTATTATTATTCTGTGAAATTCTGTGTTAATAAATACTTATTACATATGATACAGTTAATATATTATGAGTAAGTAAGCTATGTTTTTAAAATAAATGATTAGATAAATAATTCGCGTTATTAACGCATATTCTTTTTGTTGATACTTAAATTAGTTTTTTTACGTAAGACGCTGGTTGGGCATTAAATGTAACACAAAACAAATTATGTATTATTAAAAATATCATCAAATTAATAAATATTATACCTACCTATTTGTAAACATAGTATTACAGTTAATTTCGCATATTGTGAATTGTTACGCATACTGTGATATATGATCTGCTTGTAATATATGGTATTAGATAATAGTAACGAAATGATAAATATATATTATTATAAATTAGTAATCATATCTTGATTTTAGAAATAAATGTGCAAGCAAACCATGTTCTGGGGTTTTACTTATTATGAAGATGCCTACTTTTATTTACATATAATTAATCTTAATCAAACATCTACGGATATTTTTTATAGAATTAAATTTAATTATTTCCTGATTTCTTTCAACTTTTACAAAAATCTAATGGCTGCATTTCTGGGGTTTAAGAATAGGGAGATTAGGCCATGACCTACCAACCAGGCGTACCTACCAAACACTGAGTCGTTACCCTAAAGATCGACACACGTCTATTGAGTAGCGTTCCGTGCGACACACCGGTTGCAGCGTAGAAAATGCTTTGTCAACTTTTCACCCGGATATGGTGAGTTACGGACATAGAGAAAAGTAATAGGGTGCGGCCAGAGTGCACTCAGATTCAGATTCTGGAAACAAGCGCGAGAAATAAACAGTGTAGTCTAAGCAAGTTGCCTGCTTTTTCTCGCGCTTTGTTTTCTGAGTCTGAATCTGAATCAGGAGTGCACTCTGGCCGTACCCTTCGACTACGAAAAAGCAGGCAACCTGCTTAGACTACACTGACGCACCCTATGGGTGCGGCCAGAGTGCACTCAGATTCAGAGTCAGATTCAGATTCTGAAAACAAGCGCGAGAAATAAACAGTGTAGTCGAAGGGTGCGGCCAGAGTGCACTCAGATTCAGAGTCAGATTCAGATTCTGAAAACAAGCGCGAGAAATAAACAGTGTAGTCTAAGCAGGTTGCCTGGTTTTTCTCGCTCTTTGTTTTCTGAGTCTGAATCTGAATCTGAATCAGGAGTGCAATCTGGCCGTACCCTTCGACTACACTGTTTATTTCTCGCGCTTGTTTTCAGAATCTGAATCTGACTCTGAATCTGAGTGCACTCTGGCCGCACCCGAAGGGTACGGCCAGAGTGCATTCCTGATTCAGATTCAGATTCAGACTCAGAAAACAAAGCACGAGAAAAAGCAGGCAACCTGCTTAGACTACACTGTTTATTTCTCGCGCTTGTTTTCAGAATCTGAATCTGAATCTGAATCTGAGTGCACTCTGGCCGCACCCTATGGGTGCTGAATCTGACTCTGAATCTGAGTGCACTCTGGCCGCACCCATACACTGGAGGTACGGAACATGGCCCCGTAGGTGAAACGGGGGTTTTTGGCGCCATTTTACAAGTCCTCGTCCGTCACTTCACTTTTCAGTTTTTTAAAAAAAATAAAGTTTACTCTATTTTGTAATCAGTTTGTGTATGTTTGAGTTTTGGTTTTATATTTTTGTGTCTGGGTTAATACAATACGTATTACATACCAACAGTAATTGAGCTCCTTCTCTATGGATTGGATGTAAGCTTCCTTCGTTAGAATTATTTATGTAATATTAACTCTTGCTTACTTGATATCATCTTTAGTGAGTGAAATCTACTGGCCATGATACGCGACATATCTCGTAAGTAAGTCAGAGATTTGTAAGTGTTCTGCTCAATGACGTTCTGGTTCTTTTCTGTGTCTGTGCGTATAAACTTCTTGATCTGTGTGACATACGCATGATAAGATTAGCCACCAATTTTAACATTGTTGGCCACGCACGATTGGCAGACAGTTTATCACATAATTTATTCTGAGTTATAAGAAACTGAGGTTAATTTGTGATAAGATAAAAAATACCCAATGGCGTATGCCATTAATGATTATTCAAAATTGAGTCTTTTAGTGATAGTAACTATTGCAAGTTGCACAAACTTAAATAACAACGTGTCGTTTGTTCAGGAAATGGCTCACAATTTAGGAAAAACAATGAGAGCGGTAGGATTCTACAAATATTTACCAATTACGGATCCGAATAGTCTTATAGATTTGGAAGTTAGTATCCCAAAAGTTCAAATAAACGAAGTTCTGATTCAAGTAAAGGCGATTTCAGTTAACCCCATTGATACCAAGGTTAGAGCGCCGAAACCGATTATTGAAGTTGTGCCAAAAATCTTAGGTTTTGATGGAGCAGGTATAGTGGTTGAGAAAGGGGAAAATGCTAAATTATTTAATGTCGGAGATGAAGTATTTTTCACAGGTGATCTTAGAAAAAATGGTTCAAATGCAGAATATGTTGCATTAGACGAAATTTTAGTGGGCAAAAAACCAAAGAACTTGACATTCGAAGAAGCAGCAGCAATGCCTCTTACAACAGTGACTGCATATGAATCGTTATATGATCGTCTTGGCATCACGAACGAACATAAAGATAAGACATTGTTGATTATAAACAGTGCTGGAGGTGTGGGTTCTGCCGCGACACAGCTGGCGAAACAATTGGGTCTTAAAGTTATTGGTACAGCATCCCGCACTGAAACTGTAGCATTCACCTTAAGGCATGGGGCTGATGTAGTATTCAATCATACTACTGATTTATTACCTCAGTTAGAAGCTAATGGATATGGTAGTGGTGTTCATTACATTCTTGTTAACTATGATCCATATCCATACTGGGACACTCTTATGAAAGCTATAAAACCTCAAGGTAAGATTTGCCTAATAGTAGATAGCAGTGGTCTTGTAGATTTGAGGCCTTTGAAAGACAAAAGTGTCACTTTAGTATCTGAAATGATGAGTACAAGAATCAAATATAACACTGAGGATAAATTTAGACATCATGAAATTTTACAAATAGTGTCTAAAATGCTGGATGACGGTTCTTTGAAGAGCACATTGACCAGAACTATGACACCAATTAATGCAGCTAATTTGAAAGAAGCCCATAAATTAATTGAAAATAAACATTTACTTGGTAAAATAGTATTGTCAGGATTTTAATGCATTTAAATTCCTGACTTGTGGATTAAACTACCTACATAGGTATATAATATTTTTCATCAGAATTTTATTTATTTCTTTAACCACATTTTAACTTAATGTATTTTTTAAGTGGCTATCATTGCTCTAATTATTTTAACATGACCACCACTAACATCATGATTTGATATGGCCCTATGTTGACAGTAAGCTGATGCTTATGGACCTGAATGTCTTAAGCCAATGCATCTTGAGAGTATCTTATTGTGCGTTCGTAGGCAAATTTAATTAAAAACTACTTCATGTCATTGTTTAACTTAAATACAAATGATTTTCTTATCACTAATTATGGCAGGTGTAACTCATCAGATTGAGAGTGCACAGTCCAACTAGATTGAGTCCAAACCTAATGTTTGTGAACTACATATTCATAAAAAAGTTAAATCTTAATAAGGTTTTATGCATTTAATGGTGTCGATTCTAGCGTGATTCTCTAAACCTAAACTTAAATTTAACAGCAGTATATCTTTGTCATTCTCTATACAGAATGAAAAGGAGAGACTGATGTTAAATTTAGTTTTAAGTTTAGAGAATCACGTTAGAATTGGCACCAATATCTACAAGAATTAATGTTAAGCAACAATTGTTAATACTTTATTCTTGGCAGTTTGATTTAATGTTGTATATACCTGTTATTAGCTTTTATGTAAGACTTTTACCAATTCCCTATTGCCCCATATAAAATATGCTTGTTTAGCTGTTGGTGTACCTATAATAATAAATAAAAGAAAAAACAAGAACCTCAGCAAAAGTATAGTGCAGTGTGCAAATAGTCTCGTTATTAAATAAAGAAGCCTTTGTGTAATCCATAATATTATATGAACCGATTTTGAAAATTATTTTACCAATAGATAGCCATGTTATTTCTGAGTGTCATAGGCACATCAGAAAAAAAACTATAGTCAATACTGAAGCAAAGTCAGGGTGGGACACTAGTATACAATATACGTATTTACATTTTTATATAATATTTTGAAAAGCTATTTTAATTTTTTGGAACTTGATAAAAATATAGGTTGAGGTTCAAATAAGTATTTATTTATGTTATTTTTCCTTGTTTAAATGAATATTGGATTGACTGAGTACATTTGGGTCAAATTCTTTGCCTTTGAAGGGTGATCCAGGTGCATTCCATGCTTTCTTTAAGATTTCCAGGTTGCGTATTTCATCAGTTGTAGGAAGGCCTTTTAATTTTTGTTCTTGATTCCATTGAAGTTCTCTTACCTGAGTTTTAAAAGTTATTAAGAATAAACATTTAAGCATTGTTAGTACAATTTATGTGTATTTGTAAATCAATGATCATAATAATTAACATTAGATTACCTTCGCAATATGATCTTCTGGAAGCTCGTCTAACGGCCTTGAACAATCAATTTTTGATAAATCTATTGGTTCTTCACTGTTCAAAAATCTATTCCACCAGCGTTCTTGGACTTTTTCTAGAAAGGTAAAGTAAATTACAAGGTGATTGATCAGCGAAACAATATTTAATTGAGAGTTTACAAACCTAAATGTATCAAAAGTCTGCCTTCACTAATACTCCAAAAACTATCTATTGTCTTAATTTTGTAAGGCAGGGTGTCTTTTAATATAATTTCTCCATTAGAGCATGCTACCCATATGTCACTACTGTTTATAGTAACTTTAAGATTTTTGGATGATTTTATGTCTGATGGAAGTTTCACGGTTACATCTGAAACAATAATAAATTGGAATATTTAGTTGTAGACCTTTTATTGCCCCTCAATATTGCATCGTATATTCTATCACAAGATGACAATTAAGTTACCCAGTTCCATAATTGTTTGTGACCAAAAATACTTTTCTCTTTCGGCTCCATTGTAAGTATCACTGTTTGTTTGCACTGGAATCACCGGTGGAGCACATGGAGAACTGGAATCTGGTGGTTTTTGCACTGCACCACTTCCTGCCTTTTCTGTTGTTACCTCTACTTGCTTAGTGTCACAAGGACCTTGTATATCATCTTCCTCTGCTACCACTTCAACTTCTTGAGCGACAGTCGAGCACATTATTTCGTTACTTATGTCAGCAGAGTTCTGATTACCATTTGATTTCGTCCAATTTTTCGGGTCACACTTTTTTAATACTTTTATGACAAGCTCCTCAGCTACTCCTGGAGGGAAACCCATGTTTTCGTATGGTCCTTCCGGTATGTAATAAAAGTCGGTACTGAAATAAGAAATGCAGTTGCTAAATTAATTTCTTTTATTGAAAGTTTTATAATTTGGAACTCGTACATACCGTCTCGCTAAAAAATTAAATATTGCTGAGAGAAAACCTAATATTGATTTCTCGTTCACTAAAATAGATGACAGCGCATCGTCATATTTCGTGTATTCAGAAAATTCTGCCATTATTGTGTTTATTAGAAGATATTTACGAATTTAAAGTCTTGTAAAATAAATACTTGTTTGTTGCTCGTTTGCTCGAGTGAGCCCCGGCTGACACTGACAGCTCGCCAACAGCTGTCATTTGTCATCAGTGTCAGTGTCAGTGTCAACACAAGAAAATTGCCAACTAAGAATAACTAAATGTTTACTGGCGTAATTATCTGAAATAATACCACTAATTGAAATAAAATGAAATTATACTTTATTCAAATTGACTTATTGAAAGCATTTTTGAATCGTCCAATATTGTTTCCTACCACCCATTCAGACATCTTTAAGCATTTTGACTAAGGTTTAAAGTTGGAGAGTGGTCACGAGATCAAGTCGTAAGCGCACATCATTGATGTGACATTTTAAAACAGTATTTGTAATGCAAATGAGATACAAAATACCTATTTCCATTTTGTATTTAAATACTTTTTTAGAAAAGCATTTCCCATTTTATTTGAAATACTTTTTAACCGATTTCAGAAAGGAGGAGGTTCTCAATTTGGTCGGTATATTTTTTTATGAATGTACACCGATTACGTCGAGATTGAATATTTTTTTGTCCGATGCAGAATAGTTGCCATTTAGTCACATTAACATTTTATTCAGTTTAGCGCAGTATTTTTTATGTTATGGGCGTTTTTGTTAACTTGGGCGGTGTAATTATTCCGATACTTTATTTAGATTATTTTTTTTTCGATAGGAGATACCTACTGGTAATTCAGTCCCAAAAAATTATAATTAAGTTTCACGCAGTAGCTTTTTTTTTAGAGCACTTTTGTTTACTTGAGACGATGTAATTTTCACGACATTATGTATGGCTCTTTTTATTGGGTTGAAACGAAAATTATTTATAGACTAAAAAGAAAACCCAACTACAAAATAGAAAATTGAACAAAAAAAAACAAAAACAAAGGTCCTAATATGATTTGGAAGTCGTGCTGGACTAAGATCGAAACATGGAAAAGATTTTCTCTTCTAAAATCGGTATACGTGTTTTAATCTTTCTGACCCATCCCTGACTTCCAAATCATACTAGGAGCCGCCCGTTTTTCATGTGAACCGGATATTTATTTTTGATAAGTTTAGTCAACAGCAACACCAATTTAGTGCGATTTTTGTTCTCACTATGAACTATCATAGAGCCACTATGATAAACAAAAAAATGAATAATTACTTTGTATTTTGTATAAGAACTAAAAAATATCAGTCTTACATTTATTTAAAATGAATAACTACTTTGTATTTTGTATTGGAATTAATACAGTTTGTCTATAAAGTCGTGACAATAAATGATGGCGCCACTAGTATGCATGTAGCAACCCTCTACAGTCGGACCAAAATGATTTTGATACTAGATCATTGAAGTAAAATAGGTAATTAATAAGACACACTATACAGTCGTATTTTGTTTCTGTTTTATATAGTAGGTACCTATGCTTATAAAAAGTTTAGCCAAGCATATTTAATTAAATCAGAATAAAATTATTATAGATAAAATAGTACTTTATAGTGTATATAAAAAGTTATTTAGAGAAACAATTTGTAAATGTGCAGTTAGTAAAATTAGTGATAGGTATCTTCACTAAAAGCATCTGGCCATGATTCTTTATGTGACCATTTCTTTCTTTGGTCGGCCTTGCCTGTTTTCCCAGGAGTTTCAAACTTTCCATCATTCTTAAAACCTTCGTTGACTATCCGACTCTCTGATTTTCCTGAAAAATAGTAAAAAAATATGTAACGGAATAGAAACAATAACTTATTGACATGAAGCAATTAATTCAAAATTGGTAAAACCTGACCGAGTTGAACCATAATAACGTATCAAAAGAAATGGTCGTACTACAATATTACCTATTTACAATGTCAATCTAACCTAAAAATGTGCAATTTAAACAATGCTTCTTTGGTCTTAAAATCGTAAATTGAGTAAATTTGTAACTTCAGGCAGATTATAAGCAAATAGTTACACGATTACATACCCGTCATAGATGCTGTTCGCCCATAAACATCGTCCAAATCCCACAAAATTCGTCCAGCTTGGTAGTCTTCGATACATCGCTGGAAAACTAAAAATCACTTCCCGCGTGCCACTCCGATTCACTTTACTCATTTTTATACCTTTCTGCGTAGTTTCGTCTTAATTTATTACAGTTTAATCCAAATAATAAAAAATACAAAAGGAAAACTGTTCGACAACTGAAACTCGATGACAGCTGATGTAAATAAGTTTGGTGTTGCCAGAATGAATGAATAACATGAATAATGTTAGTTCCTCAAATATTCATGTCACGACTTTAAAGACAAACAATATATCAAAGTATTTACATTTTGTATATAAATACATACTTTTATAATATATTTTGCACATCTCTGGCGCACATGTCACCTCATTTTGACTATCTATCAATTATGGATACCTACGGAGGTAAAAATTATGTAAAATGCTAAGTAAACTCTTTTATTTATTGACAAATACATATAGGAAAAAACAGTTTTATTGGATGCTATACAAATCACCAATGAAACCCACAATATCTGTGTCTGAAATTTTCAGTAAAAATGGTGCCAACCAAGACACTACATATGCGGTATGCAGTGTGCCGGGTACATAATCATATGAAAAACGTCTAGACTTATCTCTTGTTCAGTATGCATGAGCTGCAAAGGGTAAGTGCAGTGAAGCGGAGAGTGGATAATCCTCACTGCGTGGCATCGTTTCCTCTCGTTCATTCGCTGCGATGTGCATCATGGTTGGGATTGACAGTGCATTTGTTTGAAGATAGTTTAATAGAATTAACCCGTTCCAAAAGTACCTGACCATTTCTTCGCAGAGATGGTAAACGCTGCATCCTCGCAGCTGGGTTTGAGCCGCATACCGCAGCGTTATGCGTTCCGATCAAGAGAACAAAGCTAAACAAGATCGCCTTGAATACTACATAACACATAAACGGTAGAAGATTTTTATGGAATGTGGGGCAAAATAAGTACTGGGAGTAGGCGGAAACTTAACGCCATATGACACGGTCCTAACCAATTGTAGCCATTAATGTTCAAGTAATTTGAACTAAAAATCATGTAATGTTTATCTTATTTTAGATTTAATATTTCCACAGACATACATGCAATTTAATCAAACTGAATCAGCCTCTTCAATCAAATAATTTGAACGTCTAGTACAGCAGTTATCATATCTTTTCATGATTTTTTACCTAACAGGAGAAGAGGAAGACTACCTTGCCTATGTTTAAGACAAATGTAGACACTGTGGCAATTGATGATAAAAACATTTCCTCAGTTTATATTACTTTAAATTAGCTTATAAATATACATTCATTATTTAAAATACTTTTATTTTATCAATATTAACCAAATTGGAGCCACAAAAAGCCTCCGCGTATGGTATAATTATTAAATTAATGACAATTCTATTCAATAAACACCGAATTATTGAACAAAGCTACTATTTATAGATATATATTCAGACTGGTATCCCCAAACCAGTTTTTTTAATTTACATTCCCGCCACTTGGTGGTGTTGTTTCGCTTTCGAAAGTTTCACATCCGCAAGAGAGCGGCACAGCAAGGCAAAGCGAAGTAGGCAAAGAAGTCTCGCGCGCGAACTTGGTACGCTGCAGGCGATGACCGCATTCATATGAGTTTTTATTATTGTGAGTGTGCTGTCGTGTTCTTCGTTCCGTTGTGTGTTTACGAAAATGCTGTATAGGTGAACAGTTCTAATACAGTGTAGTGTTTGTGATAATAATTTCTTAGCTATCCTGTCTTAATACTGTATCTCAAAGGTAGTAAAAATGCCTTGCTCTGCAGTAACTTTGTCTATAGCGACCATTACGGCAATCGTGGCTGCTGCTCTAATGGCAATAGCGTTTTCGACAGATAACTGGCTTTACATAGAAGTTAAGCGAAGCAGTATTCAGGTATGTTAATTAAAAAAAATAAGTACTTATTGTAAATTAAATATATTTCTTATTTTACGAGTTCTTCTTTAAAATTAAAAATAACTTTCATATTTTTATATATTTGTAAAATTAATATTTTAATTTTAAAAATATTGATCGACACAAGTACCCACATGTTGATTTTTACTCGCATGGACGTATAAAAAAAGGCGGACAGAGTTTCGGCTAAGACAATACTGAGGCACCGTAATGGCGGCGGCTATTGATGAGTGAGTGAATTGTAGGGTTGCTAGGTTAGCAAATTTTTTACCAATAAAACACAGTATAAACATGAAAATATTTTGATTGTTCAAAATTTTACTTTTTGCCTGACTGAGGAGGATAATGTTTTTCGAGCGTATGTTTGTATGTATGTCCAATAATTTGGCACGGCCTACAGCCTGAACGTCTTGACGGATTTTGACATGCGAGGTGTCATTTGATTTGTCGTGATTGTGTGAGTGGCACTCGGTATATTAAAATTTCAAAAATCAAAATAACAGATTTTATGCGCCAAAATGAAACATTTTCAAAAAAAAGTATAAGTATTTTTATAACCCGTCAAGCGAGGTATCAAAGTGAAGGGTTTTAAAAGAATATTTAGAAAATATACAACTCGTGTAATTAAAAAATAATGAAATTAAAATGTCAAAAATAAAAAAAAATGTACTAAAAAGAAAAAACAAGTCCAGTAGTCTAGAATTCTGTTTAATAAGGAACAAAGTTACTTTAACAGTCGGGACTCATTAGAAATTCTAGAATGTACCGAATTTTCTCAATATTGGGTAAATCAACTAAATATACTGGCCTGCATTCTCTTTCATGTTTCTTAAAATAAACTAACAGCCATTGAGTACTGTTTGTAATTGAGGAGTTCCATTGTTTTCCTCCGAAAGTACTCATCAGATCTCCAGTAAATTAATATGCAGCCATCTCGCTAGTAAACCGATTAAAACAAAAAAAGAATCATCATAAACGGCCCACGAATCTCGGAGATCTGCGCGAACAACAATAAAAAAAACAAATATGACGCATTGCGAACCTCTTTCTTTTCGAAGTCGGTTAAAAATTTTAATCAACCTTTTGAGGTAATGCATACGTAATAACATGCCGGAGTCCTCCTTTAGTTGTATATAAGTCTTGAGCTTCAAAATGAAGACTAAAAATGACACTACTACATATTTGTTTGGAAATCATTCATTTTCCAGTAATTTCTCCATACTACATTTTCTTTAGGAAATCTGATAAAAAAGAATAATAAATAATAGATTGAAGTTAATGTCAACCCAATTTCCCATATTTTAGGTAATATGGTTACATGAACATTGGCAACACTGGGCTTTAGACTAATCATTTTGTCCTTAGAATTAAAATTGATTTCGATTTCTAAAAACTAGAAAAAAGTGATTCAATTATTCATTTACCTATGAAACGTGATTCCTGGATTTTTTTTCTTTCGGTCACTACGGTTTTTACACCTTTTTACAAGCAAGATATCTTGTTTAGCTTATTTTTTATCTCCACGTAACGTGTCGACTGCTTTGACGTTTGCACGCGTAGTGGCTGACTATTGTGTGAATGTGTGCGTGCCGGCTTGTACGTACAGCGACCTGGCCGACTTTGAGCGACACAGTTTATTGTTTACCGGGACTCTGTCCGCCTTTTTTATAAGTCCATGTTTACTCGTAAATCTAGGCATTCCTTTAGAATCCAAATTGCAGTAGCAGAGAACCAGAGATCTGCGGAGGTCCTAAATTGATATGCCCTATAACTTTTCTATCTAAATCAGGAAATGATAAAAAGTAATTAAAAGTCCTAATGATCAGGCTTCTATGATCACTAATAAATAGGGATAATAGAATGTTGACTTACGTGTATTTTGTAACGTGGTTTTATTCCAGCGGACAACCTATATTAAACTTGTTTTCCAAAAGAAGGCTAACTCACTACCATACAATAATTTATTTTATAGTCGATTGTTTTACTGCATCAACTGTAACATTCAAAACAATCTTGATCGTCTATAGATAAAATACGTTGAACACTTGCGACACTTCCGTCAATTCTTCGTAAATAATAAAAGAAGAAAAATATACCTGCATAGTTTCATCATGGATAAAGTTTCATATATCCATTTAAACACAGTGATGAACCGTAAGAATAGATAGAACAAAGGACAAGTCTCTTAGACCGTACATGCTAAATAATACGGATTAAATTAGAAATAACGGTCAAACACATTCAAGATTTGACGAAAATTCAATTTAACACGTTGACTAGTCTTTCGAGTCCTTGTTGGGCACCGTTAGTGTTAGACACGCTATGCATAAATATGCACGTATTAATGGCACGAATGAATGTGTGCATAACTGTACTACACTGCCCCTTCCCAGTGGGCTAGATAAAGTAAAGAAATGACGACCGATAAAAAAATTATCGCGTCCTAAATTCCACACTCGGAACTGGTACCTATGGGTCGGATGATGAAAATATTCTATCCTTCCAATTTATGGGTATCATCCCATTGCCATTTCCTAACCGTCCGTATCCTATAGACGTTGGCTATAGGATACGGACTCGTTACAATGGCCAAAAAGACAATAGGTATTGTAAGTAATTCTATTTTTAGTCATTCAAGAACTCGTAAGCTCTTGTATTAGTAAAGGCTAGGGAGATGCTTGAATTGCCCTTCACAGGGAATAAATACTTACAACGAATCTTTTTTAATTACCACGCCAACCTTGCTGCGACGAAATCGTTCTAGCTTTTCAAACGCTCATAATCTGCAAAAACTGTCGTCTCACGCTTAATTTCTTAGTTATGTGCGCTCATGTTTTTATGCCATCCATAGGCTCTGTTTTCTTTTTATTTAAAGTCGAGGTCAAAACTTTTTGCTTTGCGAGCAACTTGCTCAGGCGTGCCGAGCTTCTACCTGCCGACGCTTAAATGTTTTTTTGTTCCATACCAAGGGGTTACTGGAAAGCTATTTCATGGAAGATTGTAGGTACGTGACAATGGTTAAGACGTTTAGGTAACTAGGATGATAATAATAATAGCGCGCTTCCGCAATTTACAAAGTAACATTGAAAAGTATCCGTAAAGTTATGGTTATTTAAATTGGTATTTTTGTGCCTCGCCTCGTAATTTTTCTCGCGTTCACCCTTTTGTGCCTCGTAATAAATAATACAGGTCTTGACGTTGAACAGCTTGACAGTGCTGGAGGGAGTGAAGGAAAATATAATTAAATTAGGAAAATCCATTTAATTAAATTAATACCACGATGTATAGCAAGATACAAAGAAAGCTTTTCTCTACTTTTTGTTCAAATGACACTCTTGTTTGCGATAATAACGTCCTGATACAAAATAGCAGTAGATTGATTGCTAGGGGAGCAAAGGACTATTTTTTAAAATGTTCGTGATTGATGATTGGAACTTTGATTAACAATAAACACATTCCTAATTCATATTACTTGTAGTATGAGGATTAAAACGCTATTTTATTTTATGATATAGTATTATTTTATTAGTCTTTTTGAATAAAACTGATAATAACAGAATTATGTACCTACCTATTTGACAGACTTCCCCACACCAATTGCCTAACGTTACAGGCAAGTATGTGGATGTAATATTTATTGACTTATAATACGTAAACTGTTAGATCAGACGCGATAGAATGGAAAGCATGAGAGAAATCCGCCGTGAAAGTGACGAAATCTATGAGGCTGAGATTTCTGCAGACACACATGCGGCTAGAGGATCCATGATATAGGCATCACGTAATTAAAATAATGAACGGCAATGTATATTATCAGCTATTAATATGAATTACTGAACATTTGCATTAATTTTCCTATTAAGGCGACAATTTTATCATTCTCATGTCATCTCGTCATTGGAGTATTATCGGCCTTGGCTAGTAGGTTTAAGTTTTAAAACACCTTAGGGGTAACTTTTGTTTGCTTTTGTTTCCCAGGTTCGTGGGCCCACTAATGATCGAAATAAACTTACTCATTCTGATTTGGGGAAACGCTAATTCAGCTTAACAAAAACAAAAGGTTAATGCTTTCGTAACAAAGAAACTGAAATAGCATTTAATAAATCTTTGAATTCAGTCGCGAAGCCCAAAATTTTTACATTTGTGGACCTAATGCAGGGTCGGCAAGAATTGTATACTTACCTAGTTGATAAAAGCTTCTCCAGTTTGGAAATTTTGACATCAAAGATGCAGCTCGTTCTGGTTGTTCTGTACCGCGTAAAGAGAAAACAATTTCTGAAAAAGTTGAGCAATATCGGTATTTTACTAGAACTATTGACTTTAAGAACTTTACGATTTAGCTAAGGAACTATAAATTTGTAGGTTACTAGACAAACATTCACTCGGTTCCAGACAGGATTCGAACCCGCGCCGGTATTTCGGTTGAAATTGTGGGTTGCCTACAATGCGATGATGTGGTTGCTACCTTGCAGCCTAAGAAATGAGACACGGCCATTAAGGTGACGGTAGTATATCTGGTTATTGCGTCCGTCCGGATTGCGAAAGGTACGGGTCCGAGTCCTGTCTGAAATCCAGACCGAGTGGATTTGTTTATTATGTAATGGTTAGTTAGGTTAGTCAATATTTCCTTTAGAACTATGAATTTTCCATAAAGCTAGTTATGACCCATTTGTAAGTGCCATATAAGTCTGGGCATACAAAACAGCTCGATATTTGGGTGCCCACATGAGCTAATTGATAGAAACTTAATGAACTCTGTACACATAATATTACCAATTCTTTCCGAAAGCGTAATGTAACAAACAGTTTTCAAGAAGTTCATTATCTACTGGTGTTGGAAAATGGAATACTTACCTACGCCAAGAACGTGCGGAAATGATCATGGTCCTATTTCCTCGCCATGTCATATTTCCATCCAACTACTTCTGACTTCTTCAGAATTATTTTGGTACCTACTGTAAGATTAACATCAAGAGAGG